AAAAATATTTTCCTTATTATGACTGTGTAGGCTAACGTGTACCATTTTATGGGCTTATTGGGTTTATCATCGAAGGTACTAAGTTCTTATCAAGAGGAAACGCCAGTAATACACATTTAAACGGTTTAAAACTGGACATGTATCAGTTAACTTACTGTAACTACGGCCCGACGTTTCGGATGCTTTGGAGCAAGTCAAAAACAAGTCAAGTCAAGCCGTGGTACCGGGGGGGCCGGGGGACGGGGGGGGGACCTCAGTTCTCAGTGTTACTTTTATATGAAAGTATATACTAAAAAGAAATCAAATCGATTACAATAAACCTAGCTGTGTAGTGTGGAACAGTTATTTTGAGCACCTAAATTTGTTTTTACAAACCTCTTCATAGCGTCCCGTCGTTCTTGCAAGTTAACCTTGAAAGATAGACATATACTGTTACAAACATTTTTTTAGATCACTTAAAAGGAAATCTTTCTTTCATACATATTTTTTGGGTATCTTGAACCGTTATTACAGCGTACGCATCGGAAACCCACAGAGATAAATAATTTTCCTCGTTTTTTTCTCTCGCTCCTATAAGTCACAGCGCGATGTTTTAGCCTATCCCACCTTCCTCCATAAACGCTCTAACCAACAGGGAAATAATTTTTCATTTGAACCGGTAGTTCTTGAGATTAGTGCGTTCAAACAAACAAACGACCTCTTCAGCTTTATAAATTAATACATAAATTTAAAGTAATTAGTAATAAAGCTTGGAACCAGTTTTTATTATTAATTATTAATGATACATATTTTTTATATGCACCACCCATCAGTTCAGATTGATAAACTGTTTTTCGTGTTTTAGGAATAAAATCTTTTATTAAAAATGTGTCAGATAACAGTGTACGTCAGCGCCTTATAGCAGAAAGCCCACGGGGTTTCAGCGTGGTGATGATTTTATACAGCGTGTTCACTTTGATGCATATGGGAAACCAAAAATACTATTAATACTTTATAAATAATATTATGCGCTAGCTTTGATTTGATTTGAAAAGCCCTTTAACTGTTGTAAAAAACAATCCATTTATTACGAACAAGGAAATTTTACGTATTAAACAAGAAAGGCACAGAGCAAGAAGAAGAATAAAAACAAATAAACTAGTTTTAACTTTTAAAAAAATTCAATTTATTTTCGATTTTTAAATTATATAGTGCCTTCATGTGCAATGACATGTAAAAAATAATAAAGACGACGTTTAGGATGCTTTGACCCGTGACCACGGCTGCTGCAAGGCATCAGAAACATTGGGCCGTAGTTAAAATAATTGTCAAATAATTTTATCTTTATTTAAATGTGTTAAGTTTCTCTTTATCAGTTAACTTAGCGACCTTTTTTGCTCAGAACTCAGTTGAAACTCCTTACTATTAAACTTCAAAAGACCTCCACAACGTAACCAGACCCAACGTACACCCAGATCTTGTAGCCTGGGTGACCCACCGCTTAAACGGCCTTAGCTAATCGAATCTGTAAAGGATTATCTTTGGTGACCTGACCCTTCCCAATTTATAGAACATCCTGTTAATAATTATCTCTTCAGTATAAAGCGGTGTCATATTCCGATAACGCGCAGTCAACGACCACGCCCACAAGCAAGATGATTTTGTTTTTCATCTTACTTGTCCCGGTACAAGCATTCTATGGTATGTAGTCTTATATATACCGTCCCACTGAGTTCGGTGGAATATTGGCCTCTTAATCTGTGGTATATGGGATGTTTCATATCTGGGTTTATCTGGATAATTTTAATAATTGAAAGGGGGTATTCATTGATTATTTTTCTCCTTTACTAATTTTTTTTGGCGGGATCGTTGGTGTAATGGCAGCAATCAACGGGTCGCGGGTTTGACTCCCAACTCTAACGTGTTTATTAATTTATAATTTTCCTGAAACAAGTTGAACTCCGTCTGAAAATTTGGATATTAATACTGTGGTACAAAGATCGAAATTTTACCCATAAACGAAAAAGCCGTGATGTTTAATCGCGTTTAAATTTTAATTCTATAGATTTTCAAATATACAAAGCTAAAATTATGCAAAAATTTTAGTTGAAAAGGAAAGAACACAAAAAATATTAATTCAATCTACAAAAGATACAATATTTATTGTGAACGAACTTATCATCGAATCAAACGTTTTCTCGGCGTTGCACTCTAGAAAAGCAATTGGTCAGAAACAGAATAAAAACTGTGGCCCCTTGCTACTCTTTTGTTTTTTATTCAGACGTGAATCACCTCTTGAAATAATTCTAGCCTCGAAGGAAAACATATTCAACACAGTCATTACTTTTATTATGTTATTTCACGTTATTAACACATGTGCAGATAAAATATAAAAAATACATTGTATTCAATTCGTTCAAAATGCTAGTAAATTAATAACGCCCGAGCCAAGTAATTACGAATTTTAATTACTTGTTGTTGAATTAAAGTTATAAAATGAAAGTGTCTTTGAGCCTTTAATAAATTCCCACAGTTGGGACTAGAGCCAATTATGTAGAAGAACATTTGATTATTAAGTATTGTGCGTAGTTTATGCGAGTAGTATTTAAGTATAATATGATACTTTAGACAGATTAAAACGCAAATAATATCATTTAACTTACTTTTAATTGCGACGTGCAGCAGTAGTGTCTTGTGTACAGCTCCAGTAAAGCATTCGGAATGTCGAGTCGTCGTGAAACATAAGTTAACCGGAATATTTCGCCTATTAAACAGTTTTATTTAATTTTGTGTGTTATTTAAAGTAATTTAAAACACTTGATGAAATAAAAGTATGTTAAATACTGTTTACGCCTATACAAGTCTACGTAAGTCGTACACATTTATATAAAACAATTTAACGGCTTAAAACGCGAAATATATAAGTTTACCTATAAAGACGGATGTCTCCCCGTGACCCAAAGTTGCAAAGCATCCAAAATGTCTGACCGTAGTTAAAACTAATTTTCCAATAAATTTTACTAAAATATTTCACGTTTTAAGCCGTTAAAGTATTTTATTAAAAATATGTTTGAAGGCATCGCGAGCAGTTCATATAATAATAAAACGTAAAAGTACCGGTTTGAAAAGCGGGGTAACTCCCGTGACCACAACACAAAGAATTAAGGACGTAGGTACTTAAAATAAATTAAAAATAAGTTACGATACATAATTTTTTTAATCCGATAAAAATGTTTTATTTATAATTTTATGTATTTGTTTGTAACTTTTTACCGTAACCTAACATCGAGTTAAAATAAAGTATGTTTTTAGGTACCTTCTAAATAACCAGCTCGGAATTTTCTTTCTGTTTGTTTGTATATAAAATTAATTTAATGTCGTGTATGTGGGGCAGAGCAAAATATACTACGAGTTACTTCTTACTAAAAGAATACCGTAACACAACGGAACATTTATATGCATATAAAGTGATGAGCACCAGCCATAAAAACAGGCATCAATGATTGAATTATATTATCGGAACCTTGACACGGGCGGGTATCGAAGCCACGACCCACAGCATACCGTACTGTTACTTTAACAATTAAGCTAACTTGCCCTACTTCAAATCTGATCAAATCAATGTTAATGTGAATACATCAACCTGTCAAAATTACAACAATACAAGCGTTAAGACTGATTTTGTTCAGAACATGTTTTACCTATAAATTGTATTTACACATATATTCAGTTTTTATGCACTAGCTTTTCCCTTTGGTTTCGTCTGCATAGAAGACTGTTGTATATGTAGATATATTTCTATTAAAACTCCGTCCTCTTTCTTTTATTTTCAAGCCAAGTATATATTTCATTGTAGGCTATAATTTGTTTTAATATGTGCCGCAAAAAATTCAGAAAACTTGACAGCTGTCAATTTGAATACTGTCAGTCTTCAAGTCCAAGTTTATAAGGAGATAATTGCACATCGATTGTTTTATTTTTTTAGTTTTCAGTTAATCTGTTGCCACACTTTAACTAACAAATAGATATTTAAATTAAATTCGACAATAGCAAAACACACTTACACACATTGTTTTTATATTAATGACAAAACAAAAAAATATATTATTTTAAAAAGAACTCCCAACAGACATAATATGCATTATTTTATCTGTGAGACTGTATTGTCCCTAATCGGTATTCTTTTATTTTTGGGAAATACTGTTTTAACAGTAGGTATAAACGTGAAGAAACTGTGAGTCAGTTCTGTAAAGACCCGGCTAGGTTCTCTAAATATCAACTACGATGAAACAGATAGCGCTAGCGTAGGAGTTTTGACATTGACATTGGGGACACCTTCCATCTTCAGTCCCCCCGTGACCATGGCTGCTGCAAAGCACCAGAAACGTCATTAAAATGAATTGTAATTAAGAAACTGATATATATAGCGTTTAAATTCGTTAACATTTATCGTTACGTTTTATTACTGTGTACTAGTCGCGTAAATTACAAACAAAACTTACCTACCTACTGCCTTATTGTAGGATCTCACAATAATAGCAAATACAGTTAGATCAATACCTCCCTTTTTTGTTTCTCTCTCTATAATTTCCCAGTGTGTCGACGGGTCGGGGGATCGATTCTTATCTATTCGAATAAGAAATATCGAAAATCCGTCGGGATTACGAACAGTCGGTAGATGGGAAAGCCGCGTGAAAACTTGCGTTTCCGTTTAAGTCTGCTGATTTTTGACAATGTGTAGGAGCACCTCGCTCCTTTCACCTTTCATTAGGTGAATCCCATCCTCTTCTGTTTCTTTCTGTCACAAATAAAATCAACCGTAATTATTTTATTTTGATACAATATAAAAACACTTAACTACGTGCGCGTACAGTGGCAACGTTGTCTTAACGAGAAAGGATTCAAGACAGTTATGTAATTAGTCATGATTATAACTTCGGGTCACAGTGAGTTAAGGTAAGCGGAGAGGTAGTGGAAAGGTGCAGTCCGTGAAACAGTTTGCCGTGCGCGGACGCAGAAAAATGGCGCGCGCGTTCCTAATTCAAATTCTCGTCTTTATTTATACGGTTCGATCAGGTTTGTGATATTTGTATATTAATTATCGTATTCGTACTAGTATGTCATGTCTTTATACTATTTTATCGTATCTTAGTTTTGTGTAAATAAATATTATATCGATTGAATTAAATGTTATCAAGATTTGTCTATTAATATAAATAAATAATTGTATTATTTGTGATAAATTTCGGATAGTTTACTTAATCGTTATAAAAAAATTGGTAAATTTTAAAAGCAATAATAATGATATTAAAAGTGAGGAAAGGACATGATCTATGATTTTTTTAATGTCATAACAATTAAATGACATCACATTATAATCACTGTATTGACTACAAACAACAGTAGGTGTCATTTACTTTTTAAATTTGTACTTATGAACTTTGATATCTTTAAAGTATTCTTAGTCAGACCCAGGTAGGTAGTAATAAAATATAAACTCGTAAACATATTAATTAAAAAACGTCATATTCGATTTAAATATTCTTGGTGATAATGTTTTTATGGTCTAATTGAAATATGTGATGCATTGAACGTAAACGATTATAGATAATGTACCATTTAAAAGGGTAATAAACTATAAACAAAAGTAACGTGTGTGACAAAGATTAGTACTTAAAAAATAAGTCTAAAAGTATTTCATAGCCCGGCGCCAGTACTATGGAAATATGTTACACAGACAGTAGGATAGGGTCTAAGAGAACCGTAAAGGAAAACAATATTTAAAAAAATCCTATAATATAATTTAATAAAACAACTATCGTTAAATAGATAATAGTTAAATAAAAAAAAACGTTACGTGAAACTTATTTTTATTTCCTTCTACAAGTCACGGTATTGCTTTTCTTATCTATAATAATGTTCCTTTTAAAATTATATTATTTACTCCAAAGAACGCTGTAGTCGTGGGTTTGAGTCCCACCTGTTCACCGATTTAAAATAATAATAATTTGTAATTATACAAAAAAATATAAATACTGAGTGTCAATTTAGAATAACTTGTTATATCAATATATCATATAAAGACATAAACGGTAAGTCGAGAAATACGTATATTAAAAAGTAATTAAGATATATAAGTCACGGTTAACGATAATGATTGTACTAATAGGAAACATATCAGTAAAATCTCTTAACACTGATACAAGTAACTAAATAACTAACTCTGGAATGGCATATTTATAATATTTTACTATCCAATCATTTCAAGACACATTTTTTGCCGGTTCACAGATTGAATGGGACAGTAGGACATTCAATTTTTAATGATTGCGGAAGACAGATAAACATGGGGAAATACCCCAGCTATATAACATATAAACAAGGTGCGCAGGCGACTATTTTGGCTTATTTGGGTATTTGGACATCCATAGGCTAAAACCGAAATGTTATTAAAATTGTCGGCTTTTTTATCTGTGAACAGTTGTTCGTGACCCGGGCGAAATTTCGATTACCATACTGTCTATAGTTTACGCGAGTAGTACACATTTATATAAAACACTTTAACGGTTTAAAACGCGATATATTAGTTAAACTTATTTGAAAATGATTTTTAACTTCGGTCCGACTTTTCAGATGCTTTGCAGCAGCCGTGGTCACGGGGAGACTGATTTGATTTTCAAATAAGTTTAACTAATATATCGCGTTTTAAACCGTTAAAGTGTTTTTTTTTAAATTTCGATTACCAACAATCCATTTATATCCAAATTTCCAATTCAACATGTATCAGAAAAAATATACAATATCTACCGCTTACATGCGTATGCGCAATACACGGGACATAAAAAAACAAATGAAAGTTTATGCTGTTTTAAATGTGTACATTTATTAGATGTTGAAGAAGCAACGTGACAATACCAAGTAAGGTTCAGTACGTGAGGTTTAGTGAAATTAAGATAGTACTTATCTCTTTATTAGATCTACATTGTGTTCGGACGTTTGCGTAATCTTGTCAGTTTAATATGCCCTTAGAGACTTCCTCATTATGTAATTAAGAAAAATAACTAACGAAAGTCAACCATTACATAAATATAAAAACCCTATAATGAACAATTAATTGTTTAAGTATAAAAAAAGAATTAATTAACTAATGTACTTTGCGTTTTAGTATTAGTAAGCGTTTATAGTAGTGTCTACCATTTTAAAATGTAACTAAATTTGTTGCTAATAATCAACGGGCCGACCCGATTACTTAGGTTTGACTCGCACAGGGCTTAAAATGTTTCTAATCTTAATATATATTTTGAAACATAATTGGCTTCGTCTGGGTACCTGAATATTAAATAGGTGGTAGGAATTCCGAAATTAAGTCCGAGTTACGAAGCCGTTTAAAAGATTAATTGGAACAAATAGACATATTGTACATAGCCAATTTAGAGAGATCGTTTCAACAAAGTTCTCGTAAAACGATGAGAATGATGATATTTTTTTACTTACAGAAAATGTCGTTTCGACACCGGAGCCAAAGAAAATTCTGGACACAATAATGAACCCATCCTACATACCAGCTGAAGAGAAACATGGGTCATATTGGAGGAAGTCCGCTGCTGACACCTTAAAAGCCAAGTTACAAGAGACAGTTAACACAAATAAAGCAAAGAATGGCATACTTTTTATCGGCGATGGTATGTCCCTGGCAACTATAATGGCAGCAAGGACGTTTGAAGGTCAAACGGACAGGAATTTGGGTGAAGATAACACACTGTCATTCGAGAAGTTTCCAGTTTCTGGATTGGCACGGGTAAGTGTCATATCATCATCACTAAATAGTATAAAAGATAGGCACTGTCGATGTCTGTGTGTACTAAACCACGCAACGGATTCTAAGACGTTTTTATTAATTAGATGGAATGATTTAATATAAAGATTTATATAAATTATTTAAATGATTTTAACTTCGCCTCCCCGTGACCACGGCCGTTGCAAAGCATCCGAAACGTCGGGCCGAAGTTAAAAATAATTTTCAAATAAGTTTAACTAATATATCGCGTTTTAAACCGTTAAAGTGCTTTATTTAAATGTGTTCTACGCGCGTAAACTATAGACAGTATTGTGAAGTATTTCGACCAAAATTGATTACCACAAAACCGGTATTTGTGGGTTTTATAACTAATTTATGTTGTCCTGAACCGTTCTCGCATTAGAAGCAAAGGAAACCCTTAAAGGTTAATAATTTTACCTGTTTTTCCACATTCACCTCTGTTTCCTCGATCCTATTTGTCACAGCGTGATGTTTTATAGCCTAAAGTCAGCTGCGATTAATACTCTAACCAACACAAGTTTTCAATTCGAGTAGTTCCTGAGATTAGCGCATTGAAACAAACAAACTCTTCAGCTGTATAATATTAATATAGATATGTGCATAATATTTTAGAGCACCGACAAATTTAGAAGTTTCTAATATGGTGTCGTAAATAAACAAATTTCTTAACGTTTACTTTGAAAACGTTGACAAAAGACATTAAAATACTGTGTATTAAGGATATATACCTTTGTATGTTTTGGAAATAATAGCTTATTTTAAATGATTATACATCAATAATCCTTATTCCATATAACCACGTTTAATAAATTGCGCTTTTAATACAAGATCAATATGGCTCCTTACAGCATGTAATTTAAATGAATATTTCCAAAAATTTACCCGGGGCGCGTCGCTAGTGTATTAAAAAGGACATATTATGCATGCTCCGTTTTCCTAAATAAAAATGTTAGCTATGTAGGTGGTATTATCAAGCCCTTTAGCTTATGTAGTGTTACGTGGAGTCTTGGGTGTAGTTTACGCGAGTAGTACACATTTAAATAAATCACGTTGAACGGTTTAAAACATGATAAATTTTAGATAACTTATTTTTTATTATTATTGCTTTATATGCTTTGCAGCTGCCAGGTCACGGTTTGATGTCCCCAATGTCTTATAGGTTGATTTACACAATATATTATAAGTAGACCGAAAATAAACACATGCTGTATAAGGCTAACTATACAGCACTTAAATTTATATCTGCATTTTGAAATATCAAGTTAAGACTACAAATTAAAATATTACACAAGGAAAAAGACAGCAGTTTAACATTTAGCAAAGGTATACCCCCGGTTAAAACCAGTTTGAACTGTGCAACTTTACTTATTGAGGAAAATTGTTTCATTATTTATTCGACACATGGTTTTCGACGATAAATTAAGACTTTCCTTAGTAAACCTGTTTTCATTCGGAAATAGGAAAATAATACGAGAACAAGATTCTTTATATTAATTCGTTCGGTCGCCTTATACGTATATATAATGTGTAGTCGACCTATTTTTTTAATTTGAATTAAACGGAAAGCCATAGCAAGGATTGAAAATGTTATGCTAAAAGATTCGCAACAACATACAGCGCAGGTATAGTGCTTCCGAACTCACTAACTTACTGTTTTTGCTTAAGACCCAATGACTTTATAAAAAAGTGAAAGTACAGTCGAACACTTTATAAATCTATATATATAATACTATATATCGAAATATATTGCTTTACTTTTTAAAGTTCTTTCTTTAACTATGGCCCGACGTTTCGGACTTGTGGTAGTAACCGTGGTCACTGAATGATTAAAAAATGGCTGGATTCTACATAGTTTCTTCAAATATCAACTACTACGAAACAGATGGTGATAGCGTAGTGAGTTTGACCTTGAGGGACCATCGCCATCTGACCAAATCTGCTTCAAAGTATCCAAAGTCGGGTTATAGTTGAAATAAGTTAACTGACTAAAATTACGCGTTTTAAATCGTTAAAAATGTTTCATTTAGATGTGTACTACACGTGTTAACTACAGACTATGTTTTAACTTTTTACTATAGCACTATACTATCTATTTAAGTAAGCCTAAATAATTATCTTAGTGTAATGGTGAAAATGTATTCAAGTTTTATTGCAAGGTATAGAGTTCAATTCTCGGTCGAGCACCAAATTCTTGATATATAAGTTATATCACAAGGAAACTCGCCTTTTCCCTCACGAGCAACTTAATAAAAAAGTAAATAAAAATAACATTTCACAAAAACACTTCTGTTGCCGTCTGTACTGGACGTACTATAATTTCTTTACCATTTTTTTGCTCCTTACATAACTGACCGCTTCTGAGCAGTGTTTGGCAAGTTTTTGCTGGATTGTGTCAATAACTGAAGATTAATGACTTAAGCGTTGGATTTCGTAAGTTCGATTTCCGGTAAGCACGACTTTTTATCTTTTTACCGAAACATTGGAAATCGAATCAAGAACCAAAGAAAGTGGGAGAATTTCTTTAAAAAATACGTTATCTTTATTTATAATTGTTTAGTTATTAATGTACGAATAGAGTTACCCCATTTCCCCTAGTGGGGCATGGGATAAACATATTTCTGTGTCCGTTTCATTGATCGATTTTATTTACGTACTTTTGAGCTCTGCCCGACCGAAACATTGCATTGTTTCCCCTAGATTTGAACCCAGAACCTATCGCGCTCAACGCATTGTTAGGCAACACGTTTAACAATGTATCTATTAGTTGCTTGGAGGTAGAATTGTCCTAGGTTTGACTTTTAATAATACGCGAAACATTTGTTCAAATGCAAACTTTATTTTTTATTAAATTGCAGTTAATATTGTTTAATTGCAAAAAACATATCTATTCTACGAAGGCTTGTGAAATAAACTTTGCAAAATTCTGGCAGCGCTTAGCAAATAAAATAACACAGGTTATAAGTAGTTCGTCAACACATTTAACATTTTAATTTGAAAATTATATAGTTATGCAAAAACACAGATTAATGCTTAAGGTTTAATTGTATTTGCTTTTCTTATTTTTTGCCAAATCTAGACAAATACAAGTTAATTAAAGACACATGTCAAAGTTGTAGGGTTAATAATCCAAAATTCGCCTTCCTGGCAGAGACTACACATATGTGTGTCTGTTTTATAGTCGATACTACTTTTAGGTAAGTATATAAGTATAGTCTGTAGTTTACGCGAGTAGTGCATAATCAAATTAAATAATTTTAACGGTTTAAGACGCAAAATATCTTTGTTAATTTTTTTACAAATTATTTTAAGTACGACTCAAATTTACTTTCGCGTTTTAAACCGTTATATCTGTTTTATTTAAAGGGGGTATTGGTTCAGACTTCTATAAAGCAGAAAACCCTGTTGTTTTCCTGGGATTGAAACCCGGGACCGCTAATTATTAGAAATGCTAGGAATTTATTAAACTTACTAGATTTACTATCAAAACCAAAGAACTCACAAAACAAAATTTATTCCATTATTTGACCAGAATCAAACCCCTCATCTCATTTAAACATACCTTTCCTTATAACTGTGACGTCACTGTGATTAATTGGAGTCAGCGATGCGTTACCTACCTATTAATTTGTGACATTCGTTATGCGTGGACCGTCGTGTCACGTCCAAGGTAGTCTTGGAGGCCGCACGTACATTCTTCCGAACAATTTCTATGAATCTAATAGAATTTTCGTAGTCACGCGCGAATTTTTCATACACCATGGTTTTGGTGAAAAATCTACAGAAACATGCTTTTAAACGAGTCATAACTTAAAGTTATTTAATGCGAAAATAAGTTAGTAACGCATTTTAAGCATGTTATGTTGGAATGGTATAGCTGAAAAATGTAAAATAAATTTATTTCCTTAAAATAGCACTCGTCGTTAAATAAAACACTTTAACGGTTTAAAACGCGATATATTTTAGTTAAACTTTTTTGAAAATTATTATTTTTAACAACGGCCCGATGTTTCGGATGCTTTGCAGAAGCCGTGCAGCATCCGAAACGTTGGGCCGTAGTTAAAAAAAATAAAACAAGTTTAACTGAAATATATCGCGTTTGAAACCGATGAAGTGTTTTATTTAAATGTGCACTACTCGCGTAAACTACAGACAGTGTTTAATGCTCGCCGTGTTCGATAAAAAATGTTGTCTTTTTATCAGAGGACTTCAGACAAGTACGAGGATCATTTGATGGTAGGTTAAATGCGCCAGCAATATAACCTCTAAACAAGATGTCGCATTTCGTCTTCGGATATTCTGAAATTCACAGACTGAAGTCGAAACGCGATTATGTTCACGGCCTTTTCATTTGTGACCCGGACGGAATTTCGATATTCCTACCACCCATTTACTATTCAGCTTTCCAGGCATACTGCAGAAAAAATAAAAAAAATATAAGACTAATGTTGGGCCCTGTAGTGATCGAACTTACGTTGATTAGGCATAGATTGCTACCATTCCACCAACTAACCCGTTCCAAGTGTTCTCGTGAATTTTCGATGATCTTTAAGCATTTCCGGCTTCCTTCGCACACAGTAAAATGACCAAACTAAGGAAGACTGACCATTCATATTCAATCAATAAGTAATATGGGCACAGACAAGCATTAGAGGACACAGTTTTGAGTCTGCTAGATAGGCAAAAGAAAAATAAGTAAAGCATAATTTTGTGTCTATTTAGATCCCCTACTGTGGGGACAGTTTTTTCTCTGCGTAGATAAGGGAAAGAATATTAAGTAATCTTGGCACAAATTTGTGTCTGTCTTTTAGATAGGGGAAAAAAGTGTTATTAGTACAGTTTTGTGTCTGCTTAGATAAGGGAAAGGATAATAAGTAATCTTGACACAGTTTTGTGTCTGTAGGTAAAGGTGTAATAGGTTAGTCATTATTTATTCACGTTATGTATTATTTGAAGCACGGAAACAAAATATATAATTATTGCAAATACCGAATATATCTCGAATAATTCCACGATAAGGAAGGAAGCCAAGAAGGAAATGTGGACAATACATTTCCCAAGGCCTCTAGAAAACAATGACTCTCAATTATTGTTTGCGTACCTGATTCTGTCAAAATGTCAAGAGAAATACCGAAACGCGCGGACACTGTTTGTTTTAAGATGACAGAAATTTGAAATGACAAATAAGTAGACGGACATTGTTTTATCTCATAAAAGTTGAATGCGTTCGTTAAAAGTTAAATTATCTCATATATAACTAAAAATGCGCGACGTTGTACAAAAAATATATGTGATATAATTAACTAGTTAAAGAATAAAATCAAACTTGAACGAATATAACTTTGAAATAACTAACATTATGTTTTTCATTTTGTTTTGTATAACCTAAGTATTTGTGATAGAAATCTGTTTAGTCGCGATTGTGTGACTAACAAAGGATCGTTATAGCCACAAAATTCTATCCTAATCATAAATTTGAGATTGCATTTAAAAGATTAGGGTAGATATAGGTTTTGACGGGTCCGTTGGCCTACTGATAACAATGCTATCAACGGGTCTCGGGTTCGATCCCCACCGGGTCCAATATATTATTTCTTTTTTGAAACATGTTGGACTTCATCTGGAAATCTGGATATTAAATTGGTGGTAGGAATATCGAAATTCCATCCGGGTCACGAATCACCGTCCACAGATAAAAAGGCGTGAAGTTTAATCGCGTTTTGGTTGCAGTCTGTGCATTTCCGAATTTCCAAACCCAAAATAGGTCGGCAGTGCATAAACTGAAAAGACCGGAAACGAGTTTGACTATAAAATGTACCTATGTATTAGTAATTTTTTTTTTCTTTTGCAGACATACTGCATAGATGCCCAAGTACCGGATTCTGCCTGCACAGCGACGTCCTACCTCACTGGGGTGAAGACAAAGTACGGAGTTATAGGTCTAGATGGAAACGTGACCAGGGCCTCGTGCTTTTCGCAACTTCATAAGGCGAACTGGGCGCCATCTATCGGACAATGGGCGTTGGATAGCGGACTTGATGTTGGTGAGTTGAATGATAGATAAATAAATTTTTAGATGAATTATTACTTGTATTGAAGAGTCGCGTATATAAATTGTCTGTGTTTATCAGAAGTGAATATCAGTGGTTAGATTGATTATTGAGTTGGTTTCAAAAATTTATAACTAAAATATAAAACTAAAGAGCTATTTATCGTTGAAAGCTTCTCAACGTGTGTGGCAAAAACTAGTTCTAGAAACCAAAAATAAATATGCATGAAAGAATGATTATCTTTAAATGATCTAAAAAATGTCCGCCATAGTATGTGTCTGTCTTTTAAAATTTATTTACAAGAATCGTTTCTAGTGTAATCAAATTTGGTCGAAATTGATGCCAATTATTTGTTAGAGTTGTATAGATATAGTAAAATTAATTAAATACTGTCTATAGTTTACGCGAGTAGTACACATTTAAATAAACACTTTAACGGTTTAAAACGCGATATATTAGTTAAACTTATTTGGAAATGATTTTTAACTTCGGCCCGACGTTTCGGATGCTTTGCAGCAGCCGTGGTCACGGGGAGAATGTCCCCCCTTGTGTCTCCCCGTGTGTCACCACGGCTGCTGCAAAGCATCCGAAACGTCGGGCTAACGTTAAAAATCATTTCCAAATATGTTTAACTAATATATCGCGTTTTAAACCGTTAAAGTGTGTTATTTAAAAGTAAAATTAATCCTGAAGACAAGAAAACAACATTTGCCGGATCGGTTACAAAATAAATTGGCAAAATCTGGCTGGACATTTAACTCTAAAAAAATATAGCCCAACCCTTAAATGAAGGCACTGAATATGAGTTCGTTGCAAAACTGATTTTCAATAAAATCGCCGTCGCTCTGCAAAATTACACAGGCGGGTTTCGAATCTATAGTAAGCGCAATGTAAGCAGCCTATATAAAAATAAAGCTACAAAGGTTTTTGATAGATTTTACTAGTCATCAAGTTGGAATACCCTATAAACTGTAAACAGAATGCGCTTGCGACGTACTTTCCCTTAGCTCATTCGTAACGACACGAAATGGTAACGGCGACTATGCGTGACTCAGAAGGAATTTCGTTATTCCTACCACCTGTTAAATATCGAAAAAATTGTCAACGAAGTATGTTTCGAAATAAATATAAATTGTTCTTAAAACATGTTGGATCCAAAAATCGGCGAACTTACTAGGCATGTTTTACTGACATTGACCGGTACTGTAAGAGCGTGTATCTTTTCTAGTTGCTTAGCTATTAGCTGTGATAATCATGCAACATAATCATGTACCAACACGTGTCCATCATAAGTAATTGCTCAGTTTGAAATATCAATATCGTCTGTATTAATGTACAACGTTTACCTTATGAGAAAACCGTGAAGTTATTCTTTAGTCAAGGTCATAACCATAATATTTTCTTTCCTTATCTGTCTGGTCAATATAATTCGCCATAAATTACTTTGAATATAACCAGCTTTTAAAGAGGACAGATAATCATAGGATTCATGTGATGTTAGGTGATGTACCCCGGCCTATAGCATCTAAGCAAGATATGATGTCGACCTATTTTGGTTTCTTATTTTCGGAAATCTACAGACTGCAAACGAAACGCGATTAAGCTACACGGCTTCATTTGAGGACGGTGGCCCGGATGGAATTTCTATATTCCCACTACTAATTGGATAACCAGATTTCCAGACAATGTCCAACATGTTTCAGAAATTATAAACATGATGGAACCGGTGAGGACCGAGTCCACGGTCCGTTGATTATAAGCCATATATTGCTAAAATTCGTTTCAAATATAATTTTAACGATGGTTTGACTCTCATGTCAACAGTAAACTCTAACCATATATTTGTTTTATTTTCACTCTTAAAGCCTTTTCAAAACTAGTAAAGCAAAGTAGTAAAACACTTCACGTTTTGGGTGGTTTTGGATAACGGTGGGACTGAAGGAAAGGGACAGCACTATCTTCATCGGGCCGTAGTTAAATTGAAAATAAGTTAATATATTCCGCTTATTTAAACCTTACAATTGTTTTATTTTTAATTGCGACTAGTCGTTTTTTAATATATTACGATAAAAAATAAAAATCATATTTTCTCTAATGCGTTGTACCCTTTTTTTAGGAGATTCCAGTCTGATTATTGCCTTTGTCATAGATTAATTGAAAAATCTATTTAAAAAATTACAACACGGGTATGACTCGAACAGCATCCTCAGCGACTATTCATTCATATAGTGCCATCATGTGCAACTTGTAAAATATATTACAGTTTTCAGTTGTATATGACTAAGATGATATACCTGTCACCACGCAATTTGTTTAATTGTATTGTTACTTATTTCTTAAAATTTAAACGAACTGCAAAACTGCATTTAAATTCAATTACATGTTAACATATGCATTATGTAAATTTTATCATTATCCTTTTTAATTGAACAAAGACGAATTATCACTCAAATACCTAAAAAGGGCTTATTTTAACTGAGTGTAATAAAACACTTATCTTCGTTACGCATACTTGAACTAAATTTTTCAAGTATATCATAATGTTAATAAAAGCTGTTTGCTTTTAGAGGCTTTTAAAATTACGACTACGATAGCGGATACAATTCTGTGTGTATACGACTAGACGACTGGCTCGTTGGTGTAATGGTAGCAATTTATGGCTAATAATGCAACATTTTTCCAATTCATTTGTAATTTTTCCGAAACATGTTGGATTTCTTTTAAATAAAACACTTTAACGGTTTAAAACGCGATATATTAGTTAAACTTATTTGTAAATGATTTTAAACTTCGGCCTGACGTTTCGGATGCTTTGCAGCAGCCGTGGTCGCGGGGAGACGTTGGGCCGAAGTTAAAAATCATTTACAAATAAGTTTAACTGATATATCGCGTTTTAAACCGTTAAAGTGTTTTATTTAAATGTGTACTACTCGCGTAAACTAAAAAACACAACTATAAAACACAAATATAAGTTATAATATGCTTTCTCCGTTAAAGACACATGTAGACGAATAATACATACTTGCCACAGACTATAATTATACAGATCAATCATTACCCTCTTTTATCATCGCAGTTGACTGAACAGATAATAGAACTACAGACAATACTACATAAAACTACAGAAACGGTCAAAAAGTAATTAAGCCGTATTGGTTGGTAATGACGTAATCTGTGACGTCACAAATGAAGATAATATACTGTGGAACATTTACCACATAATAACAATATAAGTTTTTATTGTATAAATTAGTTTTCATGTGAATTGGCTATAAAACAACTTATTAAGTTTTATCGTGCTTGTCGGTCAAATGGTAGCAACGTCGGGCTTTCCGTCCTTGGATTTCCGGCGGATCGAATATGTTTTAAATTTAAAATTGGTAGACATCTGTAATTTCGAATAACGACAGTTTTATTTAAGTACTTGTATCCAAGTTAACAATGTCTCACGAGATAATTTGAATCGGTGTAATAATTCTCTTAAATATATGAAGTATAAAACACTGTGTGTAGTTTACGCGAGTAGTACAAATTTAAATAGTACAGTTTAACGGTTTAAAACGCGATACATATATTAGTTACTCTTCCCGTGACCACAGCTGCTGCAAATAGCCGTGCCGTAGTTAAAATAATTTCCAAATAAGTTTAACCAATCGCATTTTAAACCGTTTAAGTGTTTTATTTATATTTATATAATTTTCCATGCAAACGAAAGCTAAAAAACGTAAGAAAATAAAAACTATTACAACTTACTTAACTTTAACTTATCCCTGTTATGTTTTCCACTAGGACTCGTAACAACGACACGTGTTACCCACGCCTCGCCTGCTGGAATGTACGCCCATACTTCTGAGAGAAACTGGGAATCAGATGCTGATGTACCAGATGAATGCTTGAGTCTGGGCTGCAAGGATATAGCTTATCAGCTGGTCATGGGAGACCCGGGAAAACAGTTTAAGGTAATCTTTTTGGAATATGCTAATTGCTTTATGCATTCGAATGAAAATGTCATTAAATATTGTAAAAGGCTAAGTGTGAGCTGGATTCTCTGTCGAATAATTCCGTACAATTCACTGGTCACAGAAATTACGTGTGACCTTTTTTTGGTAATTCAAGTGTTATATTATTGATATTAAGAAAAATTAGCAATCTCTTAATTTTTTGCTTTGTCAACCCAGATATCGTGCATCTTGAAGTATACAGATGGGCAAATAAAAAGAAAAAAAAAGTACAGTCTCAAAAAAAATGCTTAGAAACGTTAAATGATGCCCAATAAAGACGAAGTTACTTCAGAGCTTGAGATATTTAGTAAACACGGTTTGAGTTCGATTTCTGTTTGTGTGAAATTTGGATCTTTTCTCTAATATATTTATTTATTAATTTTTATTTAACACTTGACGGGCCCATTGGTCTCATGTCCGGCGTAGGTCTAATAATCAAGGTGATGTGGGTTCGCTTTCCTTTCGTCTGAAGAACAGGTCATTAAATGAGTTTTGAATTATTATTTCTCTTCGAACGCGAACCTTGGTTCTCAGTTTCAATAGCCGTTAAATAAACTCGCGTTTCTTTTTCAGTGTGGATTTCCGATTGGATGTTGTCTGTACTCATGTGTCATAAAAAAAACAAATTAATTCTATATATCATATTAAACAAATTAGTTCTATATATCAACTATGAATAACGCTTCTGTTATGCAAATTTTCACGGCTCTTCAAATGGCTTCAGCTACTTCACGTCGTATTGAACAATGTTTTTGTTTAATTAAATACGCTTTGAGGATGTTCGAGAATGTTCAAGGACGTAGAATTTCCTTATTTCGTTATCTGTCTCTAATAGGTAGTAGAAATTAGTTTGACACTTACTTTTAATAGTTGGCCTATTAAAAATAATACGCAATGTACATAAAGTACCTTATTTTCAACTCCGATCCGACATTTAATTTGTCGTGAACCACAGACAACAATGCCATTGTCAATTGTCATTGAAATTGACAGGTCCATAAAAACTTAACTTTTTGCTATAAAATATACTAGTATTATCATTGTGTTCTCTTTTTGAATCTCTTTTCCGTCAGTATAGTACTTATAGTAAGTATACGTAGTTTAGATTTTTTAAATTACAGTGTGAGCGAAGCCGCCGGTAAAATGTAGTCGTTGTGGTAACTGTCTAGGGTATTTATCATTTAAAATTGTAGTTCTAACTAAAGAAACATCTGTTTAAATATCTTAAACAACACGCTGAATCATACTGTATTGTTCAACGTAATAATTGTTATAATAATGTATTTTCTTCGAGAATATTCTAATTGCGTTGAACATCATTATAATTCAAAAGCGAAATTAATAAGAACTAAGCAGTAAGTAGCAATTTAATTCCATATATTTAAATGTTTAAAAATACTACCTACATGGCTCAATGGTTACGTTTAGCTAATATGGCTTGAATAACAGAGAAATATAATAAAAAGATTAATATGTTTTAAAAATCAAAAATAAGTTGAAAAAATGTTCGACACGGGCAAGACTTGAACCGGCATCGACAGCGTTCCGTGCTGTTGCTCTATCAATTGAGCTACCGAGTCCTACACCTCATCATCGAATTTCCGAGTCTAAAATTTTTTCAATTTATTTCCGATTTTTAAATTTGATAGCGCTTTCTTGTGCAATAACATGTAAAAAATAATAAAAGTTTTCAAAAGATTAAAATGTCTTGCCATGGATATAGGAAAGGGGTTTAGTTTCACAAAAACGCACATTTTAACTAAAATAGATTATAAAAACATAGTTAATAATGTGATTTAATAAGATTTAAAGCTAACGCCTGTTAAACATAACTAAATTTTAAATAGCTAATAATAAACAGGTCGTAGATTCGCTCCCCACATGTGTAAGTTAATGTCTGTGTACAATGAACATCAAATTAAATAAATTATTTTGTTTACCATAGGTGATACTAGGTGGCGGTAGACGTGAATTTCTTCCCAACATCACCTCCCCCCTAACAAATTACACTGGAAGACGAAATGATAACGTCGACTTGACTGACATGTGGCATGTAGACAAACTGGAGAGGAACGCCACGCACCAGTACGTCACAGATAGAAATGAACTGATGAAGGTAAAAAAAATTAAACTTCCCACACTGTTTCAATACATGACATTTAACGGATTGTAACGCGAAATGTATTAAATTTAAACTATTTTAAATACGACCCGACATTGCAAAACCTTCGCAACGGGTCTTTCCTCTGGTTCGCGTTTTAAACTGTTAAAAGTATTTTATTTAAATTTGTACAACTTGCGTTAATTAAAGACTTACCCACATAAAACTTTAAACAATCTTTTTTATTTTATTTATATTTAACTGTTCCAGGTGTACAATTCAGATGACCTGCCAGATTACCTGCTGGGGCTGTTCAAGGATGACCACATGGACTATCATATGCAGGCTTCCAACCAGCCAACTCTCGAGGAGATGGTGGAAGTTGCCATTAAGATGCTGAACCGCAGTGAAAAGGGATACTTCCTGTTTGTTGAAGGTTTGTAACACCTGGCAAGTTAAAAAATAGACAAACAAACAAATTAATATTTGAGGGCTACCTTTAAAAGACTCAAAGTGATTCAATTGAATACTTATAACAAGATAAAACTACTGCGGTCTTAGCATCAAATTGTGTGCAATATATTTTTTGTTGAATCATTTTAAATAAGACCTAACGAATCGTTTAATCGTCGAATTTAAACCGTTGTAAAAATGGCTCCAAAACATAGGTATCTTGTTTTTAACGGTTAGATACATTAGTTTTTATAATTACTTCCCTGTTAAAATAATCCAGTTTCCTTAAAAATAACAATATCTTCATATAATTGCAATGACATCATTAAAAAAGCAATTTCAACTAATTAAGTAAAATAGTCGTTTTTTAAAAGTATAGATAACACAATCGCCATATCATTAATTGTATGCTCTTTTAAACCGTACATTGAACTCATGGTAAACTTCATCTAATTTTTTGTAGGAATGTCAAAATTACGTCCGCATCCAATATTTCGCATCCTGGTTTATAAAAACTCTAACATATTTGCGTTTTGGCTTCAGTCTGTAGATTATCGAATATCCAAAATCAAAATAGATAGACCGCGGACCTGATTTTCATGTTATATTTGCTGTATATCCTACCTTCAACAATCGACTTTTCCAGATAGAAGGAAGAAAGACAAACAGAGAAATGCTTTTCTGGTCTCGTCTGTGATGAAAAGAAAACTTTCTACCAAGTCTTAATCTAGCAAACCGTTAATTATTCATTTTCTTTTACTTTATTATACAGACAAGTTATCCATTTTGCTTAATCACAGTATTCCTATTATCTTCTACTCTTTCAGGAGGCAGAATTGACCACGCACACCACGATAGCTACGCCCATTTAGCACTAGACGAAACAGTTGAATACAGTAAAGCAGTCCAAAAAGCCAAGACTCTAACCAATCCTGAAGATACGCTGATCGTAGTTAGTTCAGACCATTCCCATACCATGACGGTGGCTGGGTATCCCTCGCGAGGGAATGATATCCTCGGAGTGGTGGATACAGCTAAAGGCATGGATGGTAAACCATATACTACGATAAGTTATGCTAATGGAAAAGCGAAGTCCTTAGATGAGAGTGGACGAGTGGATGTCACTATACACAGTGAGTTTTCAAAAAGTAAGTGTGTAATATTGAATAAAACTTGCTTTTTAGAGAGTTAGTTGGTCTAATGGTAGCAATGTATAACATATAATCAACGGTGAGTTCGATCCCCACCGAGTCCAACATATTTATATCAATTTAAAAAATTTTGAAATTTGTTAGACTTTGGAGGTCTGAATATGTAATGGGTGCCAGGAAGAAGAACAAAATTTTTTGGAATGTTAAATTTCTGTCCAAATCACGACCCACCCGCACGTTTCGGCCTCAATACCTAAAGCCAAAATAGGTCGACCGCGCATCTTGTTTAGATGTTATAGGATATTTCAACCTACCATCAAGTGAACCTTATGCGTCTGTCCTTCTCTATCGTAAAAAAGAGATAACATTAAAGTAAAAGATATTAACATACTAAAAAGGTACACAACACAACATACTTAATAAAAAATGAAAAAAATTACGACCATAAGTTGTTACATTAGTTATATTATATTATACCATTCATAAGTTAACGAATGTATTTTTCGTGATAAGCCGTTACAAGTGTTTAAATGTCTTCTACTCGTGTTAGCAGCAGACAGTACTTGAAACTAATTCTTTTACGCAGCTTTAGTTAACATTTATATCTTCTAGAATGATTTTTTTAACTTAAGTGAGAAGACTTAATCAAATCACAAAGCAAAATCCTAATTTTCTTATAATTCTCTTTCAGAAGCTTTAGACTATTCGTACCCAAGCCTGGTTCCCTTGGACTCCGAGACCCACGGCGGTGAGGATGTAGCCGTCTTCGCATCCGGACCCTGGCAACACCTCTTCACTGCCAGCTATGAGCAGTCCGTAGTTCCACATTTCATGGCATACGCCATGTGCATCGGAGACCAGAAACACGAGAACTGCAAACCAAAGAGTCGGCATAGAACATTCTGGACGTCTGATGGCGTAGCCCAAAAACCGAATAAGTATTTTATTTTGTTAAGTTGTTTAGTGATACTTGGCTGTGTTAGATATTTTTAGTTTAGTTTGATTCCGATTAATATTTCTTAAAACGAGAAAGAAAAGTATTTAATATAAGTGTTTGTTTTAATTATTTATTATTAAAAAAATAGATATTATAGGTACGTATTTAGTAACTTTTTTAATTTTGCCTAAAACCAGCCAGCATATACGATGTAATTATGTATTGAATATTGTTTCTCAGATAAGCTATCGTAACCGACATCACTAAAAGTCATTGACTGCCTCTGAATCTATTATCAATGGTTGTATTAAGAATGAAGGATTCTCTCCCATAATTTCAATTTCGCCTTAGATTGATAACGTCCATGTAAAGCTTTCGTCGTAATTGAGAGACTCATAGTTCTTATTCGCTTAGCTCAGAACTCGCGAAACGTCGAGAGTCGTTTTTCAATTACGATGGTCGAACAGCTCAAGAACCTTAGTGACTTTACAAATGCTATATATGATTTATAACTTACCTTTTAAAGACACAGCAAAGTATTTACCCCACGCGTCATGTACTGGCTTAATTGTTTTATACTTAACTGTTATTATTATTCCTGATAATAGATGAAAAAACTGATTTTTCTTCTTGATTGAATCGCATTTAGATAAAATTATTTTCATAAGACGACAAAATTGCATTAAAAGACTATCAGGCGTAACCAAATTTTTGCGGCAGTTATTTGTACTTATTTTAGATTTATCACAGTCTTCCATTATTTCTTATTAGCTTAAATAAGTGTCAAGTCGATTCCTTTATTTATTTATAATGAATATCCTATATATACTAGAGCGTAACTAATTATTTGTTTTGTTAAGTGCTTTGTTCAATAATATTTTTTTACTTAATAGAGTTTAATTTTGTAAATATTATATAGATAAGAATAATTTTTAATAATAAAATAAATTGTTGTATTAATAAAATAAATATAGGTACTTGTAAGTTTTTAAATATAATAGTATATTATTCATTATGAGTAATTGTATAAAAGTTACTTCAATATAAAAATAAACTGTGTCAGATTGGTAGAAAACTAGTGACTTAAGTCGAGGTAAACTTTTTGCTATTATACACATTTCCACCTAAAAAATAATAAATAAGTTTATTTTATATAATAAAATGTGGAAAAAATGCATTGATCTGAGAATATTTATTTAAAGTATTAACATTTTGCGAAATAATACTGCATTTAATATTATTTTAATAAAATTGTATAGATAAGTTAATACCAAGTTTTTCTTTAATGTTACTTCAACCATAATGCGAATTAATATAAAAAATATTAAATAATGTTATTTATATACCTTGATGTTACTAACATGATAAATAAAGTGAACCAACTTTGTGTCTGTGTTTTCATATCATTATTATTGACGATAGAATTTAAAAATCGTACGAACGAAAGCACGGAACGCTGACGACGCCGGTTCAAGTCCTGCCCGAGTCGATTTTTTTTTCAATTTTTAAATTATACAGTGCCTTCATGTGCAATAACATGTGAAAAATAATAAAGTTTTCAAACATTATTGACGATATAATATATAAAACTTATCAAACAGGGGATATTAAAAATGGCGGTGTTTATGTTTTTGAATCTATTAAATCTATAAGATCATAATGAGAACGGAACTTGTATAATCCTATGCCGAATTTATAATCCAGATTTTCCAAAGTCATGATGGATTTTTGGAAATCTGGAAAATCTCGTTAAACAAAGCTTTTGAACAAAGTAATTATGAAACATAATGTTTCTGGTCGGAATTGACCCTACGACGACAATTCGCCAAACATCAGACCAACAATGTATATAAAATACTTTAACGGTTTAAAACGCAATATACATGACGTGAATTTGAACTTCGGGCCATAGTTAAAATAATTTTCTAATAAGTTTAACCAATATATATCGCGTTTTAAACCGCGATTAAATAAAAGTGTTTTATTTAACTACTCGCGTAAACTACAGGCAGTATATCGGACCAACCAACCGGTTACCTAGCAAATATTTAGATAAATTATTGCACAAAGACAAAAATTAATATATTTATTTCATGCACTGCCCTGCTTGAATCTTTAATTACATTGCTTAGAGTTGATTTAAGTATGAGTGTTTTTGGGCTTGGTATCGAACCCAAGAACACTTATTAACACATAATAAAACGTTACAATTAGCCAGGACTTATTGTCTGCTTAACTTTCTATTAAAAATTGTGTAAGAAAGGACTGTGTTTGCCCTTTGCCCCACATAGAGGAAACGGAGTTTAACACAGATTTTTATATAACTTAGTTGCAACTTAGGAACCATTGTTAATTTATTTTACATTACATTAACTTAAGTAAGACACCTATCCAATATCAACATTAACCTGATGAAATTTTAATAGTTATAACGTAGTTTTGAATGGAGAATATAGATGGCGTGGATAATATGTACAGATGTAACTTTTCGTATTCAAATGTATGAAGGTTATGTGGTTATGTCGTTGGTCCAAAGGTAGCAATGGCTAATATATTTAATGAGTAGTGGGTTCGATTCCCACCGGGCCCAAGGTGTTTCTAATCAATTTATTATTTTTTCTGAAACATATTGGGCTTTGTATTAAAATCTGGATATTAAATTGTTAGTTAGTATCGCCGTGAAGTTCGTTGATTTCCGAAAATCCTAAAGCTATAAGATCGACAGCGTATCGGATTATGTGTTAATATGAGATATTTCACATTTCATAATGTCAGCCCCATGTCTGGCCCCTTCTACGAATAAAATATATTGTACATGATACAGTAACTTCAGCTTAAATTATATCAACAGAAGTGTATAAGCGTTAGTTATTTAAAACATGTTTACGTCTCCATGTTAGTCATTTCTTGTAGAATTCATATTTGTATTAAGACTTAGACTAGGAAAAATGGTTCTTCACATTCATGCTGGAATCACCTAGTTACGATATTCACAGTCACATTGTTAGGATGACCAACATAAATCATAATACTTAGTCACACTTATTGGCAGAAGAATTAAATATAAAATTTGTATAATCAACAAATTAAAATAAAAATTACTCCTGTTGTATAGGTAGATATATACCTACGCTTATAAGTAATTTTTAATAATTCTTTGACTGATCATGGTTTTTTTTTATGTTATAAACACGATAATAGCATTTAAATGAAACACTTTTTAATGGTTAAAAACACGAAATTTGTTAAGTTATATATTTAACTTATTAACAATTTATTTGAACTACAGCCCGACGTGTTCATGTTTAGCAGCAGGCAACACAGAAATTTGCCTAAGAAAATAAATACTCATCATCTCCCATATATTTTGCTTTTCAATATGGTTTTGTAAACGTGGAAATGTGCGTTAAAAAAATCTATTATTCATAATATTTTAAGTCACACGTAAGTTTAATTGCGTATAATGAGTTAAGGTAATTTTTACTAAAGATGTCATGGAGCGGCCTTAACTAAATAGACTGGTTGAAAAGGATTATTACGACGTTAATCAATATTTAGATGATAAAAATGCTTGGGGTGTGGCACGCGCTCTAACAAGAAAAAAAATGTAGTGCACTTAAACTTGGCGATAAAAGGAGTGACGGCGAGTTTCTTGCCAGTTCTTCTCGTTCGTTCTACGCCCTTGGTTTGAGAACTAATAGTAAGTGTAAAGTTAGATTCTCTAGCTTTGTGACGTTCATATGTATACCTAGTTATCAACATTAATAAATTATTTTTGACTTATTGACTATATTAAATAGTTAAAGTAAGTATTGTCTGTAGTTTACGCTAGTTCCTATCGCTGTTAGTAAAGATAGTGTCAAGTCAAAATATATATTTATTTAATAAGACAGTTTAAAGTAAAAGTTTAATGCGTATTAACTAAAGACAATATCTTTATGGTAATTGAACCTAACTTTATCCTTTTAGTGAAACTATACTAAACCATAAAAATAAACTTAGAATAATGTATGATATATAGTGGAATGTGTGTTGTATATTTTAAAAAACAGATCTAAGCTCTTGTTTAAAAAGATTTATAAAAAACATATATCGTTAAAACATATAAACATATAATCAATGTTAATATTATTCGCAGTACGCACGAGATGTTGAAGAAATTAAATTATTTTTATTCGTCGCTAAACGTGGTGAATTAATATGACGTCTGTACGACCGTGGCTAAAATCTCGTTACAATTTACGGTTTTCTAATACGCATGCACTAAATATTATTAATAAACATTATGTGGATAAAGACATGTATCACCAAGAAATTATAGAGAATTCTGTAGCTAAATGGATAAATGGTTAGCCTAGCATTGGGCTAAGTGCGATCCTGGATTCGAATCCCAGGGAAACAATAAATAGATTCAGCCGGTTTATGTACCGAAGACTGATCGACTACTGTACAGTTATCAATCAGTGAAACGCACACAGTTGTGTGTTTGCCCCAAGTCTCACTTTTTATGTGAGATTAGAGTAAGATTAGTTGTGTTGTAGGTTATAAAAATGATTCACTTTGAGTACATACTAAGTTACAAATACTAAGTTATTATAAATACTCTGTGTTATAGTGTCGCTTAACTTAATCAAGCTAAATTTTTTTTTATCTGTTTAAAACGCGAAACATATTAGTAAACTTATTTACAATTTAACCCCCGTGACCACGACTGCTACAATGCACTTGAAACGTCAGATCCTAGGTAAAATAAATTTAAATTAAGTAAACTAATATATTTGCAATGCAGAAGTTAAACCGGCTAAACAAACTTAGGACGTTATTTTCATCAATATTTGTATATTTTTATTACTTTCCAAAAAATAAGATTTTTTTTTGTATTAAATAAAAGTTTGACATAACTAAGTTAAAAAAAGAGAAGTGAACGGCTTAAAAACAAAATGTATTACACTTATTTTGTATTTATTTTAACGTTGATCTAATGTTTCTGTATAACTCAATCTGACAATAACGAAACAAATAAATTAGTTAGTTATAATTTGAATAAACAAATATTGTCCGCTCCACGCACTTCTCTGTTCTGAACGTAATTGCATTATTAAGAGACACGAAAAGATCAATCCTGGCAGTATTATGACAACCAGTGAACTGGAAAGATATAAAAAATATTAATAAAGCAGTATTTTAATTTAGATCGTTATAGAATATTTAAGTATTTTATCTTATTTATTTAAATAGATATGCGGGTATTTTGAAAAGTGGAGAATTATAGCTTTTTAAATATCAACAACAATCAAGTACAATGAATTTGTGTGTGTGCTTAGCTATATATTTAGTGTTTAATTTTTATTGTGTTATCGCGAGAAGTGTGCTTGGTAACAAAAGTAAGTAAATTTTGAGTAAGTTTTTTTAATCATTTTCTGATCACTACACATCATTACAATATTCAGTTCAGTAAATTGGCAATAAAATGTATCGAACAATATCAATTACAATCAAATATAAGCTCAAAATAATTCATACAAACATAAATATAACACTTTTAACGGTTCATATCACGAAATATTATAGTTATCTTACTTTTAATACATTTTAACTACGGCCTGACACAGCGTTTTCTAGGTCTGTTGCAAACCGCCCGAAACGTATATATATTTCGCGTTTTAAACCATTAAAAGCGCTTTATGAGTCGGGTAAACTACATGCAATAAATACTTCATTGCATAAAAGTAAGCAATTTTTTATAATCTTACATTGACTAACTGCAGTAGTAAGTTTATAGCACGTGTGATCAACTGATTTCTTATGAAATATGATGGTGATGTATACAAAAGGTTTTTTAAACCTTAAATCCAATAAGATTTGATGTTGATAATGTGTGTATATTGACAAAGCCAGAAAATAATTATATATAACAACTGCTAGCCTGTAGTTAACGCGAGTAGTACACATTCAAATAAAACACTTTAACGGCTTAAAACCCGATATATATTAGTTAAACTTATAGCCGTGACCGCGACTGCTGCAAAGCATCCGAAACGTCGGGCCGTTGTTAAAAATAATTTTCAAATAAGACTAATATTCATTCCACATCTCAAGTTATTTGAGCAAATTGTACTACTCAATTATATATTCTGTGGCAGACGTGAAGTAACATACGTAACTCTGCATAACGTTACATACTCAGCAAAAACTTGAGATTGTTAAGTTAACATTATTGGAACAATGCATACTGCATTGTTCCAATAATGTTTGTCTGCACGTGACAACAATCCTTACTTAAATAAAACACTTTAACGGTTTAAAACGCGATAAATATATCGCGTTTTAAAAATTTTGAAAATGATTTTTAACTTCGGCCCGACGTTTCGGGTCTCCCCGTGACCACGGCTGCTGCAAAGCATCCGAAACGTCGAGCTGAAGTTAAAAATAAGTTTCAAATAAGTTTAACTAATATATCGCGTTTTAAATGGTTAAATTGTTTTATTTAAATGTGTACTACTCGCGTGAACTATAGACAGTATCTAACAATCCTTACTCCCTAATATTAACTTTTGACGAGCTTGTTGGTCAAATGCTAGTAAGGTATCACTAAAAAGGATGGTGGGTTCAATTTCGAACCGATTTAACATGTTTAATCCAAAGTTATAAACATTTCCGAATATCCAAAGTCAAAATAAAAGGACAGGGACACATCTTGCGTAGTATTTATATGGCTGGCGTTTTTCACATTCAATCAAGGGAACCCTTATGCTTGTCTATCGTCATCTTAAAAAAACGTGAAGGCTGTTGGAAATGTAAAAATCTAAATAGGTGATGTCGAAATATCGTACGGGTCACGAACCACCGTCCGCAGATAAAACCGTAAGCTAATCCTGTAAATTATTTTAAAAAAAATCGACCTATCATTTAAAATTATATACAATATTCACATATAAAAATCTCTCTTCTTGCAACTGAATATTATCTATAGTATACACGAGTAGTACACAATTAAATGAAACACTTTTAACGGTATAAAACGAGAAATATATTAGTTAACTTATTTAATTCAATTATTTTTACTACAGCCCTACGTTTTGGATGCTTAGGAGCAGCCCACGTAATCAACTAATACATTTCGCGTTTTAAACCGTTAAAAGTGTTTTTTTAATTGCAACTAGTTTTCATTATTATCAAACGAGTACGGAAATATGCCTTATTTTACTTTGGGGTAAGGGGACACTTTTTTTAATAAAGTTACACACTTTGGAAGCAGATAAGTTTTATCGATATTAGTTGAGCGGAAATTGATTAACTATATCGCTAAACAAATGAAATGGATATGGTTACATCTTATCATTTACGAGTGAATGCAGTAGTGGCAATGGTTAAACTCCGCCTGGAACATCTTGATGTTGAATGGGTGTTAGAGATATCGACATTCCATCCAGGACAATATATAATAATTTAGTTTCAGTGTCAATTATCAGATTTTCAAATGTACTAAGACAAAATAGATCGACATCGCATCTTGTTTAGATGTTTTATGGCATATAATCTTTTATTAAATGAGCCCTACGCCCGTCTGTGTAGCCTTGTAATTAAAAATACAAATTGTTATTGAACTTAGTTTGGGTTGTGGGTTTGAATCCCGCTTGCGGCATACATTTAATAATTCTTTAAACCTTTCAGTTAAGTTTACTTATGCACACCCCGGAATGTTTTGAAAACTTAAACATAATAAAATTTCACTAAACGTTTGTCTGAATTCAATTAAAACGCCCAACGAATGGTATTGTCTTCTCTGTCTCTCAAAACACTTTTGTAACAATGAATATGTTTTAAATAACTCGTAAAAAATCCAGCTGTTAAAATCAATTTAAATAAAACACCCGTGACCACGTCTGCATCAACATACAAAACGTCGGGCCGTACTTAAAACAAACTGTAAATAAGTTAATTCATACATTTCGCGTTTTCAACCGTTAAAAAGTGTTTTATTTAAATAATAAAATGTTATAGTATACTAGCTCGCTAACTGTGCCTACATTTGTGATCGTACCGTTTCATTTCGTAAGCAACAAATTACTTGTAGGTATCTTCATACCTATTCAGTCCTTAACAATTCCCAAAGCTGGGACCCATGTCCCACACCGTGTGTATTTATAGAATATATTAATTTAACTCAATCCACTACGCTATACGATTGTAGGAGATTTAGGTTTTCTTACGTTTTCCTTTACTGAAATTAACTTATTTTGTATCTTAAGATAACGTAAAAACAAATATAAATAGTGCACGACCGAGGATGGAAGTCCCGACCGCACGAACGGAATTTGGTTATTTAATGAAACTTTTTTCTATATATATATTATTTAAAAATCGAAAATAAATTGAATTGGTAGAGCAACAGCACGGAAAGCTGATGATGCCGGTTCAAGTCCTGCCCGAGTCGAAAATTTTTTCAATTTATTTTCGATTTTTAAATTATATAGTGCCTTCATGTGCAATAACATGCAAAGAATATTAATGTTTTCAAATATCTATATTATTGTTACCTCCAGTTCCACTTTAGTAATAAAGCCAAGTAAAACCCCTATGGGGAAGGAACGACAAACATATAACTATGCACATTTACTGATCGATTTTATATATAAGCAAGCAAATTTCGTCAGGTCCGAAATTATTTTTTCCCAAAATTCAAAATGAGGACCTCTCCGGGCTTCTTGCTATGGTAGGCAAAGTATTCGACCATTGAATCACGGAGACGAATTAATTGATGCAGCTTTTAAATCAATATTAGAATAGACCCTTTAGGGACGAGGTCGCGTTGATTAAAACATGTAATGTTACGAAACTTGTCGCGTTGGTATCTCTTTGGAAAGCCAGCCTTGGCAGAGAAGCTTAGTGCGACTTGAATAGACGATTTCTCACGATGTAATTTTATTAATTCCTCGTTCAATATAAACACCGTTTAAGCTATCCCGATTAGTCGGTCTACTGGCATCAAGGGATAGCCATACATTTTTTTTATAATAGAGGAGGACAGACAAGCGCAGGGTTCACCGTGACCACGGCTGCTGCAAATGCTGAAGGCACCCGAAACGTCGGGCTGTAGTTAAAATCATTTTCAAATAAGTTTAAAATATATATCGCGCTTTAAACCGTTAAAGCGGTTAATTTAATTGTGTACTATTGGCGTAAACTACGGACAGAATGAATGTAACTTTTAATACTGTTTCTCAATTTCAAAGAAATAAAACATATAAAATAAAAAAGAAAAATAATCATATATGCAAGGCTATATATGTCAAAGGCCGAGTAAATCTTAGCCGTACAGACAGGCATATATAAGGATATGTTTCTTTCTTTCTTGTCACCAAAAATTATGTCGTTATTAAACCTATAAAATTACTTTTCTATAACAGAACTACCTTCTTTACAGATTTCACACAAAAGAGATTGTTCGATGAGAAAAATAAAGAATATTGGAGACAGCAAGCTCAATGGACTTTACGATCAAAAGTATGTTATTTTATGTAATTTAACTGTTTAAAACGCGATATATGGTAGTTGAACTTCTTCAACTTTATATATTTTGCCTTTTATATTGTTAGTGTTTTATTTAAAAGAACTTACATAAATTACAGACATCCTTGAATAAAAATAATGTATATACCGTCTGTAATTTATGCGAGTGGCACACATTTAAATAAAACACTTTAACAGTTTTAAACGGGATACATATTAGTTAAACTCATTTGAAAATTGGAGACTGTCTCAAAGCATCCAAAACGTCGGGCCGAAGTTAAAGTAATTTCCATATAAATTTAAATAATATATATCATGTTTAAACCGTTAAAGTCTTTTATTTGAATAATTTCTATTCTAGCCTGAATATGATGCAATTCGAGTAGAGAGACTTGACATTGTAGCTAAGCTATACTGAGTTGAAATGTATATTTTAATAGAAGGTATTCTTCTATTTTTCCCAGTTAGCAAGACCGCAGAACACCAAAGTAGCGAAGAATGTCATAATGTTTCTTGGTGATGGAATGAGTATCACCACGCTGGCTGCAGCTCGTGTGTACTTAGGACGGAAGTACGGCCTCACTGGAGAAGAAGTTAAATTGAGCTTTGAGTCTTTTCCCCACACTGGATTAGCTAAGGTAACTAATAACTTATTCTAAAAGTATCACAGCAAACAATATTTAAAGAAACTAAGGAGATTCATGTTTATAGACCGGATGGATTGCACTCAAAGCAGAATATTTAAATAAAACATTATTAACAGTTTAGAACGCCAATTATGTACGGTAATTTATTTTAATCACGACCCCACGTTTAGGATGACATTTATACCGTTAAAAGTGTTTTATTTAGTAGGAAACTACTCATTTTCACTACTTTTTTTATTACATAAAAGAAGAAGAATAATAAATTATTTTTGATTTTAAAATAAAGCATTAATTTAGTTTATTGGCCGCTTTATTTGTATACCCATTTCAAAAATTGTCTTTTTAATTTAACATTTTCTAACTCCACAAATATACAATCAATATAGTAAATTGTGTAAGGCTTTCACGGCCATCGTTCAGCATATCATTCGGGCTGTACGGCCGATGTGAGCGAGAGGAGGTTCTCGACGTTTCGCCATCACGCGTGGACGGCATCAACAGGAGATGTTGATTGTTCAAAGAATTATCTACCTCTTCTACCTGCTGCTCTGCTACCTTAACTAGCTGATCCGGAAAACGTTTTCTTGTAACCAAGATGAATATGGCTGTCTTGATACAACTCATAGTTGAAAATAGTGTAGACCAAATTTGATTAACATAAAAACGGCTCTGGCGAGTTAATCCAAAATATAGATTCAGTCCCTTAAAGATGAATAACTAATTGAATTTATAAAGCATTCCTCGACAAACAGTCTGTTTAATACAATAATTGCGTCAATAACATTTCAAAATGCTACCGCGTCGTTAATAGTTCTGCCATGTTACAAAATAACTACATAATAATTACGCTAAACGGATCTTGGAAGGTGTCAGACAGCAAAATAAAAAGCTTATAATGTCCTCCATAATAACAAAAATGTGTACATGTACACATTTTTGTTATTATGGAGGAAGACAGGCAAGCACGGAGTTCACTTGCGCTGTTGATATATTTTGGCTTTGGATATTCGGATATCCACACATTGAAACCGTAACGTGATTAGACTTAACGGCTTTTTCTGTGGACGGTGGTTCGTGAGCCGAACGGAATTTCGGTATTCCTACCATCCATTTAATATCCAGAATTCCGGACGAAGTCCAATGTGTTTCAGAAAAATGTTTCATCCGATGGGTATCAAACCCGCGATCAGTTACTTATAAACTGTATATTGTTACCATTAGATTAAACATACTTCTGTTTTTTGTCAAGAAAACTTATCATGATTTACCGGGAATAGAACCTCGTAACTTTCTCACTTAATACAATGCGTTTGCAAGCGAGCTATGCATGTCCTATCGTTATAATAATGATTACAATTACAGACGTATTGTGTAGACCACAATGTTGCTGACTCTGCGTGCAGTGGGACAGCCTACCTCGCTGGGGTGAAGGCCAACAGTGGGACGGTGGGCCTTACTGCAGCCGTGAAGCGTGGGGATTGCGAAGGGCAAAGGAACGGCGCTAATACGGTCACTGGATTAGTGGATTGGGCACAGAAAGCTGGCAAAGCAACAGGTATTAAATAATATAAATATAGGGTAACACTGAGCGGTTAACAACGTCTCCATTCTTTAAACTCATCATTTTATTTGTTATAATAATATTTTGGGTCTCTATTTGATTGCTTGTATAGCGCGTACGTACAGGGAATCCTGGAAAGTGTTGTTGTGCAAAAATACTAAGTGGTAAACATATTTATACAGTGAGTGACTATCACTTCGTTGACATACCTACTTACATCTAGGACAGCTGTGTATACAAGTTGTTATTATGGACAACCCTATACTTCAAATATAATCAATTATTTCGCGCTGGGATACAATTTCAGGTATAATGTACAAATAGTGTACAGTGCTAAAGTTGTAAACAAACTCCTAACCTCTAAAACTAACATCACACCGTGTATTATCTGCGCCAATAAATATTGAGAATCTGTGGCCATATACATTATTATCTACTATTGGCATTGTATGACCGTGACTGAGGTGGAGGTCTTACTCTATAATCTATAACCGGCTAGCAATCGCCATCTTGAAGAGCGCTGTCAGTTGTCAAATACAAAATGCCACTTCCTAAAAATAAACTCGAGTGCTGTATCCGACATCCCAACTCTACTGAAGTCCTCATATGTACTAGCTGCAATAAAAAATACCACTATAATTGTGTCAGCACGTCAAAAACCCCGTTTGGTGATCTAACTGACGCCTACAAAGTGAATTGGCTGTGCCCATCGTGCGCTAGGCCGAAGTCAGACAATTCAAACACGCCCATAAGAGGAGCTCCTTTACCTCGAGAAGTACAACCAGTATCCCCTCTTCCGTTTGACGAGGTTCGTAAAATAGTGCGGGAAGAGCTTGGAGCCGTATTGGAGGTCTTCAAAACTAACATTCGGGAACAATTTAAACTACAAACACAAGAGGTCTTAGATCAACTATCTGGCGTGACGAACTCGTTAACATTCCTTGAACAACAATACGAACAAGTTGCTAGTGAGCTAAGTGTAAAAACAAAGGCTATAAAAGTGTTAGAATCTGAGAATATATCACTTAAGTCAACTGTTAAGGACCTTAATGTAAGACTGTCAATAGTGGAACAACAGTCTCGTGCTGCAAACCTTGAAATACAAAACGTCCCGGAGTTTGTTTCAGAAAATCTACCTACCACAATTAAGCAATTAGCTTTAACAGTAAACTGTGAGCTTGTGGAATCCGATATATCATATTGTTCCCGGCTTGCGAAGGCAAACAAGGATTCTACTCGTCCCCGCTCTGTGCTGGTAAAATTTACTAACCCTAGAATCCGGGATACTGTACTTGCAGCGGTCATTACATTCAATAAAAAAGCTGGAAATAACACTGAGAAACTGAACACTAGCCATTTGGGGTTAAGTGGAAGCAAGTATCCTATCTTTGTGCCCACCTCACATCATCCCAGAAGCAATTGCATGCTAAAGCTCGCCTCAGGGCTAAGGAGTTGGGCTACAAGTTTGTGTGGATCAAGAACGGCCGCATCTTTATGCGCAAGGAGTCCTCTTCTGCGTACAAATATATTAAAGATTTAGATTGTTTATATAACCTTGAATAATATTTTGTTGTGTTCTTTGTTTATGTTTGCTTAAAAACCTTGAATCTGTGGTACCATTACTATATATATATTGTGTTTTCTTATATTATTAATGTCAATTACCTGCTATTATCAGAACGTTAGAGGTCTAAACTCAAAAACAGCTACTTTTAGGTTAAATGTCTTAAACTGTAATTATGATATTATAATTTTATCTGAAACCTGGCTTAACGCTAGTGTCTACAACTCTGAGATCTTCGATGACAGATACAATGTTTATCGGCGGGATCGTTCCTCTTCAACACACTCAAAACATAAAACAACTGGAGGCGGCGTCCTGATAGCTGTATTAAAAACCTTACCATCACAGAGACTAAACAGTTTTGAAAGTGACTGCGAAGATCTTTGGGTCTCAATAAAAACTTCTAGAGGCAGTAAATCTATAAATCTGAACATTTGTGCTATCTACATTTCACCCCCTGTAAAACGAACTATATTAGAAACCTTTATAGACAAAGCAACTGAATCCTTGGAACAAATTATGTTGCAAAATTGTAATTCTACTTTCATTGTAGGCGACTTCAATCTTGGTGGTATCAAGTGGTTTTCAGAATCTAACAAACATAAGGTGACTAATAAAGGAAACAACCTCTTTAAAACATTTATAGATTTTACTCACCTTAATGGACTCAACCAGCTTAATAATATAAGTAATGTTAAGGGCAATATCCTTGATCTTGTTCTGACCACAGAGACTAACTTGAGTGCTGTCAATGAAAGTCAATTTCCACTCAGTATCATCGACTCCTATCATCCTCCTCTCATCATAGATATCCCCATCCCTCTACTGCATACACCTCCCATATTATGCAAAAGCAAAACCGTCAAGCCAAACTTTCGCAAATGTGACTACACACTTATTGAAGCAGCTCTTGATAATATTAAATGGCTCGATGAATTCCATGCATGCCCTGACGTCAATAAAATGATTAACCGCTTTTATCAAATACTAAATAACATTATTTCCGAGTATGTACCGAAATCACAAAGACGTAGCGCCAGATATCCTGTTTGGTTCACGCCGGCTGCAATACGAATGATAAAAGCCAAATATAAATGCCATAAAAAAATTAAAACCTGGAATAATCCAATTGATAGGGTTGAATTTCAATACTTAAGGAAAGATTGCTTTAAACTTCTAGCTGAATGCCATAGTAACTACCTATCATCTATTGAATATAAAATTGGCCAAAATCCTAAATATTTCTGGACTTACCTGAAAAATCTTCGCAAAAACCGTAGTAGTTACCCGCAGACTATGTCTCTTGAATCTACAGTAGCCACGAATAATCAAGAAATCTGCGATTTGTTTGCAAGTCACTTCTCGTCAGTCTATCAGGGCGTAACATGTTCTACCTCTACTAACTCTTCCGAACCCCAAACCTACGTTGGCAATATCTTCCTCTCGAATGGTGACGTTGAGAAGAAACTAAAAAGACTTGACTGCACCAAGGGCGCAGGTCCCGACAATATCCCTGCAATCTTCCTCTGTAAGTGTGCAACTGCTATATCCCGTCCTCTCACTCTTATATTCAACAAATCCCTTGAGACTGGCTCATTCCCAACCAAATGGAAGGAAGCTAGAATTGTTCCGATATTCAAAAGTGGAAAGCATGAAGATATCGCCAATTACCGTCCCATATCCATTCTTTCTGCGGCGGCTAAGGTTTTCGAGTCCCTCGTCTATGACTGCATAATAAACCAACTTAGGTATAAAATCAGCAACCAACAACACGGTTTCATGAAGGGTCGTTCAACAGCTACGAACCTGGTTGAGTTTACGAACATTATCGCCAATGCTATTGATAAAAACCTGCAAGTAGACACCATCTATACAGACTTCTCTAAGGCATTCGACAAAGTAGATCACACTAGGCTTCTGGCTACGTTAAAGAAATTTGGAATAACAGAATCTCTATTAAGCTGGTGTGATACTTACCTGCGAAACAGAACAAGTGTAGTGGCAGTTAATGGCTTTCTATCCTCACCTTACCCTATTACCTCTGGCGTGCCACAAGGCTCAGTCCTTGGGCCTCTCTTCTTCAACCTCTTTGTCAATGACATAATATCTTGTTTTAAACATTCAGAAGCGTTCCTGTTTGCAGACGATTTAAAATTAGCTCGCGTTATAAGGAACGAGAACGATGCTGATCTGCTACAGAGTGACCTTAATGCTCTATCAGTTTGGTGTAAGACTCACTTTATGTACCTAAACCCCGTAAAATGCTTCCAAATGTCTTATACACGTAAACTAAGCAATTTTGACCATCAATATACTATTGAGAGCCACCGACTGGAAAAGTTATCAAAAATACACGACCTAGGTATACTTCTGGATGCAAGGCTTGGGTATATCGACCACATCGACAAAATTGTAGCTTCGGCCTCGAAATGTTCGGCTTTTGTCTTGCGAAACACAAAGAGTTTTAAAAAATCATCCACGACGTTGCTTCTGTATAATGCACTAGTAAGATCCAAATTAGAATACTGTAGTCAAGTATGGAATCCTAGCTACGCAGTCCATAAAAATAGGATTGAAAACGTACAAAAAAAGATACTTAGAACGCTAGCCCTCCGGGAACATTTACCTTGCGCGAAGTATATCCCGTATTCTATAAAACTAAATCATTTTAGCATCCTGTCACTAAAATCAAGACGCCTTCTGCTGGATATGATGTTCCTGCATAAAGTGGTAAACAATAACTTCGATTGCCCATCCCTGTTAGCAAAAATAAATATCAACGTGCCTCACAGACCCCCACGCAAGATGTGTGCATCCTTTCGTCTTCCCTTGAGCAGGACACGACTTGGAGTCGATTCCGTGTTAAACAGACTGTGCAAAACGTATAATGAACTGTTATCGAAGATTGACATCGACATAATGTTTGACACATCCCTTACTTTTAAAAGAAAGATCAAAGCTTACCTAAAAACTGTTTTTGAGTGATTTTATTTTATATTACTTAGTTATTGTATTTCCTCTTTTTTTTCTTAGCATTATATAATAATTAATTAAGAATATGGCGCAAAATGTGCCTAGTCCAACTTGTTATTTATATGTATCCTGTATGTTAACTGCCAATCGACTACCATGTTGCTTAATTTATTCTTTGTAACTAGAATTCACGTTATTATTTGATCAATGTCTATCTTCAATTGTATGTATACGTGTATTTCTGTAAGAATAATAATAAATAAATAAATAAATAAATAAATACATAATGATTACAAGAGGGAATAAAGTCGCATGCTTTGCTTAAAGATCATTGCAACAAACAAACCAAAATATTTAAAGCGAGTATTGTCTGTAGTTTAAGTAAGAAGTACATATTTATGTACAACGCTTTCAACGGTTTAAAACGGGTAATATATACCTTTATATCTTTTTTTTATTTAATTTACCCATGGACGTTTCGGTTGCTTTGTCACGGGAGGACATAAGTAAGTAAACGAATTTCACGTTTTAAACCGTTAAAATTATTTTTTATATCCGATAGTACTTTCAAATAATTTAACTGATACTTATATTTTGCATTTCATACCGTTAACCGTTTTCATTTCTTAATATCTGAAGAATGGTAATATTATAATATAATAAGAATATGTCCACTATAATTATTAAAAAAAGTTTAAGATTAGTTCCATTCTAAAACAGCAACTGGATAAGAACAGAATGGTTAATCAATTTTATTACTGTAATAAATATTTTTATATCTAACAACGTATGAACATCAATTTGATTAAAAGAATTAATTTTGCCTATGTCACATGTTTACTCGTCAACGAAAATCTCGCAGACCCAATAAAAAACACCGAACAATACCTGGAATTGAATTTCAATTGTTGTCATGATTATTAATAATTACTTCGTAAGAAAAAAAATCTCGACAGCAATTACTCTTGACCGTGTTTTGTTTGAATTGTTAAATTTTTGTGTCAAGGTGTGAATAGAAAATAGTGATATTTTGTGACAATTATTTGACACTCACAATGCAAATTAAACGCACATTAGTATTAGCACGAGAGGTCGTGGAATCGAATCTGGGAAACATAAATTTTATATTTTCACTTGGACTAATAAATAAATGGTACAAAACAGAGATTTTTTCTTCCCCATTTGGAAAACTGTATGGTACTTTTTTATTTCTTGTTTACTTTATGAGCATGCGTTCAAGTAAACCCGAGTGATGCTAGTTGATTTATCTTGTGATTAATAGGTCGTAATAAAATATACACTTTGAGCGAGTCGTCAAAAATCTTAAAAAAAAGTCGATTTTTTGTAAGAATGGTGAGTGAAGCAAATCAACCTCAAGGCCTTAAAATATTAAAGAACTAGGATTAAAATAAAAAACCCAAAAACGGCATATCGATAAACTAGACGACACTGTGAGTCAGTTCTATAAGCATCCTACTTAGTTTCTCCAAATACCAATTACAAGGAAACAGATGGCACTAGCGTAGCAGGTTTGATTTTGACAGTGACACCCTTCTTGTTTATTACCTTCGTAACCACGACTACTGCATAGCTTATGCTTTAGTTAATATAGATCGCGATTAAAACCATTAAAGATTTTAATATCTTCTACTCGCATAAACAACAGATAATAATTGTACATTATATATTTATTATCACCGGCGCGTGCGACAGCTGGGGATTCCTGAAACATTGAATGACGTAGAATTTATTAATAATATTATTATCCTTATTATTTCCCTAGCTTCATTCAAGATAGTTTTCCTTGTTATTAATAACTTTAATTGTAGTTATTGACACTAAAATTGAATGAAACTAGTGGCATAATTTAATTTCATAGTAATTTAATTATTATTTAAGTTTTTTTAGTGTTATTGCTATTATGTCCAGTTTTCAATAAACCATAAATGGTTAATTTTACACATACAAATTCTGAGACACGACTATCGTCCATAAATGGAAAAGCTATGAACTGGTGATGCGTTTCGATATCAGTCTGTGGATTTCTGCATATCCTTCAGTCATAAAGTTAGGCAGCGTATCTTGTTTGTATGTTACACGGCTTTGCATTGAAAAAAAAAAAAAAAAAGTGAGCGTGCACTTTTGCCTAGCTCCTTAAAATGTAATTTTGGTACTCGGAGAAAATTTGCACTATGAGATTCGGTGAGTCTTAACGCGACTCCAAAATGATGCGACCCTCGATCTTACGATCACGTAAAAGTCCGATACCCTTGCCTCAGCGAACATGCCGGACGCACTGCAAAACCTCGGAAGCCCCATTAAAATACGAAAGGCATCATTATACTGTACCCTTAACGTATTGTAGGACCTCCGAGTAAAATTACACCACAGTGTAATAACTCTAGCAATACGCTTTAAATAAAAGTGTTTTCACCTCCTTATCACACGGTCTGGCAAAGCGACGCGCCAGCATATTACATCTTATGGCAAGTGATCGTCTTTCCTGTTCAATGTCAGCATCGTCAGATGTCCGCTCCGTTAATACGTGCCCCAAGTACCTAAACTTATCAACCATTTTTATAATCGTTTTTTTATTTATATAGTGTCGTCGTGTGAAAAACATTAAAGTTTGCAACGACATTAGCTAGTTAATAAAGCATTATCGCATTTATAAGTAATAACTAATTGAAAAACAGGAATCGTGACGACGACCCGCGTGACGCACGCGACTCCGGCAGCTGCGTACGCGCACTCCGCTGACCGGAAGTGGGAGGCCGACGCAGACCTGCCAAAGCACGGCCTTCGCTGTGACGACATCGCCACGCAGCTGGTCAGGGGGCGCGTGGGCAGTCGAATTGATGTAAGGTTTATTTCCCTATATTCAAATAGAGAGGTGTAAATCTGAATACTGTCTATAGTTTACGCGAATAGTACACATGTAAATGAAACACTTTAACGGTTTAAAACCCGATATATTAGTTAAAATCATTTTCAAATATATCGCGTTTTAAACCGTTAAAGTGTTTTATTTAAAGGTGTAAATCTGGTTTACTCGTATTTTATACTGTCTGCACTTTAACGGTTTAATACGCGATATATATTAGTTAAACTCTTAAAACTTAGTCAAAGCCTCCCCGTGGCCACGGCTGCTCCAAAGCATCCAAAATGTCGGGCCGTAGTTAAAAGGATTTTCAAATAAGTTTAACTAATATATACCGCGTATTAAAACCGTTACAGTGTTTTATTTAAATAGCCTATATTGTTTTAGGGTTTCGTATTGATCCCTAATCAGCTTCGCCTAGTGTTTTTTTATATATATACATACATAGGATAGGGTAACTTGGTGGGAGGTGAAATACTCCCGCCATATTACATCTACACAAAATGTGCTGTCGACCAATTTTGGCTTTGGAAATTCGGATATCAACAGACTAAAACCTGATGATTACATAGCCTGATGTTTTATAACCTTAAGCCTTCTTCGATACAAAAAAAAACAACAATTTGAACTGATAAATTTGAAATAATCAACATATATATTATTTACAGGTAGTTCTAGGCGGCGGCAGAAAGAACTTCTTCCCGAGATCAGAAAAAGACTTCAACGGCCGTCTCGGGTACAGGCGGGACAAAAAGAATTTAATTAGGGAATGGCTTCTTTCGAAGGAATCTTTCGGATACACTCCCAAATACGTGTACAATAGGAAAGATTTACTATCGCTGGATGTGGAAAAATACAACAGTGTTCTGGGGCTGTTCTCTTACGACCATATGCCGTACCACCTGGAGGCGGAGGAAGAAGATCCAACTCTGAGTGAAATGACTCAAAAGGCTATTAATATTTTGTCAAGAAATAACAGCGGTTACTTCCTCTTTATTGAAGGTATTATTTCGAATAATTATACTAAGTGCTTACTTATTTTTTATGACAAGAGTATTGCAAGGTAATAAGTTGTTTAATTATCACCTGTGAAAACCTGTTAAAGATACTATTTATTGTTTAAAACATATTTATATTTCATTATCAAAGTGTTATGTAGCTTCCTTCAACATATTAAGAAGTCTAGACTTTTCTACGACAATTAAAGGTATTTGCTACATGTAGATAATATTTTATACGATAAAGCAGGACAGACAAGCACCTTCCAAAGATAGTGTAGATAGTAGATAAGATGTAACACGATGCCCTATCGATCTATTTTGGCGTTGGATATTGGAAAATGTTTAAAAAAATTTTGATTTCGACATGTTAGACTTGGCCGGACAGAGTGAAGTGGCATTTTGATCTGTGAATCGTAGTCTGTGACCCAGATGGAATTTCGACATTCCTACCACCCCATTTAATATCCAGATTTCCAAACGTAGTCCAACATGTTTCAGAATAATTATGAATTGATAAGAAGCATGTTTGACCTGGTGGGGATCGAAACCTCGATTTGTTGATTCTATTACTATTTAGCATATAAGAACTTTGATTAAATTGGTATTTCTAAATGCACTGGAAGAGACTAGCCGCTCACGATACAGGGAATCCTAGAGTAGGAGCTAGTACACTATAACGAAATGTACAATATTTTTGATAAATAGAGAATCTGTATCTGTCAACACCGGTACCACCAAGGTTTCCCTATCCCCAGGTGGAAGAATAGACACGGCTCACCATGAAACAAAAGCTCGTAAAGCCCTGGACGAGACAGCGGAGCTAGCGAAGGCAGTGGAGGCAGCTCTTAGACTAGTCAACACAGATGACACTCTAGTACTTGTGACGTCAGACCACAGTCATACTATGACTTACAGTGGGTACAGCGAGCGCGGCGCTGATATTTTGGGGCTTGGGACTAAGGTAATATTATATTATATTTAGTTTAGACATTATCTCATAATGCCCTGGTAATTAATAGCTTTGTTTTAAATTTTTAAACAGTTTTTAGATAAAGTATTTAGATTCAAGATTATTAAAAAAAACTGCTTTATCGTAATATGCTAAATAGCACGGATAAATTTAAGTAAATTGATGAATTTTAATACTGTCCATAATTATATTTCTACCTACTAAAGTACAGTAGTTAAAATAAACAAAAAAGACAGTCGCCAGTACGTGCGAAGCAAATATTTCAATAGGCATTTTTACTGTTAAGTTAAAGGAATGTTAGACAGTCCGTTGAATTGTCTATGAATTATTTAATGTATATTTCTATGATGTAAGGTGATTGATAAGAAACGCTTAGTTGCCTTGTACTTTACCCGAGTGGACCGTATTTAAATAAACACTTAATAGTTTAAAACATGTAAGCTTATATTTATTTATTTTAGCTGTAACATAATGTTTCTCAAGCAATTAAGAGGAAACAGATGAGGCCAGCATAGCAGATTTGATTAGAGATAATAGATACCATTTATCGTCAGTCCTCCGCGACCATGGCTGCTGTAATACATCCGAAACATCGGGTTAAAGTTAAATGTAATAAAATATATATCTTAAAATTGTTTCAGTTTAACGCTTCCGATGATATGCCATACACAACGCTTAGTTACGCCAACGGACCAGGATATAAGCCTCATCAAGATTTCAAGAGGCATAATGTTATGTTGGACGATTTAAGTGAGTATACGTCACTATTTGAAAAGTGTATATTTTTGGCATTTTTTGGTCGTAAAATGCGTACATTTCAAAACTACAAAAAACATACTATATCTAAACAACGGATACGTTTTACTACGATACTGTATACTTTCACTTATCGAAAACTTCAGCAAGAACTGATTTTTGGTGATTATGTAGTGCTATGGTTTTAAAAGCGATTACATGTTGACTTTTTATAATTAATTTTTAAGATCAACTGACCTTCTTCATAAACAATTAGGTATATAAACTCCATTGAACATCATATTATAAAAAAGTTTTTTACATTGTTTACAGACAATTTGAACTACACCTTCCCATCTTTGGTTCCAATGAACCGGGAGACACATGGTGGCGAAGATGTGGCTGTCTTTGCAACTGGACCTTGGGCACATCTCTTCAGTGGAAATTATGAACAAAACTTTATACCACATGCAATCGCTTACGCGTCGTGTATAGGAAACGGTCTCACTGTTTGTTCAAGAACGGTGTAAAGTTATATTTTATTTAGATCAATTGTTTAGTATTAAAGAAAACGAAATTAGACACATTTTATATAAGTGAGGGTACACATAAAAAATTTTGTTCTTTGTAACCTAGATGGCATTACAAAACACGAAAAGCTCACATTCTCTTCCGTACGTCTGTCCTACTAATTGTTTAAAAGCTGTGTAAATTAAACTTAAAACACGTAACTCTAGATGCCGCTATAATCAGTTTAGCAAGTTACCAACTTTGCTAAGTTATTTGTACTAAGTGGTAATAATTCAGTGCTTTTAACGTAATTTTTAGAGTGATTAGATCATAGTTTTACTTATTTTAAAGCAATTTAGTATAATTACTTAGTTCCTATAGTTTATTTATTATTATGTAGTTTATTTATTATAGTGACAGTATTTTTTATTAAAAGTGTGTTTGTTCAATTTAACTATATATCATTTGACAGTTAACTTCCAAGCCTTAAACTTAAGTAAAATATTACCGTATTAGAAATTTCATTGTTACTTCTGTTATCAACTAACACTATTTTTTTTACGATAAAGACAATTTCGTAATATAAGACAAAAAATATTAAATAAACACTATTATGTATATGTTCTTATTTTTCTTTTTATTTAACCCTGTGCTTATATATTTCATGTTAACACCAAATATAAGAACGGAACCCAGCTAATATTATAAAGACGAAAAGTTAGCTTGTTTCTTTGAAAGCGCTAATTTTAGGAACTATTGATTGAAATAAAAAGTTTAACGTTGGATAGATTGTTATCGAGGAAAGCGTTAGGCTATAAAAAATTAAACTGCGAGCGAAAAAACAAAGGGAAATCATTATTAATTTATGAAGGTTTCCGTTGCGCGCGCTGCGAAAACGGTTTAAGGTTCCCAAAAATATGTACGAAAGAATGATTCCTCTTAAGCTAATCTAAAAAATGTCCGCCATAGTATATGTCTATCTTTTAAGATAAACTTAGCAAGAACGACGGTACACTGACCATACACATGAGTAATATGATTGATCGAATGGTAAGGACTAAAATATGTCAAGTACCTCTTAATCACCTGTTATCGTAGGTGTGACTAAAATTATGACAGAACGTTAAGGTCACGGTGATTTGGATAACTTATGATATAGTATGTGTAATGTAGGATGATAATTCCGTTAACGATTGTTATTATTATTTGGTAAAACAAATAATACTGAACTTTATTGGCGTGAATGGAAAATGTAGTTCCCCGTGACAACGGCTGCTGTAATGCATCCTAAACGTCAGGCCAGTGGTAATGATTTTAAAGTAGGTTAACTAATATATTTCGCGTTTTAAACCGATACAAGAGTTTAATGTAAATAAAATCCACCTAATTCATTATGAAAACGAAGATGTTTCTTATTAACACAATAAATTTAATAAGCACCCACGAGTGACCCTGTCAGGATTGGAACCTACAAGGAAGCAGATGGCGCTAGCGTAGCAGATTTGGCTTTGGCATTAGGAAGCCTATGTAATATTACCCTGGTTTTATTATGTATTTATCAATATGACACAATATAAATTCCCTATTGTGCGTTTTAGATATCGTTAGACATTACTGCGGCTTGAGAATGAGAATAAAACATCATTGTATGTATTACACATATATTTTAAATTATCAGTTAAATATGATTAAATGAGTACAAAATATGTCTGTAGTTTACGCGAGTAGAACACATTAAGGGTTTAAAACACGATATATTTTAGCAAACGCGAAGACACCGTTAGTCAATTCTGTAGGGACTACTGTCTTCAGGGGAACAGATGGCGCTAGCGTAGCAATTTTTACCTTGACGTCAGAGACATCCTCCATCTTTAATCCCCCCGTAGCCACGGCCATTTTTAAATAAGTTTAACTAATATATATCGCGTTTTAAACCGTTAAATTGTTTTATTTAAATGAGTACAAACTATAATACGATGACACGCTAGCTTAAATAGTTCTTTGGTATTTAATTCGTTAATATTCGACATCTATATAATGCAATTATTTTTCCTTTGATACTCATTAAGAAATAATTTTCTGAGCTTACTTTATATAAATTGAGCATCTTAAATAACATAATATTTCGTGCATATTAAACTAGTGTTTAAATTAAATAGTTACAATAGTTAGCAGTATAGATAAAAGTTAAGGAACTTTTCAGGTTAAGCCATACTCAAAAATGTCGACTAGTTTTAGTTAAAATACAACCGTACAGACAATGCTAAGCTGGAAAACCGCCAAAATATATCTTCAACGTTACAGATATTACAATATTATCATTGTACATCATAATACAATCCACATGTAAGCAACGCAGTTTGCAAAAGTGACTAAAGTTGGTTGTAGCCGGTTCGCTATCTACTTCGTCCCTTGTTCCTCGTAAAGTCAAGACTTCTAGACGCTCTTCGCTGGCCTGAAACAAAAGAAGACAATAATTAAAATAATAGTAAGAGAGAACATAAAATAGAAGGCGTGACAAGAACCGGCATCGTCAGCGTTCCGTGCTGTTGCTCTACCAATTAAGCTACCGAGTCCTACACGTCATCGTCGATTTTTTTCAAGTTATTGATACATGCACTAAACACCAATAAGATTTACAAATTTATACCAGATTTTATTTCACTCGAGACGCGCCCCATTCTGCACTTTAGAGGGTCAATACCTTACTTTGATTTACTCACTGTGCAATCTGTTTTAATTTAAATGCTTTTAACTGTTTATAATAGGATGCATTAAGTATTTATAACTATGTTAAAGGATGCTTCTTTCTTTAAGCTGACTACGACTGCTGCTAAGCGTTTGAAACTCTGGGCCGTTAACTAGTATATTATATCGCGTTTTAAACCGTTCAAAGAGCTAATCACATCATGACTTCACAATCATTTATTAAGCCAATTTGGGTGCTACTTGCGTAAACTAGGGATCTGCATATGATTTTACGAAATAATTTATTGATTAAACTCCCAGCTTGTGCTATTTCATTTTCAGAAATGTTCCAAATTTAAATAAATCATTTTTTACTTTTAAAAACGTGAAATGTAGTCATTAACTTTAGGAATTATTTTTACTACGGCTCCTAAACATCTAAAACGTCATTAAAATAATTTCTAATGTTTAACTAATATATTACGTGTTTTAAACCGGCAAAGGTGTTTTATTTAAGTGTGTACTACTCGCGTAAACTACCGATAGTATTTAAAGTTCCATATACTATGTAATTATAACTAACATCGTCCCGTAATAAAACCCAGAACCTCGCAATCTAATTATTATAATCGAAATATTTGTGAGCTAAAATGATTTGCACAGTCAGTAAACCTGACGTAAATGTTATCATTATCTGCCTGTTAGTTTGTGCATCTGCTATCAATGTTTAAACTTTGATAATTTAATTATACTCTTGTGAAAATATTTGTTTTACTTTCAGCGTTATTAGATATCGTTTCGAAGATAATTTATTTCACAATACTGTTACGTTTAATTAATTTCTTCCTATATAATGAATGTTTGTCTCATTTAGAAACAAAAACAGCTTCGGTCGCCTAGGGCAGACAACGTCCAACTATGTCCACTTGCCTATTCGATAATCGTCGAACGACACACGACTTAAGTTAGAAGAAGTATGTTTTGAAAAAGTCTCGTAAATAGGAAAGTGAACACGAACAGGATTCGACCCCATGGCCAAAGCGGTCATTATCGTTTAGACCGGCAGGTGTAATTGTAGCAATGTAATAATCAACGGGTCGTGGATTCGATCCCCACCGGATCGAACATGTGTCTAATAAATTTGTAATTTTTCTGAAACATGTTGGACTTCGTCTGGAAATCTGGATATTAAATGGATGGTAGAAATATCGGAATTCCGACGGGACACGAAGCACCGTCTATAGATGAAAAATCCAAGTCAAGTTTAATCGCGTTTTGGTTTCAGTCTGTGGATTTCCGACAATCCAAAGTCAAAATAGGTCGACAGCAGATCTTGTTTAGATGTTTTATGGCTGGGGTATTTCACCTATTGTCAAGTAAACCTGATGCTCCTCTATATTACAAGAAATCTGTCTTTGATTTTTTGTAAATTCAATTATAATTTTATTGAGTTTAGCAGTTGTAGCTGTAGATTACATTCTAGTATATAATTTTAGTTAAAATAAAACACTTTAACAGTTTAAAACGACGACACGTCTCCCCGTGACCACGGCTGCTGCAAAGCACCGTTACGTATGCTTCTTTCTATCTAGATTATTTATATGTAAATAAAACACTTTAACCTGTCTCCCCGTGACAACGGCTGCTGCAAAGCATCGGAAACGTCGGGCCGTAGTTGCAATAATTTGAACTACTATCACGTTTCGAACCGTAAAAGTATTTTATTTAAATCTACTACTAACGTAAACTACAGACAGGATATAATTTTGTATTATTTTTCATATATTATGCGTGATTTTGAGTAAATAAAGTCACCTCCATTTCTGAATCAGCCAAAAGTGAGTTCAAGAAAGCTATAAGTAACTCGTCACACAACTTTTACTTAAGTTCCGTTAGTATTGATGTTATGACTAAGAGAATATGGCATCTTGTGACCTAAGGAACCTACTAATATATATTTAATTAATTGAAGTGAATCGAACTATCCTCTACTATCATTTAACCTTGTCATTCAGCTGTGTGTAAAATCTTATTTTCCCTGTGGTATTTAGTTCATTACTTCTGTGCCTTGCCCAACCAAAATAAAGTTTTGGAATTTGGTAACTTGATTTCACGGGATCCGAACCCAGGATATATTGCGCTTAAATATTACTTATTATTACCGGTATTGTAAAGCAATAATCTTTTGAGGATACTCGACAATTTAAAAATATACTGTCTAGTTGAGAAGACCAATACACATGCACAATACTTTTAATTGAGTTCAAACGAAGTATTTACCTAAGTTAACTTTTTTAAATTATGACCCGACGTTTCGGATGCTTTACAGCAGCCGTGGTCACGGGGAGACTGAGGGTAGATGTTGTTTACGTTTTACAATGTTTGCTTATGTTTTTATTGTTTCTTCAGAACTGGTAACTGAACCCCTGACTTACGACGACCTGACGTAGGCATGACTCAGGTGTCTATGCATTATAGTTACATAAAAGCAAGTTCATTAACGATGCAAAGAAATGACACATGTTGCAAGTTACTATGCTTTATTCGTTCGTAGTATTAGGTTATAGATATTTGTGTGTCCGTTTCTATTACTTTTATTTACAGTCAAGTATTCAGTACTGTGCAATAATCCAAAAAAGGAATTTAAAGATTTTTAGCTCAACGTCGGACCGTAGTTAAAATAAATTGTGAATAAGTTAAATAAAATATTTCCCGTTTAAAACTGTTAAAAGTATTACTGAAATATGAATCATACAAGTAATTAAACCATAAAAATACCATTTATGTAATAAAACCACAGACAACACTTGTTTAGGCTTATATGCTTTCTCTGGTCTAAACACTGCTCCGAAACAAAACATACTTTCTGAATAACACTATCTAAAAATTCATTAATCTTGTGTTAATTTACTTTCTATTAATGTTTTTTTCCCTTAACACAATATGTGTTGTTAACCAAACTGGAAGGAATCGTCACAAATGTCAATGGCGTGTATTGACATTTGTGACGATTGTTTAAGTTCTAACTGGACTATAGATGGAAAAGCCGTGAAGTTAATTGTCAATAAACCGCTAAAGTACGATTACGTACATATCCATTATATTTTTAACTTCTAGTTATTCTAAATAACAACTGGGACTGTTATCATAGGAAAGATTATCGATAACATTTACAATTACACAACATAGACAATTAGTGAAAATTGTAACTCTTTAATTATCACAAATAGTGAGGTCTTAGCAATATGTGTTTTTTACCCTTTAGGTTCAAACTAGATGTCAACGCTAGCTATAAATCAAATTCCACAATAATGTTCTAACCACCTTATCTATTGACGAAGGTCAAATGACTAAGAATACAATGGGTGATTGAAAAATGACTATAATTTTCAGAACAAACAAATACGTGACTAAATAATATACATAATATGGAAAATTTTTAAACACACTCTAAAGTACTCCAGTGTGAAAATATTTCCACAAGTAAAAGTTACTAAATTATGAAGTAATCACGCTATGTCTGCGTTAAGAAGTCTTGAGTCGCAATTGACTCGTTTCGTTTAGTAAACGGCGAAGTGACTGTTGTTTACCCAACATTAGATTCAAACCCACTATCGCTAACGTTAAAATATGTTCTATACTTATAATGTACAAATCGATAAAAATAGTGAATAGTTACTTTTTTAAAGTAACGGTAATATCAGATATTAAAATAAATTAGAAATAAATTAAATAATACTTTTACTAATATTCGGCGTATTAAACCGTTAAAAGTGTTTTATTTAAATTCTTTATTAATTATTGCACATGCTGTGTGCAGTCTTGTCTGACAAGAACCACTTTTATAGGTCCTTGAACTACCTTTGCTGTTGTGCTCTTCTATAAAATGAAGGTTGGTGAATACACTTTAACGAGGAAATAAATTACCCAAAATTAGTATGTTCTAATTGGACGAGGTTACATTAGCTAAAGTTATACAAGAGGTGACATAAGTTAGTTCGGTAGAACATACAAAATGTAATTGTAAAACTAATTTTACTAAGGAGTGAATTCTTAATTCAATTTTTTCTCTTGATTTAATAATCTGTGTTTTTATCGACAATCCATAGAAAGAGTAAAATTATAGATCTTTGGATTAAAATCTGGAAGGATAAACCCGTCCCGGACAACCAAACCATAGACGAAAAACTCGTGAAATATTTATCTAGATTGTCAATTATGCAGCGATATTTACCTACACTAATATTATAAAGCAGTGTTTGTTTGTTTAAACTCGCCAATCTTAGGAACTACTAGTTCAAATTGAGGAAGGCTATAGGCTATAAATCACCAGGCTGGGCGCCGCGAAATCGTCTTAAGATCCCCAACAATCTTTAAATAATCTACAACACTGTTCGCAACAATATATGTCTATCTTATAAGAATAACACACAAGGACCGAATTTTTAGTAATCAATATTGGTCGAAACACTTCAAATGATAAAACCTTTGCCCGTTCTATTTTTAAATAATATGACTACTGTATTTCATCTTCCACCTCACGCTTATCCTCTATTTCAATGCCTTACCTGCGACCTTTGACACAGGAACACACAGCACATATACTCGGATAAAGCCGGCAGCACATTTTATAGCTGATATAGCAGAACGTTTAGTTCTTAGATGAGTTATTTCATTATGATGGTCCACACTCGCACTTAGCACACATAGTACGCAAGCGAAGAACACAATTAGTACGTAAGAATTCATCTTGACCTGCCGTCGCGATGGTCGCATATACACTAGTGTGTTCAGGTGTTGCGATAAATAAAATAAACATCGTGAGTCATGGTGAAGGTAATCTTTTAATATTGGCGCTTATCTGGCATAGGTTGTCGTGGTCTGAGTGTTATATCTAATTTTAATTTGACAGGCTTCAATGATTCGTGGGTCGATCCGTACCGGGTCCAACGTGCTCCTAATCAATTTATGATTTTTCTGAAACTCGTCTGGAAATCTGGATTAATTGGGTGGCGGGAATACAAAATTCTGTCCGGCTGGTCACGAATTATCATCGAACGAATCCATGATTGAATGGCTATCTTCCATCAAGTGCCGGTCTCCTCGGCCGTATTATTTTGACTTTGGATATTTAAAATCCACAAGCTGAAACAGAAACGCGGCTTTTTCATCGGTTATTATTCCACTAACTGATTTAATATCACAAAAAATATCAATTGATAAGTAACCCGTTGAATATTAGCTGTGCATTGCTACGATTAAGATACCACCATAGTTTACCACGTTTAAGTAATTTAATTTTCATTCTTTCTACACCTAATTGATTAGGTAACAGCCCGTGACCGAAGTTGCAGGAAATGAGTTTTCAAGATTAATGCCGTCATCCGAACATTCTTCGTTACTTAGTAATCGATAAACCTGATTATTGATATGTATTTATGATTGGTTAATTTAACGGGTCCGTTTGATCGATGGTAGAAATTGTTCGGGTTGTTTGCTCAGTTGTCATCGGGTGCAACATGTTACTTGAAATGTTTTATTATTTTTCTGTAAAATAACTTTTTCTGAAAAACCATAAAGTTTGTCGGGAATAATTTTTTGATTTTAAGTTTTGAGCACTTGAAATGAAAATCGAATTGTCTAATTCGAAACCACAGATAAGCTTATCGATATAACGGAAGTACAGTCAGAGTTCGTATTGATTCTGTTTGATAATCGAATATCTTGAATCATTGATTTTCACGTTTAATATTGAGAATAATTTTCATGGAAAATTATTCACAGAACAATCTTTGCATACTGAATATATCGAGAAATATTATTTGAGATCAGTATAGGCACAAAATATGTGTGAATTTCCGTCGGAATTTTGGCTGATCACGACGAAAAACATTGTTTGTAACAGGTGTCATCGTCAGGCTGGATCTTTATACACCTAAAAATGTAATTGATAAACATCCTTTATTTTTAGGAATAATAAATAATACATAATTTAAAAATGTGAATGAACCGGCACCCACAGCGTCCCGTGCTGTTGCTCTAACCAATTGAGCTACCGTGTCACAAAATCAATGTTTTATAAGCTTAGATAAAAGGATGTTATTAATAATAAATAATAAATTGATTATACTACAACTTGAAAGAACTAAAATTATTCTCACTCTAAACGACTTTAATACGGATATAGACAAACGGCCATTTTGCCAAATTCCAGATCGATCCAATGCCCTATCGATGACTAATATGAAATCGCAAAAAAAATGTTAAAAAATGTCGTAAAGATATATATATTAATAGATTACTGGCGCCACTTCGATAAACTTTATCTTATTGGATTACTTAATCGTGTAAGTATGACTGTGAATCATCATTTTAACAAAACATAATTTAGCTCTTAGCTTGTTGTCCGTCCGGGTCACGAACCGATGATCGTAAAGGAAAAACCGCAAAGGGCACGTTTGTATTCATGAAATGACTGATGTGATGAAACCTGGCAAAGTCAAATGTAACTTGAAGATGTCACATTTTTTTAATAACAGCAACATTTGTACCTATCCAATAAAGCAAAGAAAAAGATTTTATGACTTATTTATAATATTTTATTCGTTTTCATATAACTTGGCACTCATTTGAAGCCAAGCCGAATTTTTGTTCTGAAATTGGCGTTCCTTTTTTACGTTTGTGTTTTTTGTGGGTTTGTTGACTCTCACGCTACGATGGCTTAAATAAATTAATTTGCTATATGTTTATCGGGATTAACACGGGCTAACTATTGTCTTAATATTTTTTTGTATTCTTAATAATTCAAGAATTCACATTTAATTAAAATCTTTTTGCGGTTTTAAATAATGATATGTATTCGTTAAACTTATTTACAAATTATTTTAGTTATGGTCTAATGCAGTGTCTCGCAAACTTTTTTAGTCTGCGGCACGCTAACTGATGATATTTTTTTCCGCGGCACACTAAGCTAAATTACATTATTAAATACGTTAAGTGGGGGAAAAACCACGCCCAGTGCTTTTCTAACCAATTCGCCCTCGCTTGAGCATCTTGTTGTTACGAGTACCTGCGTTCTGGGTTATTTAGTTAAAGTTAAATTATTACTTTTTGGGTAATTTTATAGTTATTAGAAATTGGTTTATAGATTAATCTCAGAATATCTAGTGCAACTTGGAAAATCTTTTGCGGCACACTTAACATTCTCCCGCGGCACACCAGTGTGCCGCGGCACACAGTTTGCGAGACACTGGTCTAATGTTTCGGCTTTTTTGGTAGCAGCTGTTACGGAGAGTGTCGTTAATGTCAAAGTAAAAACTGCAACGCCATCTATTCCATCGTAGTCCGTTTTGGGTGAAACTGGTTGGGTCCTTACAGATCTGATTAATGGTGTCCTCGCGTTTACCGGTATGTTTTGGGATCTTGTGTTTTAATATTGGAAGGACTTGTTATCAGTGAATTCTTCGAGGGGGCTCTTTGAATTGAGCGCTGGCGCTTAGACTGTACTTTCCGTATACGGGGCGAGAGGGACAGATATAAGGTAAAAGAGTGAGAGGAAAAAGGCATTGAAGTATAGCCTATGAAGATAATTAAAGATTATAAAAATGTCTATATAAACATGTAGCCACTATGATAAAACGCGGGCAACGCCGCGGGGCGCAGATAGCTTTTTCGTAAATGACCTTGATGATGAAATGGTATAGAGATTAACCGCCGCTTCATGAGAAGGCATAGGTATACTCAAAGTAGGTCAAACAGGTCATTATACCAGTTCCTCAATTGATACCATTTCGATAAACAAAGCGACAGATTAGCGTTTCCGTTTCCGGATTTTCCATCCTTAATGTCCTGTAGGGATTTATCGGGAAAAATTCTTTGTTGTTTTCTTCTTAGATACTTTGAAAATAGAGGGGTATGGTTATTTATTGTTAGGGGGTGATGAAGGGATGAACAATATTTGTGAAATTTAGAAATCGAAAATAAATTGAAAAAATTTTCGACTCGTGCACGAAAAAAAAAATTTTCAATTTATTTTCGATTTCTAAATTATATAGTGCCTTCATGTGAAAACATGTGAAAAATATTAATGTTTTCAAATAGTTGTGAAGTCTAAATTAGGTTAAAATTAAATGAGCGAAACTTCGATCGATCAAAGGTTCGGTTCGAATAGCGCGATTTGACATAACTGAGAATTTCTGGAAATCTAAAATTTTTACATCTGACATATAGTCATGATGATCCTTAAACATCATAAAATGAAATAAAACAATCGGTTTTACAGAATAATTAAATTGCAGTATGGACGGTCGTGGATTTGAACCCCATCGGGTCCGATATGTTTCTGAGTAATATGAGATTCTTTCTAAAACATGATGTATTCTGAAAATCTGGATTGGTGGTATGAATATCAAAGCCTGAAAAAAGTGACGGTGGAAAAAGCCTGACAAATCTAAGTCAAAATAGATCGACAGTTGTTAATTCTTTTATCTAGTGAATCTCGTGCTTGTCTGTCCCCCTTCATCATATAAAAATATAGTTAGGAGCAGTTTAATTACATTATACAGTAATTAGCAATAACAAGAGTAATTGAAAGAGAGTTCAATTCTCATAGGGAAAATCGTAGCACCCTTTTTAAATGTACAGAATCATTAAGTACGTAATATGTATAAAAAAAACAAACAAACAATGTAACATTTATAGAATCTATTTAAAAAAACATGAACAAAACAGAAACAATTTTTATTAATCATCATACATGCATTTAAATAAAACACTTTAACGGTTTGAAACGCGATATATTAGTTAAACTTAAAATGATTTTAAACTTCGGCCCGACGTTTCGGATGCTTTGCAGCAGCCGTAGTCACGGCTGCGTTACCACCACCGTATATCGCGTTTTAAACCGTTGTGTTTATTTAAATGTGTACTACTCGTGTAAACTATAGACAGTGTTTTATACATACAAATTAATACAAAATGTTCAATATTAATCTTTAATAATTGGTAATAAAATAAAAGGAAATCAAACCCTTAATACAATGTTTTTTAAACAAATAAAAGTAATGCATTAAGACAAAACACACATAACATCCCCAACCGTTGAAAACAAGCATTGTCAAATAAAACGCAATTAAAGTACCTATGAAAAAGGCTTCGGAAACAATATTTCAGCATCAACAAGTGCATCCACGTGGAGAAATGATTGCAGCCCTCAGTACCAATACATCCCTTGAGGGGGTAGCACGTCGTGTGTGCTAAATAAACTTCGCGGAACGATGAATGAAATGGGTGAGTTCTTTTCTACTGTGGAGTTCTGAAATAAGGTGACGACTCGATATGAACAAACTAACTTATAATATGTCCTTTTAATTTATCTACAGACATAATAGGTGTATAAATTCAGATCTTTATAAACAAATTATGTTAGCCCGAGATTCGGTTCAGTTGTAAATGTCGTGTCGTTACAAACAACAAACGACAAGTAAAACTGAACTACGAAGACGGTGTTCTCAGAAAAACATTATTCACTATAATAAATTTATCTATTCGATAGGCAAGGAGGTTCAAATCCCGGGGCTATAAAATTTTTTGGTCGGGTAAGCCCGAAACTCTAATTAGCTCCTAATTTAAATAAAATCGTATTAAACAAAACTTAAACGGATGCATCGTAAAGCAGTAAACTTTGATCTTTGATTTTAGGGTTTTCAAAACATTGCCTAAAGTAAACTAATAATTCCAAAACAGTATTGTTTGTAGTTTACGGGAGTAATGCAGATTTAAATAAAACAGTTTTAATTGTTTAAAACTCGAAATAAATTAGTTAATTTACTTTGAACGCTCAAAAGAACCATAATAGACTCGGATACCATAGTAGTAGTAATTACTAGTAGTCAATAAAAGGTATTATTATATTATATCATGTATTTCCTCACATTAAATCCAACTTGGCACTCGTAAATCCTCGAAGAATTGCTAGTGAAAGCTTACCTGTAATTTGGCGAGCTTCCAAATTATTCTTTGGATATTTGGAAATTTACAGACTGAAACCGAAACGCGATTAAACTTGACAGATTTTTACATCTGTGGACGGTGTTTCGAGACACGGAATGTTTATATTCCTGCCACCCATTTAATCTCCAGCTTTACAGATGAAGTTCACATGTTGGACCAGGTAGGGATCGAACCCAAGACCCGTTAATTTTTAGGCATATTGCAATCGCACCAATGAGGCCGTCAAATAGATATGTTATCCGAATTCTCTTTTATTAGTTAATCCATCAGCATAATATGAACAATTTCCACCACTGGGACATATCTCCTGTAACTCCTTCTACACTGAAAGTCTGCACGAAAAAGAGCGAAAGCATTTTATATAAGTACAACCTGTGCCAGCGACTTCGTCCGCGAGACTCGTTATTTTGGGCATTCAAATAACTTTTTGCAAACCCCGCCATCTTTACAAACTTAAGCTGTTCGCCACAACGTCGATCGCGTCCCTTCCCGACGGTCTTGTAAGTTAATCTTAAAAGATAGACATATAGTGTCGCAGACTTTTTTTATAGATCATTTGTAGGGAAATCATTCTTTCATACACAATTTTTAGGTATCCTGAACCGTTTTCGCAGCGTACGCATCTGAAAACTACAGAAATGAAAAATTTACCCCGTTTTGTTCATATTTCTCGCTATATCTTCGCTCCTAATAGTGACATTGCAATGTGTTATAGCCTATACCTTCCTCGATAAATGCTCTACCCAACTCAAAAATAATTTTTCAATTCGAACCCGTAGTTCCTGAGATTAGCGCGTTCAAACAAACAAACTCTTCAGCTTTATATATTAGTATAGATATTAATAACTGAAATACATAACGGCTAAACCATTTTCGATGAGTTTAAAAGCTTTAGTGAAAATAACTATCTTTAGGTATTGAAAGGTTGACATTTAAATTCTTAGTCCTAGATGCAAAACCTTATTAATAGATATTGTAACTAATACTTTAACTGTCTTTAAAAAAATTCTTGGTATGGACCGAGCGTTTTCCAGATTACTGTTGCCATGGCAACTAATCGCTTTTCATCTTCACGAAGTGATAATTATTAGTTCAATAGATTGATGTGTATCATATTCAATCAAAGGATAATATTTCATCTTTACTATCAGAAACTGGATATCGTAAAAATTCTTCGATACTAAGTCTAAATTATTTCTATAACTATTTTTCTCATAAATAACTTTTACAAAGCGGACAATTAAGAATCAAAAAAGTGAATCCCGTTTTCCCTTGTGGGGCAAGGGGCGAACACATTTCGGTATCTACGGGCAAATAGTTGATCAGATTTCTGTGCCTAGCTCGACCGAAGTAATTGTTGTGATTTGAGCCTAGCTTAGAGGATGCGTTCTCTATCAAAGTTTAGTTTTTTTTTCTAGTCGATGTGTTCCAAAATTTAAGGAAATTTTCACTAGTAACTGACTATGAATTTAACGCCGGCAGAACAAAAAATAAAACAATAAAAAACAAATGAAAGGTACAAAATATAGCTATCAGCTACTAGATAGAATTTTATAGGCTCGTATCGTAAAAAATTTTCAATTGATCGATTTTTAATTTACCTGATATCTACTTCAAATATACAAATTTTGTCATAATATAATTGTGAATAATAAAATTAAATAAATACACTTCTTTTTTAATTTCAACCCGTTTAAATGAAAATAAATAAAAATAAAATCAACTTATACGATTACACAGCAATCGTATATGTTTTTCAAAGAAAAAAAACAATGCCTGCGAGTATTTTTACGCAAATCTTTTTACTTTTGAGACCATACCAAAAGGTACCTAGCATTGTGTAAAACGCGGGCGGTTCAAATCTCGGTGTAATAATAACTTGTTTTGGTGGGTGGGACACAAAAGACAAATCAATTACTTACATAAAAAATATCTGCCATCGTGTATGTCTATCGCTTTTGACTCTAGTATAGCTTTTAAAAAAGCGTTCCTATTTATATATAGAGCGATACTTATAAATACTTATCGAATTTAAAAATGGGCCTCAGACAATTTTTGCAGTTTTACAATAATTATGAGAAATTGATATTCATAAATTATTTATTAGTTGTCCAGCGCCAGTCAACATTTTTTATTAAAATCAGTCTGGAACTCTTCACAACTTCATTTGCATGAGTTTGACACTTCTACTGAATCTTACTTCGCTCGTATTCACACAAAATTGCGAACATTTATACGTTTTATTTTCTCCTTTTATCGTCACAGCCCACACGGCGTTATCCTTATTTCATTGTGGTGTTACATCGCTTTATTTATTTGTTAATACTCGAGTAATTGACCGCTGTCACTTTATATTTTAGGCGGTTTTAAAGAGAATATTTTTACCGTATCTACTTTTAAAGCCTCTAGCTTTCATATCATAGTTGAATGACTGACTATCTAAGGATAGCTATATGTTTATAGTGCATCATTCTCTAAGAATGGATTTACAGATTTTGATAAAAATTTTAACCCTCTAAACTAAATCTATTCCCTAAAGCGTCCCCTGTGGTGAAAAGTGAAGAGAGTATAAGATGCAGACCACGGCTTCGGAAATGGTGTCAGACCAGACGATGCCAGCTGTGGAGACTGCTCCTCCTTCCATTTATACCGATTCTGGCGCTGATAGTCCAGACTACGTTGTCGTTGAAGAACAGCTTGACTAATGGGTTGGAGGTAGCTGATGTGGAAGAACAGGTAATTGGTATAGATTTTTTATATAAACAATTCAGATGGGATTTGAATGCACTACTGTAAGCTGTGACAACAGTACATTGATTCGAAATTTGGTAAAAACTTCGGTCCGACGTTTCGGATGCTTTGCAGCAGCCGTGGTCACGGGGAGACCTTAAAAGAAGTTAAAAAACATTTTCAAATAAGTTTTACTAATATATCGCGTTTTAAACCGTTAAAGTGTTTTATTTAAATGTGTACTACTCGCGTAAATTATAGACAGTATTTAATCGTCTGTATTTAAATTTTTTGTCCAGGATTTATAATATCTTTAATTATAATTACGAATAATCAGTCCTGACGATCGTAATTACCAGAGTACCATCTGTATACAGCATACTGTATACAGATGGTATATATTATATACAGAATTATTTAAAAATATTAAAAATGATGCAAGACTTAACTTAATACTTGTGTTAATTTAATAATTACGTTTGTTAAAATGTAATAATGTTTTCGAAAAAAAAATCTACCTGGGGAATTTCAGAGACTACTTTAATCGCGTACTTGTAAAACTATATAAGAAGTATTGCTGTGGTTGTCGTTTTAAATTTTTATTTTTTATGGTGAAATTTTTTTTTTATTGTTTAAATGTACTTCTTATTATGCATATTCTACTAGTTCTACTTCAAATGTCAAGCGTGGGGCATCACTGAAAATCGACGTTGTGCCTACTTCCAGGTACATCAAAACCCGAGTGGTGTCCCTCAAAATATATCTATTATTATTTATGTCATTGTATTTTTGTGTTTTATTCTTCTTATTTTGTGTATGTGTGGATTAAATGATTTGATTTTAATTTAAAAATTAGTCACTTTCAATTGATAAATACAATTAAGCTACCTCATTTTAAATACGACCCTATCTACCCTAGTAAAAATATATCTTTTTTTTAATTCTAGAAACACAATTCTCATTAAATCTCAGAAATTTCTCAGTGTTCCCTAAATTCGTTGAAACGCCGACAATCCAGTTCGTCGTCTAATTATACGCAAGTTGTTCATATTTCTCAGCAAACGCAATTACTTGTAAAAAAACAAAGTTCTTGAAGTTAATTTATATAACTCGACTTTTAAAATAAAGTTCACTGGGTCTCTTTGGATTCTTTCTAAGACTTCTTGGTGGCCTGGCTTACAATGGCTTTGTACTGCGTTTTATTAGAATGTGATAACTGAAGCAAGCTCTTTATTGCAGCTTCAATGCAGAGTATAGAGTTAAGTCGCGGTCTATGTATGCTTGAGATTAAATTAAACACTTTAAAGGTTTGAAACGAAACGAAACGAAATATATTAGTTAAGCTTAATTACAAATTAATTTATCTACAGTCCGACGTTTCGGATGCTTTGCAGGAGCCGTGGTCACGGGGAGGCTTAAGATGGAGGGTGTATTTAATGTCAAAGTAAAAACTGCTATCCTCTCTTCCGTCGTAGTTGGTAAAATATTTCGCGTTTTAAACCGATAAAGTGGTAAAAAAAATCCGCGATGGTATTACTTATCTCTCAAAGATATCCCACAATAAAACAATTTTATCCAATACATCAAATCCAATCCAAAACAAATCAATATTAAGTTTCAAAAAATTATAAATTAATTAACATGCTAGACCCGGTAGGGATCGAATCCACTGTCCGATGATTATCAACAATACATTGCTAACATTAAGCCAACGTCAAGTTTCACAACTAGTACGGGCGGAACTAGAAACCAAACTAAGAGTATACTCGGCTGTGGCTTATGAATGCGCAATGCCATCTTAATATTGTGTGTTAACAAAACTCGTCAACCGTGAAAACTGGTGACACTTAATAAATGCAACACCAGAAAGAGTTAATTGTCCAGTGGAAAAATCTAATTATTCACGTCAGCTAGTGTTGTACACGTACACATAAACGGTGCACAGACTAATACAATACAGAGATATCTTAGTTCTATCGATAATCACCTTTTATTTGTTCCCAAACATAAAAGCTCTTTCTTCAATAATTTCGTCACAGTTAAAACTATCCGTCTTTGAAACTCTCTTACCACTAATATCAGAAAAACTCAATCACCCCGTTCTTTAAATAATTCGCTCTATAAGTTTCACGTTTCGAATATTTAAGTTAGTTTCTCTCTTACTCGTTGTGTGTACTTTTTACTATGTACCTTTGCTTTTATTTGTTATTCCTTACACCTATCCAATAAATAAGTTATTTTCTATTTATTTTCTCTTGTACTTTAGGTTGCCTGGAAGAGATCGCTACTTAGCGATAAGGTCGCCTTTTATTTATAAATTAGTACGTAAGATTGTTTTCCTTATTAATATGTGTTTTATGTCGTGTGTTTTATAAAAAATAAATAAAGATAGATATAATAATAAAAACTTCGTAACATGTATGTTCAATTCCGTGATTAAGTCGTATAACGCGTTCCCATGCATTGTATTAGTTGTATGAGGTCCATGGATCGAATTTTAACAAAACAAAATACTTCGTAAGGGTATTTGAGTCTTATCTAGTACGTATTAAGTAAAGTTTTTCAGGTAATTAGACGTGACAGTGTCTGCCTTTCTTTACTCAATACGTAAGGAATGGTAAGTTTTAAGTAAGTATGGTTGTAAGTGTATACTCGTTATGGTCGTAAATGTATCTATTAAATACTGTCTATAGTTTACGCGAGTAGTACACATTTAAATAAAACACTTTAACGGTTTAAAACGCGATGTATTATTTAAACTTATTTGGAAATGATTTTTAACTTCCTGTCTCCCCGTGACCACGGCTGCTGCAAAGCATCCGAAACGTCGGGCCGAAGTTAAAAATCATTTCCAAATAAGTTTAACTAATACATCGCGTTTTAAACCGTTAAAGTGTTTTATTTAAAAGGTATCTATTACCAAAAAAGGATTTTTTGTCTTATTATCTTTTCTCATTCATACACTATTATCTAGTTATAAATAAACAAACAAACAAATCATTTTAAATGGAGTGAATATATTGTAATATTAGTAGTTTGGTAGTAAAATAAAACACTATTAACTGTCTAAAGCGAGAGTTTTATAATTGCTTCGAAACCTGCCGTTAAAAGATAAATAAAAATGTCTCTATAACCGTATATTCTGTGGCACGGCACGTCTCATGTCTCTGACACTAGACGTTCATGAAAATGTATAAGCTCAGTGCAATTTTCTTTGAACTTTCATTGATTGGAAAAGTTTTATTTACCACTTAAACGTGAGATAAGCTGATAAATTACGACTGTCTCGAAAATATTCCGAATAAAAGCTGTGTGAAATGAAATCATAGTATGCTTATATCTTAATACTTTAGGATTAAAAGATGTTTTCTTCTAACTTGTTAATCAATTTGTTATTGTTAATTCAGTTGGGGCTAAAAATAATAGTTTATTATTAATAATTATCTCACAGGTGAGCAGAGCTACGGAACTGGGAAAATTGGTGACGAGATTGCAACAAGAAAGGTCTGAAGTAGCCTTCTTTATCTTCACAAATGGGAGTACGCTCAGGTACTAAAAATATTAGGCCAATAGTGATATTGCTGTTTATCGATTGAATTTATATAACATTTAAATTTAGTTTGCGTTGTTGGTCTAATGGTAGCAAAGCATGACTAATAATTTTACCGGGTTCTGGACGTTTCGCCATCATCAGAAGATGTGAACTCTTTGATTGCTCGAAGAATTATCTATATATTTATCTCGCTCACGTCGGCCGAACAGCCCGAAAGACAATGATATGCTGAGTTCAAATTTCTAGTCTACACTAATAATATAAAGATGAAAGATTTGTATTTTCGTGTGTATGTTTGTAATGAATAAGTACGTTTCGCCTTGTAGGGTATGGGGAGGACACACTTCTGTGTCCGTTTCACTGATCAGTTTTGTTTTCAGGCAAGTTGTTGATCAGATTCGTGCTTTAAACCGGACAATCTATTGATTGCCCAGGATTCAAACACAGGCCTGTCGCGCTTAACGCTCCGATAGCGCTAGACTCCATAGATATAGAGGCGGTCAGATATATATGTTTATACATTGAATTGCTTTGTCAATGGGTAAATGTATTATTCTCATCAGGTCAAACCTCACTCAGCGTTTCGCAGCCACGGACAACGCTCTTCAAAACATGGGTGACCTTCCACCGCTGGTCTTCAAGAATAGGCCAAAGCCGATAGAGAGAAATGATTTTTTGGACGAACTATCCGAATTGAGGTACTTGAAAACTCCGATATGTAATTTCAAATCTAATCGTTTTTTCCACATACAGAAAAAAAACTCAATAAAATAGATGTTTGTGAAAGATTGATATTTAGAAATTCTAATTTTGACGGGCTTTTTAATTATTGGTAGCTATGTATGGCTCATAATCAAGGAGTCGTGGATTCGATCCCCAGTCAGTCAAATATTGTTCTAATATATTTATAATATTTCTAAAAGGCGTTGGACTTCCTCTGTAAATCTGGACATTAAATGGGTGGTAGCAATGAGTAGGTAGGAAGCAGAGGAGGACAGCTAACCATAGGGTTGATGGTATATGAAACACGCCAGCCATATAATAACAAAATGCTGTAGATTTAAATAAAACACTTTAACGGTATAAAACGCGATATATTTAATACTGTCTATAGTTTACGCGAGTAGTACACATTTAAATAAAACACTTTAACGGTTTAAAACGCGATATATTAGTTAAACTTATTTGAAAATGATTTTTAACTTCGGCCTGACGTTTCGGTGTCGGAAAAAGTGTTTTATTTAAATGTGTACTACTCGCGTAAACTATAGACAGTATTTAAAATGCTGTAGACTTTTTTTTGGATATTCGGAAATGGACAGACTGAAACCGAAACGTGATTAAACTTGACGACTTCTCAGTGAAAGGTAGTTAGTCACCTGGGCGGATTTTCATTTTTCTTACCGCCCATTCAATATAGATATCCAAACGTAATCCAACAGTAAAATTATCAACAGATTATAAAATTGTTCAATCCTTTAGAGAACAAACGCGATGGTTAGCCATACATTGCTAATGATAATTGATAAGTTAAAAAAAATTGCGAAAAATACTTTCCATACAATACAGTCTTTGATTCCTTTTAAAGGTATTTTTATTGAGTCTCCGAGGCAACGACTTCTTTCAATTTAATGTAGCAAATCGGGCTATTACTTTCAATCGTGGGGAATGCAAACAAAGTGCTAGCCGGCTAATTTAGTATCGGATCGTCGGGTCTTACGCGGAGCTAATCAACTGTTTATTGAAATACACGAGAATCCTTGATTTCTCTGCAGAGCCTTTAATTTAAAACAGGAAGAATACAGACATGGTCTTAGAGTTAGTATTCTGTAGCATTTGTGGGTGTCAGAATCCGCCATGTTGAAACATTATTGAGACATAAATAATATCTTATTTAAATGAAAAACGTTAACGGTTTAAAACGGGATATATATTAGTTAATAATATTTGAAAATTATTTTTACTACGGCCTAACGTTTCGGATGTTTTGCAGCAGCCACGGTCATGGGGGGCAGTGAAAATCGCCATTGTTTTAATAAACGTTAGTGCTGTAGTAGCACTAACGTTTATTAAAACAATGGCGATATACAATAATTTAGTATTCATGTAGTATGTGTTGAATATCGTTTGTCATAGTGAGGACTCGGTAGCTCAATAGGTAAGAGCAGCAACACAGAACGCTGTAGATACCTGTTGAAATCCTGCCCGTGTCGTAAAATTTTCTCAATCTAAAATCGATTTTTAATTTATATAGTCCAATAATATGTGAGAAGTATTAATGTTATCAAATCTCCTACTTCGTTTGATCTCTCATTGACCTATGCACTCTTTAGGGACCGGTTTGTTTGACAAATTATAATATGAATTGGAAAGTTCGTGGAAGTTTCTAATACGCTACTCGTAGCTGACACACCCATGGATGTCATTAGACAAAAACTTAATGCTTCAGTTCAAACAAGGGTTCCTCGTAGTACTCTACTTTAAATGAACGGCAATTTAATTATAATATACTAGCTGTGTCAGCGACTTTATTATTTTGAAATGTAGTTAATATAATAAAAATGCTTCGGATTTTTAAAAAGCGTATAACTATATTAACAGAATTGCGTACTGATGTTCAATTGTGAGTTTAGGTTCAGTTGGTAAGAGCTACAAGAATCGGAACGGTAGATCTGGGTTCGAGTCCCGCCTGTGTCATCGCATTTTTGCAATCAAAAATAGATGTAATCCATTGTAGGCAACCTCTTTTAATTAATTCTGTTATCTACTTTTTATTTTTCCTACCATCAATAATAATATTTCCATTTGTTTCTGTAATTAAAGGACAGTAAAATAAAACAAATTTAATTGAATTGAAGCGAGATTTTATTTTATTAATAGAACTTCATTTTGGCGTTTCAGGAGCTTTTTTACAGCTTTAGAAGTTATACATGGTCTTTTTTGGAGTTATATATCAACTGCGGAAAAACAAATGGTGAAAGTTTTAAACACCATCTTGAGACCCTATATTTCCTGTCCTTCCATCATTAAACATTTCTTCTATAAAATAAACATTCTACTAAAGCTTGCATGGAAGCCATGCCTAGTTAGGTTTTTTGACACTCATTGTAACGTCGCTCGTGAAAAGCAGATGTGGATCTGTGTGTTGATACAATTTAAAAGCGATCTTGGTAATTTTTTCTGGTTATTACTGCAATCAATCAATGTCCAACGTCGCAAAGTTTCCCTCGTCTTAGCATTTATCTTTATTACGTATAATATACTTTAATACAGTTTCAAATAACACCATGTGCGTGTTGGAATGCGATCGAATTCGACTGCAGATTTAGAGGTTTTAATCCTGTTTTAAATTAATTTAAGACAAACATGATGTTCGCTTGATAGATGATAAAAAACCCCTGACATATAACATCTAAAGAAGTCGCTCTGTCGAGCTATATTGGCTTTGGATATTCGGTAATCACACACGCACAGTCTGAAACTGAAACGCGATTAACCTTGACAGCTTCTTCATCTGTGGTTGGAGGTTTGTGACCCGGACGGAACTCCGATGCACGTACCAACCGTTTAATATCCAGACTTCAGAAAAATAATAAATTGATTAGAAATATGGCAAACTCTGTGGGGATGAAATCCACGACCCGTTGATACTACTAGCTATACATTTCAACCACTAACCGGGTCCTTTAAAAATAGATTGATTCATTAAATACTGTCTATAGTTTACGCGAGTAGACACATTTAAATAAAACACTTTAACACAGGTACATCTAAACCCGTCTCCCCGTGTCTCCCCGTGACCACGGCTGCTGCAAAGCAACCGAAACGTCGGGCCGAAGTTAAAAATCATTTTCAAATAAGTTTAACTAATATATCGCGTTTTAAACCGTTAAAGTGTTTTTTTTAAATAATATATCGCGTTTTAAACCGTTAAAGTGTTTTATTTGAAAGATTGATTCTTTTTCCAAAGTTAAAAATAGCGAGTGGAAAAAAGTACACAGGTACACGGTGTTTTATCGAGGACACGACATCTGGATATAAAACCTTCATTATTGGTTTTATTCGATATTTATAGGTAGAGTCGTAAAAAAATCTGTAGCTAGGTACTGGATTGGAACGGCCGCACCTTCCGTTCTTCCTTCCCATTGCCCGGTCGGACTCACTCTTAAACAAGACACAAACTTTGTCAATACTTATAATTGGAGAATTCGTTTTTAAAATGCATTCAAATAATATTTTATATTAACATAATATTTATATATAATATAAACGTTGTTTCTGAGTAGAACTAAATAAAAGTGCCGATTGAAAAAAACTTCAATTAAAACATTTAGCAATATTAAAGACTAGCTGTATCCGCGACTTCGTCGATGTGGAATAGTTATTTTGAGCATCTTTTTTTTCAAACAACTTCACAACAATATCCTTTTAGATGTACCTACGTAGTCGGAAGAACGCGACTACTTAGGTACATCTAAAATGATATATTCATTCATTGTTGCGGGCAATTTTTCTTTCAATTTATAAAAGACTTTTTTTTGATTTCTTGAACCGTTCTCGCGGTTTATCACAACGGAAACAAACAGAGATGAATAATTTTCCCCATGTTTTCCACATTTTTCTTTTCTTCGTTTCTTTGCGTCTGTAAGCCTGTTGTTGTATAAATTATAGCCTTCGTAGGATGAATAAACCAAAAAAAAATGTTTTAATTCGGAGTAGTTGTTATTGAGATTAGCTCGTGCAAACAAATAATCTCTTCAGCTATATAATATTAGTATAGATTTTGGAAAAGTTAAGGAATAATTTTGCACGAATTGCTTTATCAATACAAAAGAGCTATCATTTAAATAAAACACTTTCACCGTTTAAAAGGCGAAATAAATTAGTTCTTACTTATTATCAATTTATTTTAACTACGGCCCGACGTTTCGGATGCTTTGCAGCAACCGTGGTCACAGGAGGAACGTTCTATTTTACTATAGATAATACTCGTACTTAAAGTACAATAATTTAAATCGAAAAACACTATAACACAACATTGTTTATAATTATTTCCTCACCCTCCATCGAAGGAACAGTGAAAACTTTTCATTGTTAATTTGAGTTTAATTGAAAATCCTATATAATTCCTATATCGTAAAGAAATTCAATACCTTTTTAAAATAAAAAACAAAACCAAGACAAGTATTTAAGCTCAAATGAACTATTTAACAATTAAGATGCATTGATGATGCCATAGCAACAAGGATCCTGAGTCATCTAGAAATTAAATGTTGAGTCAACAAGACGTTTAACGGGTCGAAATGCGGTTTTCTTTGCGTACTCATCACGAATGTATGTACTTTGTTTGTTTTTCTGTCGAAACGACTACCTGTTAACGATATATAATAAAGGTTTTAGTTTGAAAATTTTAATATTTGTCGATGATGTATACGGTATGAAAGCGGTACCTCAATTAAGCTACACGGATATTTATTTATTTATATATTCTTTATTGCACAAAACATAAAAATATTACAAAATAAACTTATATACTAGAATGGAGAGCAATGGGCGGGTATCGCTAACAAGCGATCTCTTCCAGGCAACCTAAAGTTATGAAATGTTAAGAAAATGAGATGTGCAAGGTAGGCGAAACAAATGAATACAAGCAATATAATTGTCGTGGGTACGAGTCCCGTATGTTTTTCATTAGCACACCAATATTCGGAGAACGTGCGCGATGGTTCGTGACCTGGATTGAATTTTAATATTCTTACCACCCATTTAAAATCAAGATTTTCCAGATGAAGATCTGTCAGAAAAAAAATAATCTGAAGTCAGGACTTATGATTATTATTAGTTACATACATTGTATTATTAAAACATCGTGATAGTAAAATTATGTTTTTTTTTTATGATGGAGCAGAACAGACAAGCATAGAATTAACTTGATGAAAGGTAAAATACCTCAACAAGATGCGAATCTATATCTATACAAATATTTTAAAGCTGAAGAGATTGTTTGTTTGAACGTGCTAACCTCAAAAAACGCTATTTCGAATTCAAAAACTATGTTTATATTCGATGAGCCAAGGCTTAGGCTACAAGCCACGTTGCGACCAATAGGAGCGAAGAAAGTGTGGGAAATGTGGAAAAACGAGGAAAATTTCTAATGAGTTTTCGGTAAACGATCTTGTGACCTGGTACTTGAAGCCATGATCATATATCCAACAACCAACCAACAAACAGACGAGTATATATATTATGGAATAATCTTTTGTTCAAGAGCAACCATAAATCCTGGGACCCCAATGTCGGAAGTGGTTGAATGGTATACGAGTGCCAACGCTGCCCTTCTAACCCACCTGACCAAGGAAATCAAAGATACTGACAGCAGCACTATATGGAGGTGAGTGGGAATTTTGATTTATTTTAACTGAAACGAAACGTAAAAGAATTCGATGGGATCTTGGTTTGATTCCCACGCGGTGCATTATATCCACTTAAATTAAAATCGGAATGTGTACTATATTGGCTCATTGGTGTAGCAATGTAGGACTAAATACTGTCTATAGTTTACGCGAGTAGTACACATTTAAATAAAACACTTTAACGGTTTAAGACGCGATATATTAGTTAAACTTATTTGGAAATGATTTTTAATAGTCTCCCCGTGACCACGGCTGCTGCAAAGCATCCGAAACGTCGGGCCGAAGTTAAAAATCATTTTTAAATAAGTTTAACTAATATATCGCGTTTTTAACCGTTAAAGTGTTTTATTTAAATGTAGGACTAATCAACGGGTCGTGGGTACGATCCCCACTGGGTTCAACGTTCTAATCAATGTATAATTTTTCTTTAACATGTCGGACTTCGTTTGGAAATCTGGATATTAATTGGATGGTAGGAATATTGAAATTCCGTCCGGGTAACGAATCACCGTCTACAGATGAAAAAGCCGCTAAGTTTAATCGTGTTTCTGTGGATTTCCGAATATCCAAAGGCAAAATTGGTCGACACGGTATTTCCCCTTCCATCAATTGAATCCCTTTCTTGTCTGTCCTTTGTCAAAGAAAAAATAGATTTTACAGTTCCTAATGTCATTTATAATTCGTAACTTATATTCAACATCAATAAACTAACAACATCAATCACGACACTAATGACATCGTAGCTATCGAGTGTCATTTGTGCGGCCGACCTATTTGCCAACTTAATTATGATAATCGGAATTGCATTCTCAATATGACCTCAATACTTAATGAAGTGGAGATTTTTAATTAAATACCGTAATGTCCCAGGATCTCTCCGTGGGGTGAGGGGCAATATTGAAATTATTAGATAAAATAATATTTTATCTTTATTTTTTTAATAAATTGTATAAGGCTTTCACGGCGATCGTTCAGCATATCATTGTCTGTCGGGCTGTTCGGCCGATATGAGCGAGAAGAGGTTCTCGACGTAGAATAATTCTTCGAGCAATCGAGGAGTTATCATCTCCTGATTATGCCGTCCACACGTGATGGCGAAACGTCGAGAGCCTCTTCTCGCTCACGTCGGTCGAACAGCCCGAAAGACAATGATATGCTTTATTTTTTTAATATATCAAAGATGAAATCCAAAGTCCAAAATGTTTCAGAAAGATTCGAACCCGGGACAACGCCGTTTTGTTTCACGAACCTGACTAGGTTTTTTTTATTTACGTAAAAAAAAACATTACAACTAAGTATAAAATAACTAAAGATGGATCACAAATCTATTTATTACCTATTTATTTTTTCCATCCATCAACTATAGATATATACAACAGATAGAGAGACTATAAGACTATACGTATATATACTATTAAATTAAATAATTCATGGGTTCGTGAGTTCAAGTCCCGTCCAAATTTATAGGTAGTCACGGATTTCATCATTGTCACTGACTCATGCGATGATGAATCATTAGGTATAACATTTTTGCGAAGAAGTGTGAATAAGAAATGTCACAGTAGCTTACATTGATGTTTTTATTAGCACCCAACTATTAAAACTGATGTGTTGCATGACTCAAACGCGAGTTACATCAATTAACTTGATTAACTGCATAAAACAATAAGTGGAAAGGAGCGTTTTTATAGATCCTTGAATGACTTTATGCCACCAGGGGTATGGCAATAGCCAACGGGTCGCGAGTTCGATTCCCACCTGAAGCAAATTCCATATATATCTAAATAAATTAAAATCGGAAATTGTTTTTTGCGCGCTCATTGGTGGAATGGTAGCAAAGTATGGTTAATAATCAACGGGACGTGCTTTCGATTCCCAGGCGGTGCATTATATCCACTTAAATTAAAATCTGAGTTTTGTTTTACTATTATGGCTCATTCGTGTATTGGCTCAATGTAACTGGTCGTGGTTCCGATTCCCACCGGGTTAAACATTATTCTAATCAAATTCTATTTTAATTGCTGTCTATAGTTTACGCTAGTAGTACACATTTAAATAAAACACTTTAACGGTTTAAAACGCGAAATATTAGTTAAACTTATTTGAAAATTATTTTTAACTTCGGCCCGACGTTTCGGATGCTTTGCAGCGGCCGTGGTCACGGGGAGACCTTTAAAATTTATTTCAGTCTGTGGATTATATATCCTCTGTTTTCTTAAAAAAAAACAATTGTGTTGGATTAGAATCGAACCTCAGACCATTAGCTATATTCTTTATTTTTGTAAAAATCGACGTTTAACCAAAAGTGCGCAGGATTCTGTTTCAAATCTCACAACTTGACTGATAGATTATCAGAAAACTAGCGAAATAGCTAAGTGCGCGTTACTTATGTGGTAGATTTCATTCGTTCAGTCAGTACGTAGATTAGATTGTAACTGTTATAAAAGTACTGAGTTAAATACTGTTTGTAGTGTACACGAGTAGTACACATTTAAATAAATCACTTTAACGGTTTAAAACGCGAAATATTAGTTAAACTTATTTGAAAATTATTTTCAACTTCGGCCCGACGTTTCGGATGCTTTGCAGCGGCCGTGGTCACGGGGAGACCTTTAAAATTTATTTCAGTCTGTGGATTATATATCCTCTGTTTTCTTAAAAAAAAACAATTGTGTTGGATTAGAATCGAACCTCAGACCATTAGCTATATTCTTTATTTTTGTAAAAATCGACGTTTAACCAAAAGTGCGCAGGATTCTGTTTCAAATCTCACAACTTGACTGATAGATTATCAGAAAACTAGCGAAATAGCTAAGTGCGCGTTACTTATGTGGTAGATTTCATTCGTTCAGTCAGTACGTAGATTAGATTGTAACTGTTATAAAAGTACTGAGTTAAATACTGTTTGTAGTGTACACGAGTAGTACACATTTAAATAAATCACTTTAACGGTTTAAAACGCGATATATTTTAGTTAAACTTGTTTGAAAATTATTTTTAACTACGCCCCGAAGTTTCAGATGCTTTGCAGCAGCCGTGGTCACGGGGTCTCCCAAGTTAAAGTGTTTTATTTAAACGTACTGACTTGTTACATTATGTTGCAAGCATTTAGTCAGTACCCAGCTTAAACAGTAATCCTATTTGAAGCGGGGATTATAAAGCTATTACTTGATATATTAATATTTTGAGCACGTATTAGGGATGAATGTTATATAATAATGTAATCTGTGGGTGTTGGTAAGAATTAGATTATTATATGCATACTACAATAGAAACCAGGAGGTTATAACTAGTATATATTAGAGACAAAATTTAAAATCTTCAATGTGCATGCTGGAACCATGATTCTTCTTCGAGCCACGAGACAAACAGATATGCTGCCGTTTGCTGACCAATTTTTTTAATTAGCTAACACGGGTAAACGTTATTTTGCCAAATGAAGTATTTCGACGAAATTTGATTACGATAAAAACAATTCCTGTGAGTTAAGCTTAGAAGATAGACATGTAATATACATTTTATATTTCTCTTACATATATTTTTTTGGATATTATGTACCATTTCCGTAGCATGTAAAGCCCACAGAGATGAATAATTTTTCAGTTTTTTCAACTTTTTCCGTTGCTTCTACACTCTTATTGGTAACACCGTGACGTTTTAAAGCCTTCGTCGATAATAGCTCAACCCGTAGTTCCTGAGATTAGCGCATTCAAACATACAAACAAACAAAATCTTTTGCTTTATATATTAGTATAGATAGACAGGTAGTATCGATATTTGTGTTAAGTTTCGAACTCCGAATCTCTCAAATTTAACGCTATACTTATTTTTTATTGAAATTATGTTTTTTTTTTAAACATAAATTAATGTTTAAGGTACCTGGTGGGCTTCAAGAACCTCCTGCGAAGTATCGAATGCAAGGGCATAGCGTCAGTCCTTGGCATAAATTACTTCGCACGAGGATATCTCCAAGGAAGGGCACACGAGAGGTACGGAGGTGGAATTTCATTACCATCACTCTATTCACGATAAGCTACATAATACGCAATAATTGGCGTTCGTTTAGCTTAGTTGTATTTCTGTTCTACTGTATACTATAAGTCTGTAACTCTGTTTCACCAAAGTATGCTGTGGTCTTTGGAATCCCGTCGCTTTAATATGGGGCATGAAACAGATACAATTCTGTGTTTGATACCAAAGTTTGAATAGCTTGAATTTCATCTGACTTCAAAAGAAATTTGCTGGATTTGCATAAAGTGATTTATAATTTATGATTTTAAAATAATATTATCAGTCAAAAAAGAACTGACCTACTATCTGTAGTGTACGCGAGTAGTACACATTAAAAAAACACGTGAAATGTATAAGCCATATTCAAAATAAATTGTGAATAAGTTAACTAATATGTTTCATACTAAAATATAAGTGTTTTTTTATGGTTAATTTTTGTGCAAATATTAAAATATTTTATTAAATCAACTAGGTACATAGCTCATATGGTGTTGGGACGCGACCTCTTGGACAATACCCTGAACTTGGTGCCAGCACTGATTCCTTTGCACAAAGACATAAAGGAGGATAGCCCAGAATACCAGGTTTTGGAGAAGAAGTGAGTAGAATACTTTCTGTAGTTTACGCGAGTAGTACACATTGCACTACTACACTTTACCGGTTTAAAACACGATCTATGTTAGTTAAACTTATTTGGAAATTACTATAAATCCGACTTTCGGATCACGATCATAGGAGTCTCGCCGTGACCACGACTGCTGCAAAGCATTCGAAACGTCGGGTCGTAGTTAAAATAATTTCCAAATAAGTTTAATACGATGCAGATGAGAGCTTCTATTAATTTTAGGATCCGGACACAGAAAACTTGTTCATATACGATTCGGGAAGCTGACGGTTGGTTGTTTGAGCCCGTCTAACGTCAAATTCCTTTTTTTGGTGGGGTGTAGTAATCTAGTTCACTGGGATCATAACATTTAGTATATAAGAAAAATTAAACGAAAAAAATGTTCTGTCGTTAGTAACAAAAATTCCACGAGCACGAATTACGACAATTATTGAAAAAAAAATTAAAACAGGTTATAAGGCCTCTGGTAACAGTTCCATCGAGCCTAACGTGTTGCACAAATTCAATTTATGATTTTCCGGGAAAATTTGGACATTTAATGAGTGGGGGGAGTGGGTAATATCAACTTCCGCACAGATAAAAAATGGTTTCAGTTCTTAATCTGTGGATTTTCCAAAGCTATAATACATAATATAATGGATTTTATATGGCTGGAGTATTTCTACTTCCATGAAGTAAACCCCACGTTTATTTGTCCTGTCACCAAAAACTATAATTGTAGTCGATCAGAGACAAAACCGGGCGTTTCCCAAGCCATCAAAAGTCATTAAACCGTCCCACACACGGTCGGTTTGTATTAAGAAAAATGTCAACAGATCACACGTGGAAAGAGTATCAGCTGTGTGTGAAAAGTCATTACTTCGTGAGATGAGAAAATTGGATTTTACAATTAAAGCGAGACTCGGCGCCGCTGTGTACCATTTATTCGTTATTTCCCAGAAGAAGTAAATTATTCAAGAGTTCGGGGTCTCAATCAAGTTAGGAAATAAATAATAATGATTATAATCATATCTTTATGATTTTCATATGTTCGCGGTTTCAAAACCAAATATATAGTTATCACAATGTCGTAGATGGCTCCGAGTTGACATTTCAATATAACAATGCATTAAAAAAAAACTAGTTTGCTTTGGGCCCAATCATTACATTCGCTTTGACCAGCCAAAAATCCTCGCAAAGGAGAGTCGATTTTTTCCAAGATTGATACGCGAAGCAATGGAAATCAAAAAACACCGAAATTTTAATAACCCTATTGGACGGCCTCAAATTATCAAACAACTGGGAACCCATTTTAAAAACTCTGGATCCCAATAAACAGCATACCGGCAAACGCGAAGACACCGTTAGTCAGTTCTGCAAGGACCCGGCCAGTTTCGCCAAAAACCAACTTCGACGGAACAGATGGCGCTAGCGTAGCAATTTTTTATTTTGACGTCAGAGACATCCTCCATCTTTAGTCTCCCCGTGACCACGGCTGCTACAAAGCATCCGAAACGTCGGGCCGAAGTTAAAAATCATTTTCAAATAAGTTTAACTAATATATCGCGTTTTAAACCGTTAAAGTGTTTTAAATAAATGCTTACATATACTAACTTATCCTGTCATTGTTTTCACACGTTTTATTTGAAAGAGATAAACTTTTCAGCTGTTTTTTTAAATTTAACGTTAATACGAATAATTGGATTGGCTCCACGCGTGCACTGAATTAATAGGTTTACCTTCGAGCATTTTAGCGAATAGAATTTTCGTTGAGGTGGAAAATTCGAGTGATCATTTTGCATTCGCTCCGCGGATAGGTGTTGCATAAAACCGCAGTTTGCATCACTATCGGGATTATCCAATCCTTTTTGCATATTTGAGCATGGAGTCATGCTGGCGAGGGACGTCCCGTTGCCACAGAATATACTACTACAGAAGGACTGTACAAAAACGTCTGTTGTCTTCAAGTGTATTCATATTTTTTAAACAGCGCTGTACGATTTTTATTTATGCAAAATTCGGCTTAGTCTGTATCCCGACATGTCAGTCAGATTGTTATGACGTCTACAGCATTTTTTAGATTCTCAGCAATTATTTTTTCCTTCCTCCATTAATTTAACCTTTTTGGTTAGGGTCTGCGATGTTGCAAAATATGCTAAAAATCATTTTATACCACTTAAAAATTTTAAAAATATACTCTGTAATCTTCTATTTGATTCTGATAGCTATCAGAGAGATATAGATATGTTCTTTATCATTCCAGAAACCAACAAATTGTGGACAACAAACAACAGGCGGGCAGCGTGGCTGATGCAATTGAATACTTTGATCAGACTGCGACGCTTTTAGGAAAGCTTAGAGCAGTGCAGAAGCAACTAAGAGGTTACATAAGGTATTATGTAATAATTTATATTACAAGAAAACAAAAAATGATCTAAACGTAAATATATTATTTATAAAATCCGTGATCACAGCGAACACATAGAACGGATAAAAATTTAAATAATAATTAATTTATTACTTATAATTTATATATAACGATATAATTTTACAAAAAAAAAGTTTTTTTTTTTAATTTTTTTGATTAACTTGTAAATGAGACCACTCAAAAACGTTTATTTGACAGTGCTACTGGTAACAATAAACTGTGCACGGTCGCGTGAACAGTCGCGTGCCTAACGAGACTGTAGGGTTTTTTGCAATTATTAAGATTCCGCTTAATTAATAACTCATATAACTGACTCACGTTGTTCCCATTTAGTTTCGCTACCTATATTAATTGTTAGAAATGAATGCATCGTAATTATTTCTTTGCGGTTCTACTTTTTCTAAAGCTTTTGTCGTAGGTATGCGCTACTATTGTCCGGCTTATTGTATTTAGGCGAGACTATATATTTGTTTCATGACAAAAGTGGACAGATTGGTCTACAAGCTTTCACTTATTGAATTACCCCAGCCCTATAAAATCTTAACAAGATGCGTTGACGGCTTATGTTGTCTTTGTTAGGAAATTAACATACCGAGACGCGATTAAACTTCATTACTTTCATTTGGTTCTGACGGAATTCCGATATACCTACGACCTATTTATTGTTGATGAATGATTTTAAAAACATATTGAAACTGGGAATAAAACGCCCGTTGATATAGCTATACGTCGCTTACAGTGGACCACCAAGCCTTTCAAAAGTCTTACTTTAACATAAACTAAAAAAAACATGTTAAGGATTTGAATCCCGCGCTTTGCCGTTTAGAAAGCGTCTTTGATATAGACTGTGTTTCTGTTTCAGAGATGGAGTGAACGAGAACTTGCGAGAAGCGAGGCAGAGCGAAGCCGTGTGCGCCGCTATACTTGTACTCGTTTGCGTTATATCACCGATTATTATAGTACTCGTTAGGAACGCTGTAAATACGATACAGGTAAGCGTTTGCGTATTTGCGTAGTTTACGAGAGCATATATTAAAAAAAAACAATTACACACTGTTGTAACCGACCCCACTCCCTTCACCTCCGAAATCAAATGCCGTAGTTAATTGTAAATAATATGTATTAAAATTGAAAATAAATTGAAAAAAAAATGATTTGTAATTTCAAAATTTAAATGCGCGAGAAGTGCATATATCAATTATATGCAAAATTGAACGATGAGGTGTGGTTCACGTTTTTAACCGTTAAAAATGTTTTATATAAACGATATTGTATTGTAATTAAATCCCGTTCCCCCTGGGGTAATAACCACTTACCTCTAGTGTCTTTTAGTTTTAGTTGAAGCTAAGCGAAGTCTTAGTAAGAATAAAGAACCCGAAAAATTTACAAAGTATAATATAACGCCCTTACATTCCAATAATTATAGACTATTACTATAGATTATTTTATGGAATGTATTGTAAACATATAATTAATTAAATGTAGGCGATGAATGAACCGGATTTTCCGGTTATCGCGAACGCAATACAATTGCGTAATGGCTGACGTGGTCGTTGAACCCTGACCTAGACGACTAATACGTGTCGCCGTGTAATGGTTGGGAAAACCTGGCGCGTGCCACAGTGGTTTGGTGGTAGTCTGTTGGGCATACACAAAAGGGCCTGGGTTCGGTACCCGCGAAAACAAGACTCAATTCAAAAGAAAACAAATAGTCTTGCCTACAAATTGTAATCATTAATTTAAGTAGTTTTATATCTAATGTCAAATGTAACTTATTAAAATATAATCGTTATAAGAAATCTTGTAAATGTTGTAGCAATGATGGTCGCCATGGCAACCGCCTTATATTTGCAACGTCGCGTAGTGTACGCGAGAAATACAATGTAAATAAAACATTGTTAATGGTTTAAAACGCGAACTTTTACAATTTATTTTCCGAAGTTGCGGATGCTTTGCAGTAGCCGTGGTTAAGAATTTTAACCTAGATGATTTTTTTTTGCATTTGATTACATGCTATCATAGATTCAATAAATTGATTTCAGGTTTACGCGCGAAACTTATCCGAGAAAGCAACTGAATTGGAATATGAGAAGGAATTGAGCGATTCCCTCCTTTATCAAATGTTGCCAGCTAGTGTTGCTAAGCAACTGAAACAGACGCAACAGGTGAAACGCCAGCAACTTAACGTTTTAAGCTAATACATTGTTAAACACTGTCTATAGTTTACGCGAGTAGTACTAAAACACTTTAACGGCTTAAAACGCGATATATTAGTTAAACTTAGTTGAAAATGATGCAAATGCAGCCGTGTTGGCAGATCGCGTTTTGAACCGTTAAAGTGTTTTATTTAAATTAATTATAATTCTTAAATGAATGTGAAGTGAGAATAAAAGTATTTTCAGGTGCCAGCTGAATTTTTCGCATCAGTAACTGTGTATTTCAGTGACATCGTTGGCTTTACAGCGATCGCTGCTGTCTCTACGCCCTATCAGGTAATTTATATATTCAGTTGAATTCTTCTGACACTTCTTACAGTATACGAGTTTAATACTACGTTTATAAAATAGTTTGTCTTTAAAAACAGATGTTAAAATCAAGTTTGATAAATTTAATATATTTCCAGCGTAGGATTGTATTTACTAATTAAATATTATTATAGTTCACTACATAATAATTATCAATGAACTTCGAGTGTAACTAAATCAAGCTTAAACAATTATACAGTCAAATAATACACTTAACAGTTTAAATCAAGATATATTCACACATACGTATAATCTATTAAAGATTTAAACAAATCACTTTTAACGGATACGAAGTATGTTACTTCACTTATATTTAAATGCAGTCAGGCATCTTAAACGTCAGACCGTAGTTAATATAAATGAAAAATTAGATGACTAATATTTTGCGCGTTTTAATTCGTTAAAAGTCTATTAAATTGTCGCAAATGATGTTTTACAGCAGTCGTGCTAATGAAGGTTTACCCGTAAATATCATTACCAATATATTTTATGTTTGAAACAGTTAAAAGTGTTTTATATACGGAATTATTGCATTAAAACACGTAACCTTTGCACAACTGAGATAAATATTAAACATAAATATTAATGAATCTTTAGACGCGTCATCTTTATATTATTACGTCGGGTTGCTCAATTACGACTCTCCCGGGAAAAACCAGAATTCCAGTATTCATATTTAAATTTTTAAGTACCTATAGATCAAAGCTACTATTAATATTAACGTAAGGAATTTTGTCTACTAAATAAAAAAATATCATCATTGTTGATTAAAAATAAATAAACTAGTGTAGTTTTGAACTGTTCAAAGTGTTTATTTGATAACGTAATATGTGATAAAATAACATTTATTTTTTTCATAATGTATTGTGGGATCAATCCCCATAAGGTCTAAAATATTTCCAGAGAATTAATAACTTTTCTGACTCATATTGGACTTTATCTGATAAAACACAGTATTTGTAAGTTAGTCTAACTATGGATATTACTAAGTGATCTTAACATCGAAATAAAACTCCAGGTTTTAAATTTGTGTGTCCTTCACTAAAAAAATGTGTCATATGCTTGTTCCAGGTGATTAGTTTTCTAAACTCAGTATATAAGCTCTTCGACGAGAGAATAGAATGCTACGACGTTTATAAGATAGAGACAATTGGAGATTCCTATATGGTTGCATCTGGGTTGCCAGTCAGAAATGGTAAAAGTTTTAAATAACTAACTTAATAACGCTTAATAAGACACAGTTAAAACTCGGTACAGTACCTACGTTTCTGATGTTGTTCTTGCTCCGATTTTAAATTTGTTTATTAAGTTAGGTGCTTTTTAGGAAACAGACACGCGACAGAGATAGCAAGTATGGCGCTCGAATTGCTAGAAGCGACATCTATGTGCCGACTGCCGCATCGTCCCGATCAGGTAACTTAGGTAATTGTATGTGTTTTTGGTATGAGCTTTTTCTTTGAGTTTTTAACATTATATTGAAATAACTTTTCTCAAACTTGCTCGGAAATTTGATCATTATTTTGACAACCTTCTTCGAGATAAATCGAACTTGCTGTACTGGTCGAGCAGCGGCCGGCAATAATTGTATGTAAATTCATATCTGTCTTTCCCGCAACATAGAAAATTATTAAGTGAAAAAAGTACTTTTGTTTCTATTTACGCGATTTATTTGAGAAAAGAACAATACAAACCTTCACACGTTCGTCTATCAATGCCTCTCTTGATGGCCACTGTAGTAATGTACTATAATGTCCGTAAGTTTATTTTGAAGTATATATATTTGTTTAACCTCCCCAAATCGCCATATTATGTAGTTTACACGAATGGTAAAAGCTTGCTTTGTTTATAGTTTATTCTTGTTCATAACGGAAAAACTTCTATTTTGTAAGAAATACATCATATTAAGCATCGATCAATGGGAATAAATTAATTGATGCAGCTTATAAATCAATATTTGAATAGATCCTTTAGGGACGAGGTCACATTGATTAAACATGTAATATTACGAAACTTGTCGCGTTGGTATCTCTTTGGAAAGCCAGCCAGCAGAGAAGCTTCGCGCGACCTGAATGGACGATTTCTCATGATTCACAGTCAAAAAAAAATCAATGTTAGAGGAGCAGCATGGAACGCTGTGGATGCCGGTTCAAATCCTGCCAATGTCGTCAAATATTTTAAATCTAAATTTATTTCTAATTAAGTTTCATATCAATACCGTTTTAGGGCATCTGATTCTGAAGCTGAAGAGTTTGTTTATTTGAAGGCGATAATATCGGGAACTCCTGGATCGAATTGAAAAAATATTGGTTAAAGCATTTATCGAAGAAGGCTTTAGACTATAAAACAAATACAAATAATGTTTGGCAGGTCAGGTAGTTGATAATAAAAATATATTTAAATAAAACACTTTAACGGTTTAAAACGCGATATATTAGTTAAACTTATTTTCACCATCTTACCCAAAGCACAAGTATCTGCATTTCTTACACACCTTAACTCAATTCACAATAACATTAAGTTTACAATGGAACAGGAGGACAATAACACACTACCTTTCTTAGACATTTTAGTAATTCGTGATGAACACGGTAATATTGGGCATACCGTCTTTAGAAAAACAACCCATACAGATAGGTATTTGAACGGTGACTCACATCACCACCCCAGCCAACTTAGTTCTGTCGGAGTATCTTTGTTTCAGAGAGCCCGCCGTCTCTGTGATGCTGCCCACTTAAATGAGGAGTTACAGCATGTCAAGCAGGTCCTATGCAAGAACAAGCTGAGAGTCCCTCCGCAGCATCCCAGGAACAGGAACAAGCCACCCACAGTCAAACGTCAGCCCGCCTACCTACCATATGTGAAGGGAGTTACAGATAGAATTAGCAGAGTCCTAAATCGAGCTTCTATTGACACAATTTTCAAGCCGCACAAGAAGATTCAGCAATTCCTGAAACCAAGCAAGTGTACTATCCCTTTACAAGATGCAGGCGTTTACAGACTGGATTGTGATTGTGGCCTATCCTACATCGGCCAAACAAAGCGTAGCATCTCAAACAGAATTAAAGAACACGTCGCGGATATAAAACATAAACGTCTCTCCAAATCTGCGGTATGCCAACACTCATCAGAAGGGCCCAATCACTACATTCGCTTTGACCAACCAAAAATCCTCGCAAAGGAGAGTCGATTTTTTCCAAGATTGGTACGCGAAGCAATTGAAATCAAAAAACACCGAAATTTCAATAGGGAGGACGGCCTCAAACTATCAAACACCTGGGATCCCATATTAAAAACTCTGGATCCCAATAAACAGCATACCAGCAAACGCGAAGACACCGTTAGTCAATTCTGTAAGGACCCGGCCAGTTTCGCCAAATACCAACTTCGACGGAACAGATGGCGCTAGCGTAGCAATTCTTTACTTTGACGTCTGAGACATCCTCCATCTTTAGTCTCCCCGTGACCACGGCTGCTGCAAAGCATCCGAAACGTCGGGCCGAAGTTAAAAATCATTTTCAAATAAGTTTAACTAATATATCGCGTTTTAAACCGTTAAAGTGTTTTATTTAAATGTGTACTACTCGCGTAAACTATAGACAGTATTTAATAAAAATATATCTTTACAGACTCTCTGCATGAGAAGTGGTATCCACACTGGTCCTTGCGTAGCAGGAATTGTAGGTACGAAGATGCCTCGATATTGCCTCTTCGGAGACACCATCAACACGGCCAGCAGAATGGAGAGTACTGGCGAACGTGAGTTACTTATAACCCTCGCAAATATCATCTTCTTTACCATTAATGCAAAAGAAGAGAATTTAGGGTCTTCGGCTTAAAATGGCAGGAGGAAATGGAAAACTATAAAAGGAGCCTTTGGCTAAATATATGTGTACAGCACATCATTTGGCTAGATAAATGGGAGCAAAGGAGGGCGACAAGTATAAGATAAGGACATAAAGTTCACTTGATGGTAGATGGAATACCCCCATTAAATAATACCTAAAAGACATGTGTTGTCGCCCTATTTTGGGCATTATTTATTATTTTATTAAATAAATTTATTATGTCTGTTTGGACCGCTTTTATTATACATATATTTTTACAGCAATGAAGATTCAGATATCGGAAGATGTAAAACGCGCTCTTGACAGAAGTGGCCTCTTTATCACCACTCCACGAGGAATGATCGAAGTTAAGGTACGTTTCTTCACTCTGGGACATGGAGCGAACACATTTCTGTGTCCGATTTACGGAGATAGATGGTGCTGCTTAAATTCGGAATGAAATTCTAAATCACAAATGTGTAATAATTATCTGTGACATGCTCCTGTTGGCACAAGTCCTGGTCTGGAAAGTGGACTACAGAATTCTTATAATTAAAACTTTCAGGGCAAAGGAGAAATGATGACGCATTGGCTAGAAGGTCGAACTGGTCCTTCACCTGTACGGCCCACTGCATCGCTCGACTGCACGCCTAGCTTCTTATCCCGGATCCACTCGCATGGCAGAGCCTCTCCAATATACCAACCTGCCGTACGACCTTCTTAAACATAACTATTCAAGTCCGTCGCTTAGATCTAATAAGAAACAGTGACGTTTATTGAGGCCGCTAGAGGCAGAGTAGCCTAACTGCAATTTTATGACTTGAGTTATTGATATTTTCATAGTCTAAAAATGCTAATCTACAAGAGCATAGTGAACGAAAATGTTTAACAGAATTCTTATACAAATAACAGTACAAATTCATTCTCGCCTCAGTTAATTGCGCAATTTTATTTTCCTCCTTATTGCAAATCATGTTTTTGTTATTAGGCCACTCTGCCTCTAGCAGCCGCATTTAATCAACAGTTAAACCAAAGATCTTCATATTATATTCACGTTGATCTGGTCAATATGAAAATATCTCGGTGGATTTTGTTCGCTCTTACAAGGTTTATATAAAATAAATCTGACCTACTTTATGTCAATAACATATTTGTTAGCACCGTATATAAGTACCCTGAGGAAGTACGTCCTAAGAACCAAGATAAAAATCGATGTATTTGTATTTGAAAAGTAAGATAAATGTACTTAACTTAAGTCATATATTATAGCCACATAACATTTTTACGTGAAAATAAAATATATACTGATAATATTTCGTTTTTTTTTTTATTATATAACATAACTTAAGTTTCAATAGGGACATATTATATTTAAATAACCATAATATGCTTAAATACTGTCTATAGTTTACGCGAATAGTACACATTTAAACCGTTAAATTAGTTATTAATATACCCCGTGACTGCCCCGGCTGCTGCAAAGCATCCGAAACGTCGGGCCGAAGTTAAAAATCATTTTCAAATAAGTTTAACTAATATATCGCGTTTTAAAACGTTAAAGTGTTTTATTTATACAAAATATACTTTAAAAATATTTAGGTCAACTATAATTATTTTCACACTTTTAATATCGTAATTATAAAAAATAAAATTACCATATATGTTCAATTGTATAATTATTATTTACATGACTTAGTTACAGGTAATACATAATACTTGATTGACTAGATATTTTTAACAATCTATTAGATAGTCTAGTGTTTACGTTTTCTTGGGATACACTTCACTTTAAACCATCGATAACCTTCAGAACACCTCTTCCCGCTCCTAATTAACGATCTTCTCCTTCGAATACGTTTATTTATCAAAAAATCGATTGCTCGCGATTTCACAATCGATTTTAAAATATTCGATTGTTGTTTTTCATGTATTATCGTTTGTTGAAATCTTGGTAACGTCTTCCATCTGTCAATTCCATTTTTGAAATACAGTTGCATTGCTTCCTTATGTAACTTGTTTCTATTTTTAAAACCAGGTTTCAATTCGGTTATTTCCGTTTTGATTGAAGCTGTGTTTTCCAGTTTTTCAATTCCATTGTATAATTTCGGTGATTTTGTTACCAAATATCGTGATTCAATAACAACAAATAAACCAAATAAAACTATACTGGTCTTCATTTTGTGAGCGGCGAACGCAAAGTGTATATTGTTTTATGTGACCGATGCCTTTAAATGAAAAGGTGAATCAGGATAAAGAAGTGTGTTAGGTAAAGACTAGTGACGTGTGTTAAAACGGAAATTTGTTCTCCCATCATAAAAGTGCGCACTTTGATCAATTTTCCTCGCTCCATACCGTAATACAAACAACTGGAAGGAGCTCAAACTGTCACTTATCGCTTATTCATTAGTCTTCAGTTATTATTCTTATTTATTTCGCAATATGTAAAAAATTTGTTCAAAAATTATGTTCAATTATTATTATTTCTTACAGAAAGAGAGTCTTCTGAAAGAGATCGCTGCTTAGCGATAAAGCCGCATTTTATTAATATATATATAATAATATATTTTTATAGTTTTTGTGGTATATTATATAAATAATAAAGCTGTAATATATACATAAAATATAAATAATTTTGAGCTTTTTTCCAATCTGCGATACTATTGTTAGTTGAGCCTTATAACGACTTATACACACCTATTATTTTATATTATAATAATAACTTATCATCCGAAATAAACTTTACATTAAAAAAATACTGTGATATTTAAAAATGCATGTACAAGATTTTCTTTATATAATATTTGAGAAATTCTCGAATTAAGAGTGACTCCTAATACTAGAATTTAGGTTAAACGGATATTAATCATGACGACGTTAAAATTTCCCACCCTTAACCTTAACCACTAGGAACTAAAAAATGTATATCTTCACTATAAAACCTCCTTCCCACGTATAAATTCAAATTTCGAATTCAACGCACGCGCCAAGGTCGGGGAACCCCAGATAAGCAACATTGACACACTAACGAATCCGTGTGACGTCATTAATTCGGAAGTACGAAATATTTTACATTCCCTTTCTGTAGTTATTTATAGCAATATACATTCGTTAGTAGCGTTTTGATCACTTCGTTGCATAACAAGGAATATCCAAAGCCGAAATGTATATGAAGTTATTGTTATTTTTTTATTGGGCTCAATTGCAAGCTTTTTAGTTTACAGCCCTCAAACCGTTCCCACAGCTGGGACCAGCGATGATAGCTGATGACACTCGAATATTTGTTTCAAGGACATCCAATTTCTTCATCTTAATCTTAAGCGAACACGCGCCTGTCAAATGCCCATATAAACAGTGCTGTAGCCGGGAATCGAACAGCCAATCTCCAAAATATAATTTTAAAATATTTAAATTATACACTTTAACGGTTTAAAACGCGATATATATTAGTTAAACTTATTACTTATTTTCACGGGGAGACCACGGCTACTGCAAAGCATTCGAAACGTCGGGCCATTGTTAAAAAGTTTCGATTTAACTTAATTATATTTCACTCAGAAACTCCCAAACCTAAAATGTATGACAGTTCTCAATTTAATAAGAAAACCGTTCGCGTCATTATAGTTATGTGACGTCATCCAATAATAGTTATCCCGGTCTGTGACACTAGGGAACGTTACATTACAATGGTGAGTGATTCACAGTCGTTTATTTCATCAATGAATTTGTAAGCTGTGCTATATATGGTACATGAAACATGGTTGAGATCAAGAATTGAGATGAGTGTAGTTTAAATAAAACACATTAACGGTTTAAAACGCGATATATATATCTCATTGTTGCCACGGCTGTTGTGAAGTATCCGAAACATCGGGCCGTAGTTCAAAATAAGTAAAAAAGTTGAACTAATATATATCACCTTTTAAACCGTCAAATCGTTTTGTTTAAATGTGTACTACTCGCGTAAACTACAGACGAGTGTAGTTGTCTTACAATAAAGTCAATTGTTAGATAAAAGCTTACGATGTTAAAAAAGAAGTGTACTATAGTAATTTTTGCTGCGTCGGCCGGCCAATTGATCTCAATTGGTTGCTGAGTCGTTGAAGCAGCAGTAAAGAACACTGTAGATGCTGGTTCGAGTCCCGACCGTGTTGTATTTTTGTTATCTAAATAGATTTTCAATTTATATAATGGCAAACTATATCTGTAGCCAACTGAAGCTACAAATTGTGAGCCGTGGCCACCGCTGCTGTAATGCCAGCCAAGTTTCAATAATATATATCGTGTTAAACCGTTTTATTTAAAAATAATATAATTCAGAGATATGCAATAAAATGTGAAAAAGATAAATGTATTAAAATACACTTTTAATTTGCAACCGTCAAAGTTGCTTTATTTAATGTGTGCCAAATCAATTACCCTATAAAAGTCTGTAGATAGTTTTTTCGTATAAATAAAGAAAATAGTGACTTTAGTTTGCATACCTAAGAAGAAAATTTGTGAGCACTCAGGACCATAACGTGTTACGTAACAAGGCAACTTATCACCATCATCAGCGAATCACTTCAAAAAGAAACAAAAAACATAATTAATGACGAACGTCATCGTTTTTTGTTCTAGGGTAATTTTGGCTCTCCGGAAAGTGTCTTGTTAAAAAACTAAATTATAGACTGTAGGTTACGTTACGCACACGTTGAAATACAAATGTAACTTGCGTAGATATTTATAAAAAAGATGTTTTTATAGTTTCGAGTTGTATGTATGCCACTCCTGTAACAAGAGAGACGTCGGATCATAGAAAAGTAAGTCAACCTTTGCGTTTTCAAATGGATTTATTTAATAGCACCAACATAAAACCTACATTATTGAATCTAACGTCCCATTACGTATTGTTATGACGACAACATTCTTTAAGATTATTTAGTGACGTAGTTTAATATTTACAATAATTTAATTGAATGCTTTACCTTGTTTAGGTTAATTCGTTTTAATTTGCTTCAAATATTGTTCTTATATTTATATGCACACTCGATCTCTATCTTACCCTTAAATCCTAAACCTCATACTTATCTACACTTGTAAATGTAGATAAGTTGTAGGTTTGTTTGTAAAGGAATAACTAAGGTTTTTGATTTTTGGATTTGGAACCACTATTGAATAAAATTCTTAATGGTTTAAAATTTTAGTAATCTTAATTTTGACTGATTTTAAATATGGCAGACGTAGCGGATGCTTATCAGCAGCCATGGCCACAGGGGGACGAGACGTGATTTGTCTCTAGTGTAGGCGAAGTATAAACCATTATTTTTTTAACCCCAGTAACTACGTCTTTTTAAATTATAATAACAAAAATCTGAAACGTCAAAGTAAGAAAAAGTATTCAACATATATATTTCTCGTTTTTAAACCGTTAAAAGTGTTTTATTTCAAGTAACACATCAATAAATTGTTTTCACCTGTACATCTCAATGTTATTAGATAAAAGCTGTCCCAATTAAACAAAATAATGTAAAAACCTGACGAGTATGCTAATAGTATTATGACGGTAAACCCGTACACGACTCGTTGCTACCTGTCGAGGTATTTCCACGTGGTCGGGCGTCTGAGGAAAATGTAACTTAACACGCTTTAGCATAGTACTATAAGCATATATTATAAATCAACTATAACTTGGTTTATTTTGGTTAAACAAATATCACAAAATGAGACACAATAAAAAATGAGCAACAGCACGTAACGCTGACGATGTCGGTTGGAGAAGACTCCAGGATCAATTTATTTTCGTTTTTAAATTATAAAAAATATATAAGCTAAAAATACTTAATTACTTTACTTAGTTAATTAAGAAAAAATAACTTAAATATGTAAAACTGTAACTTAAAGATTATTTATTTACCGGAATATGACTTAATTATTTTCTGGAGTTTACGCGAGTAGTACACATTTAAATAAGTGTAGTAGAATAGAGAGAATAAAGAGAAATAGTACACTTTAACGGTTTATAACGCGACCCCGTGCAAAGCACCCGAAACATCGGACCGTAGTTAAAAATAATGTTCAAACAAGTTTAACTAAAATATATCGCGTTTTAAACCGTTACAGTGTTTTGATTTAAATGTGTACTACTCGCTTAAACTCCAAAAAATAATTAAGTCATATTCCGGTAAATAAATAATATTTAAGTTACAGTTTTACAGTTTAAATATTTAAAGTTAGAATATGACTTTAGTATTGACTATGTGTATGTTACATAGTGGCGCATAAATAAGTGAACTGCTGTGCAATAAATTTGATACCCTAAACAACAAGGGCTATACCCATATGTACAATACTAATTATTCTTATAAAAAACAATTTATTTAGACACACGGCGACCTATAAACTGCCTCCACAACCTTCCGTGATGAAGGGTTAGAGGATCATCCAGTCTAACCAATAGAGCTACCAAGTCTCTTCAAACTAAATAGATTTTTTAATTTCTATCATGTGCTACATGTAAAAAATGTTAAAGTTTACTAACTCGTAAGTCGTTTCATAGTTTTAAAAGATTTGCAAAACACTTGGTTGTATTAATTTAATAATAATTTAAATTAAATTAATTGCATAACATTACAGCGATTAAATTTCTGGGAAATACACATTTCGTAAAAAATGTGACACATTGTTACGTGGCGCGCACGCGCCGAGGCAGCTACGGTTTTACCGTACTACCTTAGACGTTCGGAATTTAATTCACCAACCTGTTCTACAGACGAGAGTACAGTATGTAAATGTGGATTGTTAAGTTTTAGTACATTAAATGCATTCTACATTGGTATTACCGTAGGTTTATGTAAATATATTTATTATGATAATAAACAGGTAATACGAAGCGTTAAGTTTTACATTAGATTAATGTTAAGGAAATACCTACTGACAAAAACTAGATATAGAATTATCTCAGTAGGAAGTATCTAAGTTCAGAAATATACTTTTTTGGAAAATAGATATTATACAACAATACTGTATCATGGACGAAAAATTGCATTTTTCTAAGAGAGAGTTCTAAATATTGACCCTGTGTGGAAATGACAGACACATTCGCGTGCCTGTTTAACTGATCGATTTACAATGATATAAAATAATAAATTGTTTGCGACACTCAGATCAACTTTAACATGCCTAAAGACAAAATCGATGAGTTAAAGAACAAAGTTAGTGTTTGCCTCCTGTCTCCAAGGACAAAAATTTACTTGATCCAAGTTATTTAACTTTATACCAGGATTACGAACCCAGGGCGTCACACTTTTAACTATTGACTTAAGAGGCGGGTTAATAGGAGTAAATATTCGTAAAAAAATAAATAATCTATCTACATACAGAGTAACTCTACGCGGTAAACTTTAATATAAACGACATTAGCGTCGTTAAACCGACGTCACTATTGTAACGACGACGTCAGTCCATCTAACGAGTAGAAATTGACTCACGCGACGTTTAAATATCCAGACGAAAATTGAAACCCAACAGACTCAATCCTAACCTCTCACAATGAAGACGTGTTTGATTTTAGTCCTGTGCATCGCGTGCGCACATTCGCGGCACATCCAAAAAATCGATGAAATCACAATCGATTAGTGTTACGCAAAGAATCGATTCTGTAATCGATTTAAGTGGTGCGAGGGATGCGGTGAGATCAGTGCCAACAGTACTGGATACACACACTGTTTTGAAGAAATTGAAAATGTCGCCGAGTGCGTTTAAAGGAAAAGTGACTAGATTTAAGCGGCGAATAATTGGGAAACAAAAGTGTCCAGTTGGTTATAGAAGGATTGGGAGTATTTGTAAATTGAAGTAAGTATTTTTATTATGAATTAATTTTATTGAAATATAGACAATTCGAGAATTTTTAAGTTCAAACTAATCAACCTCGGGGATATTCAAAATAAAAATGTTCATTGATTTAACTGTCGTTAACTAGATGGCATTAGTTATCATACTTTAAAAAAAATACAGATTATACTATCATAAACAAAATATTAATTGTATCTTATTAATATGTTTTAACGTTCTCACGCTAACTTTAAAACAATTAAGAGCTTACAAAATATTTTCAAATTCGTTCTAAAACTCAATTCAACTATTCAAATAAAAATCAACTAAATTCTTTCTTTTCTTTTCCAGGTAACTCCTAGACATCTTTAGTAATACCTAGCTACTTTGAATGAATACGGGTGTATTATTTATTAATTAGTAATCAATTGTTAGCTGTATCCTTGGTCCAGTGGCTAGAGCAATGGACTGCAGATTATGAAGTGCAGAGTTCCATTCCCGGAGTGAAATTTTAATACTAGCCCTTTACAAGAAAGCATGTAAGCCGTTGGTTTTCACCACTAATTAAGGTGGTAGTTGCTAGAACCTGACCTAATGCCCACCGTAGTGGGGTTTGATCTCTATCCCTGGATATTGATAGGTTAAAACAAATGTTTAGTCAAATAAAAGAACACAGAGAGGCTCAACTATTAAGCAGTATAGCATATATGATTGCGGACATAGGTAGTGGTTGTTTTCTTTACTGTTCGTTTTCTAAACTGTATTTTAATTAAAAAAGCTTGTTGCCAGTATTATAATGTACATAAGTAGATTGTATTATAATTTATTTGTACAAAATGTATAAAGCTGCTATTTATATTAGATTATTTGTATATAGATAGGATTGTTTGAAACGGTCTTCGCGAGTTAAATACAAACGTATGACGTTCCAAACTATTGCACATATTTTGATGCGATTTTGAATTGTGGATTTAATCATATGTGAAGGTAGAATTGTATTCTGGTCATATGCTTGTTTTATCTTACATTTAATTCGGCTGTGAATATTAATTTACTTGTGTAGGATCTAATTTATTTGTATTTGTATAATTTAAAAATACTCATAAGTAACTTATAAGTGAATTGTTCATTTTGTTATTTATTGCTTATTATTAAAAAAACTAAAACCTATTTTGATGTTTTTTTTTTCATTAGATTTACACATAATTGATCTCCATTTAATTCCAATTACAACATAAATTTACACAAGCCGTAAAAAGCAACCTATATTTTAATAAAACGCTTTTAACGGTTCAAAACAACAGTGACACCACGTCTGATGCTTCGCAGGAGCCACGATTACGTAGTAAGAGCTAAAAAGATAAGTTAAAATAATTTTGTGTTTTAAACCGTTAAAAGTGCTTTATTAATTTGCGTAAACCACAGGCGCCTTAAACACTCTACATTCTCAGCAGTAAAATATAATATTCGTAATAATATATAATTGGACAATTTTCGTAATTATATAGACGGACAATTTCTAGTAGATCGAGTCTAGTCTAGTTTATGTGTTGTCGAAGGGGAAAACTTGTAGCAAACTATAAATAGAATAAATTTACATAGAATACATAATAATATTCAATGACGATTCTTGCATAATACGTAACCTACAAATGACGGCATTGCAAGGATAAATAGAGATAGAGCCAAAAATGAAACTCCGTGATTTTCGGTTTAATAATTGATTTGTCGTGGGATCGACTACCACAACGTCCAACATATTTCTAAAAATCTATATATTTTTATTCTGCCACGTTTTTTAAAACTTGGATATTAATTAGTTAGTCTTCTTCTAGGTCATAACTAACGTCCACAGATGGGAAAGGATTGAAATGTAGTGGCGTTTCGGTTTCATAGCGATGTCATATAGGCGATTGTTGGCCCAAATATATAATATAATATATGCTCTTTGAAATTTATATTGAATTTAAATAAAAACACTTTAACGATATAAAACGAGATATATATAAAGAAGATTTTAACTACGGCTCGACGTTTTAGATGCTTTGCAGCAGCCGTGGTCACGGGGAGACTAAAGATAGAGGGTGTCTCTATTGGCAAAGTAAAAAACTTCTACGCTAGCACCATCTGTTCCGTCATAGTTGGTACTTAGATTGTAGATAGATCTTCCCGTCACTACAGCTGCTTTAAAGCATCCGATACGTCGGGTCGTGGTTAACATAATTTTCCAATAAGTTTATCTAATATATACATATCTTTGTCATATCAAAATAAGAATAATTAAACAACATTAACTTACGAATTGATTTATTCAGAACAAGAGTAAAACTTAACTTAGGTCTTAAGAACGAATAAGTAATTCTAGAACATTCTGGTCGTAGTCCTGAAGGCGTACACATCTTGGGCTCTCAATTTTCTCATCCTTCTTACCCAGAAGCCAGTAAGTCTCCATAACACCTTTACCCTGTGATAATCGTCAGTAAAATAACCGATAAAAAATCAACAGAAGAAAAATTAAATAAATAATAAAAGCATTAAGTGAGACGCAGTGAAAAATTCGAAAAACGCACGATTTGAGCTAGATTTTCTAATGTAAAAACCACTTTAAAAGATTGAACGGGTCAAACGAACCATTTTACAGTAGGTGATGGGTCATGCTTGATTCGTTTTTATAAGATCAAACAATATACATGTGTTTATTAAAAAAACTGCAAGAGCTTAGTACCTGAATATCAACTAGGCCTCTTGACTGCACTACGTAGTTCCCTATGGCATCTAATGCTTCTTTGGTGGTCGGTGATATATGAATTTTCATTGCTGAAAGAAAATAAAACTACATTGTGACGTGTTTATCTGGAATTTTAAACAAATATAATTTGAAAAATGAAAACTTGATTGTTTTTCACATTATTTAACTTAAAAATCTAATTAGGGTTGAAAAAGTTATGGTTGCCACAGGCGGGCTTCGAACCGCAACCCACAGCGAGCCGCGCTGCTGTTCTAACCAATTCATCTACAATGTCTTTATGTAACTATAACGCAAAGCAATTTCATCGAATTATTGTTATATAAATAGGTTTTAGCTTAAATATATATATGTCTTATGTAATGTTAAATATTTTATACCACAGATCCTTTTTGTCTATATATACCTTCGCCAGTACTCTCCATTCTGCTAGCTGTGTTAATAGCGTCACCGAACAAGCAGTATCTAGGCATGGTGGTCCCCACGACCCCAGCCACACAAGATCCCGTGTTCACCCCAGCTCGGATGCGAAGGAACTCTTCAGGCCTGTGAGGCACCCTGGCTCCTTCCAAACTCCTCATCAGCGATAATGACATATCAGCTATTTCTGACGCGTGCTTGTTTCCTGGAAAACAATTGCATGTTTAATAAATTTTATTATACATGTAGTTTAGGCGATTAGTATTCATTGAATATTGAATAAAACCTATTTGACAGTTTAAAAGCTTAATAATATATATTTTCACTTTTTTATTTTAACGGCCACTGTAGGATGCATAGTACCTATTATAAATGTCAGGTCGTAGTTGAAATAAATTAAGATAAGTTAACGAATTTAAGGTTCGCATTTAAATAAAACACTTTTAACGGTTTGAAGACGCGCTAAATTTTAATTTATTTAAATGTGTATGTATTGTGTGAACTATTAACAATATTTCGCGTTTTTAACCTTACAAAGTGTATTTTTTTTAATTCCAAATAAAATAATCATGTACATATAGTAAATATTTTTCCTTTTAACCTACCTTTATTTGTTTAATTGCTTTAAGCTTATTAATCGAGTATTTCTCCATTATATTAGCAGTACTATAAAAAAAATATTGTACTATAATTTCTCTATAGTCTATACTATGGCTATCCATAGTTATGTTATATTTAGTCATATTATTATATATATTAACAAAACCTTTTTTACCCTTATTTGATACGGACACACCAATTAATACTATATTTTCCTTCCCGGTTTTTATGAGATCCCTCAGCCTAATTTGTATGATTTGAGTCGAAAATGCGATCGTTAAAACGAACCTCAATATCGACGTAATTGAAATAATTTGAATGTATTCAAGGAAATATCACAACGGGAAAACGTTGAATGGATTTTAATGAATGATGATGTGTATGCATGTCAGTTGTCCACATAAACTAAGTAGTCCTATTTGCGTAGTATGGAGTTCGAATTCCGGGAGAAAAAACAGCGTTTCAAGTGTTAAGTGCACAAATAGCTTAACATTTATGCCTAGAAATCAATAGATCGGTGAAATATGTGATCGGACATAGAAATATGTCTGATGGTCCAATGACAGAATAAAGATACAAGACTCATACACAGTTCATTAATGTATTTAAACAAAACACTTTAACGGTTTCAAACGCGATTAATATTAGTTAAACTTATTTGATAATTATTTTAACTAATATTTTTCGCGTTTTAAATCATAAATGTAGTTTAGAAATGTAAGACATAATATTAGGAAATTTGAGACATTTTCACAGTTGGGGCTAAGACCTTGACAGACACAGAACAAATGTTTTGTTGTGTTAGGTCAGCTTGGGTTGTTGATAATACATCGGAATGAACCGCGAAAAATAAATGTAATAGTCAAAATATACCTATCTCTTTTTTCATATACGTTTCTGAAGTAAATGAAAGAGACAGCAGATACTTAAAAGTTATCTCACCATTTCTCTGGGGAAGTCCCGACACAACCATGTACGCATCACCAATTGTTTCTACTTTGTATACGTTGTATTGCATTATTTTATCATCGAACATTCTGAAAATAAAAAAAGTTAACTATATAGAATGGGGGAAAGAGGGATGTCCGCGTCGCATATATTTATAAGAATACAGTAAAAACTAAAGATCATATTCCGGAGCAAGCACAGCAGTGATCGTCGATCAAAATTTTACTTGGCGACCCCGTTATGTTCCTCCTTCCCCTATATTGTATATTAATTTCCTAAGTTATATAACTACAAAAAAAGAGGGTTAAATTCTATTTTACCCTGTGTCCATTACACTGTTTGATTTTGACTTACAGGCAAGTAGTTGATCAGACTTCTATGCACTGCCCGATCAAAACAATGTATTGTTTTCCCGGGAATCCAACCCAGGACCTCACCGTTCACTATTTAGATACAGGGGTGGTGTACTACAAATCATTCTGAACTCTTGTCCAGGTATCTTATACTGGATCGTTTTCAGTAAAATGTTTAACACATTTTGACAAAAATGTCTCCCGTTAAATGTAAAGTCTAACATACGGTGATAATTGAAGTCCCTGAATACTACAAATGAATTCGAAAATATTCTTAGGATTCCCCTAGCATTATAAAATTAGTCACGCAAGCACAAAATATAACTTCAAGATGTGGTTTATACAAAGCAACGACATACTATGTCATTTTATTAATAATTTATTTCAGAAAATAATTCTTATTTTGTCACAACCAGATTAATATAATGTAAAAGTTAGTAAAGCAAAATAAAATAAACTGTTTAAAAATTACGATAAATTTGAATAAAACACTTTTAACGGTCTTAAATGCGTAATATTCCCCCAACGACCACGCTGCCGCAAAGCATCCAAAACGTCGTGTCGTGGTTAAAAACATTAACACTAAGTTAAACTATACTCGCGTTTTAAACCGTTATAAATGTTATGTGGCCATAAAATACTAATATTTCAAGGAGCACAGTTATTTAACAATATTCCAACGCACCTCTAACGTTTGCCGCCAGTGGCATTCAAGAAACAACTTTTCAACCGTGTGTTTACAAACACAGTAATGCGTAATCTTTAGTCTTAATTTCTTGAACGTTGCATGCGGGTAGAATTATAAAAATAATGTTGACTTGTATAGTTTGACGGGCCGGTTGGTATAATGGTAAGAATGTACGACTAATAATAAACGGATCTAGGTTCGATGCCCACCGGGTAAAATAGTTTTCTACTCAGTTTATAATTTCTCTGTAACAAGTTAGGCTTCGTCTCGAAATCTAGTAGATGAGTGGTAGAAATATAGAAAGTCCGTCCGAGTCACGCACTACCGTGTACAGATGAAAGAGCCGTGAAGTTTAATTACGTTCCGATTTTCGAATATCCAAAACCAAAGATTGACAGCATATCTTGCTCAGATCCCATAGGCTATATAGATAGGCTGGGGTATTAGTAAGCGATCTTGCATCTTTTTCGAGAGGTGTTTAGACCGCTAAAATTTGTTTAATTAAAATATATTGCACTAGCTGTCGCTCACACGAGCGACTTCATCCACGAGAATCGTTATTTTGGGCATCCAAATTCGTTTTTGCAAAACCCATAACGCCGGTCGCGTCAAAAGATAGATGAACGTTATTCATCTATCTTTTGACGCGGACTTTTTTTAGATCATTTAAAGAGGAATCATTCTTTTATACTTATTTTTTTTAAATATCTTGACCGGTTTTGCCTCGAATACCGATAATGATAAATATTTTTTTCAGTTTTTCTCATATTTCACGCTGTATCTTCGCTTGTATTAGTCATACGGCGATGTTTTACCTCTAACCATCAAAAAAAGAATTTTTAAATTCGAACCAGTAGTTCCTGAAATTACCGCGTTCAAACAAACAAACTCGTCAGCTTTATATATTAGTATAGATTACATTAACAGTAAGGTTGATTTTTCACTTACTTATAAAGCATATTGAGCATATTTATGACTTCCATGGGCGTACTATTCGCCGATATGTTAGTAAAGCCCACTATATCGCTGAAGTATATGGTGACCGCGTCAAAGGCTTCAGCGGGAACGGCCCTTTGAGCTCTTAGCCTCCTCAACACAGGTAGAGGCAGCATTCTTGATAGAAGCAAGTCACTCTTCTGCTTCTCTGCTACCAGCTTCTGTGTGCTTATCTCTATTGACTCCGTAAATTTCTGCAAATAATTCCTTAATTAAAAACATTGTAGGGACTCAAGCACTAAAACAAAATTCTCAATTCATTCTCAACAAATCTCGAAAAATTTTGACGATGGCGTGTAGGACTCGGTTGCTCAATTAGTTAGAACAACTGCACGGAACGCTGACAATGCCGGTTCTAGTCCAGCCCAAATCGTCACCTTTTTTTGAAAATATATATTTGTCTTTCTTTAGTAACTGGAACTAGGCATAGATAGGTTGTTGAATACGACGATTGTTAAGACAAACGAATATAAAATATTAGAAACATAACAATACAAAATAGAGACTAACAAACGCTCAAAAGAAATTTTAGCACTCTCCAGAGTATGTAATACAAAAAGAACTAAAAGGTGCCATTAAAACTGACTAAATCTGTGGCTCGGTGGTTAAATGCGTTATGAAGCATGTGAGATCCCGGGTTCGAATCCTAAACAAACGAACAGTTTGGGCTCGTGTGAAAACAGAAATCCAAAATGCACCAAAGATGATTTTACTTTCACTATAAGATACTTAGTAAGTTTTAAAGATAATATTTAAAAATACTGTTGTAGTGATCTAAGAATTGTATACCTGTATTGTATTGATAGTGTACCGCAAGAGGAAAATGAGCAACGGTGATACTAGCAGTACAATTATCAATATTGTTATACCAAAGCATAGTGTTCGACGGGCGGACCATACTTCGCTAGTCACGGATTTCCTGAAAAGAGAAAAGTCTAATAAAATTTTACAACACATTGTTCACACAGCTACTTCAAAAGATGCGAAAGTTTTTAATGCCAATAACAAAAGAGCAGATTAATTGTTGTCTGTAGTCTAGATTTAAATAAAACACTTTAAACGGTTCAAAACGCTAAGTATATTAATTAAAAAGTTATTAACAATTCACCCGCGACCACGGCTGCTGTAAAGCACACGCAACGCCGGGCCATAGTTAAAATAAGTTGTATAGAAGTTAATACATTTCGTGTTTTAAACTGTTAAAAGTGTTTTTTTTCAAAGTAGAGAGATTATGCTTGTAAATTTGAAATGTTCAGTGAGACGTCGAGCGAGGAATTATATTTTCTATTCTGCAGAAATTAAAGATGGAAATAAAATAGATATTAAATTTTAGTCTAAATAATTTCCTTATAGTCCGCTAAACAATTGTTTTTAACTAAATCTAGAATAATCATGCACAATAAGTAAACACCCTTACGGCTTTAAACGCAAAAAATCATTCCTACTTCTCGAAAAAATGTTTCCTCTAAATAGCTCTTTGCTACAAGATTTAAAACAGGCGCCCTTTTTTATTAAAGCCAAACAAAGCTATACAAAAACGCACCTTACATAATTCCAAAGTTCGCCCTGCACGATCTTCAGCTTAGCCAAATGGCTCACCGTCTCTTCCATGAAAAAGCGGTCCGAATCCTCTTCATTAAATTTTAAGCCCTCCCTCGACTTGTAACTGAAAGAAACGTCGAAGGGCGTCGTTATCTCTTATCTCGTAAGGCTGAGCTTAGTCAACTTTTGAAGAACTTTTAATGATTGATGACAATCTAAACTTAAATTTAGAATAATCCGGTTCTTAAAGTTCTTTAATTAAAATAATATATAACTTAAGAATAATAAATTATAGCTTAAACTTTTTGAGCTAGAATGACAAATTCTTTAAAAAACCGCATACTGTTTATATATAACACATTAACGTGTTCAATATACCTTTAAGGATATTTTTTTTAAAGAAGAGGACAGACAAGCACGGGGTTCACTCGATGGAATTTGAAATACTTCAGTCAAATAGCATCTAAACAAAATGCGTTGTCGAGCTATTTTGGTTTTGGATATTTGGAAATTCATAGATGGAAACCTGTTCGTGGTTCGTGACCCGGACGAAATTTCGATATTTCTAGCACCCATTTGATATCTAGATTTCCAGATGAAGTCCATTGAATCCACGACACAACATTGCTCCCATGACGTCAACCGCATCGAATAAACAAATAACATTGTTCAACTAATTCAAGCAAATATTCTAACGAACTTTTTTTAAAATAAGATGCCAATATCGCTCTTATAATATTACCAGGATAAAAATAAATCCCGTATCCTCTCGGTTTTCGTTACAGGCAAGAAGTTGATCAGACTGCTGTCCCCTGCCCGACCGTAACAATCTATTGTTACCCCGGAATTCGAACCTAGGATATCTAGCGCTCAACGCAATGCTAGGCGTTTAACCATTTAGCTACAGAGGCGGTTTTAAAAGGATGATTTAAGCAATTTATGTAAGATATGTACTCTAATTGAATTTACTAAAGATTCTCTCTGTTCGCATTTTCTTTTAATATAATGATTCCTTTTGGCTATTAATTCTTTGGGTTTTCTCGTTACAAAAGAATTTCTCATCTCAAAACCAATATTTTTTCTCAATCATTGTAAGTAGGTTTTATTGCGAAAAATTTGTATGCAAAGTGATTTAATATTTAAAAATAGAATCTCTTTTTATACTTACTCGGGAACGCCTTTAATTACCTAACGATACAAATAAATTATTATTATTTATTGGTATTTTGAAGAGTTCGGTCCATTATCACATAAAGTATATACTTCTCAGGGAAAAGTTCCTCCCACACAAAACGGATATGGAGTTCGATTTATGTTCTACCGCCATAAAACTCACCTGACGCCAAGGTCTAAGGTAAAGACTTATTGCTTAAGACCGAAGTCTTTTAAAGTGTTCATAATTTTTTAAGATAAAGGGGTACAGACAAGTATGAGTTCACTTCATGGCAGGTGCAATACCGTAGCCATGCTGTTGGATATTCGGAAAATATTGTAAAGTATTATAATTATAAATTGAAAATATTTACAACACGGGTATGACTTGAACCGGCATTAACGATGCATGCTGTTTCTTAAACCTTTCAGAAGAAAAAAATCGGCGATGACGTATATGTAGGACACAGTAGCTCAATTGGCTAGAGCAACAAAAAACATCCATCTATAATCGTTATTTTAATTTATATATTGCCATCATGATCAATAACATGTGAAAAATATTACAAAAAAAGTTTTACAAAATATATATTATTAGTAGTTTTCAAAAGTATTACAGTCCTAACCTCAATAAGATATCTTCAACTGGTCTCCAATCCAAACCTTCCAATTCCAGGTACTGCTTCGTCGACTCCAAGTAGTCCAGAGTCAGCTTCAAGTGCAACTGGAGGAAGAAGTTCTTAGATTCCAATTCTTCTAACACTAAAGGGTAAAGGAAGGCGAGTGAAATCTCCTCCATTGCTTTTAATATTTCGTACGATGCTGTCAACTGTCTGAAACAAGCAGGTTCTATTGAACAAGAGGAAGTGTATCGCCTCTGTGTGGAATGAGAGACAGTGCAAACGATTCAAGATACCCAAAAGACATCTATGAAATGATGATTCCTCTATAAATAATCTAAATTTGTCCGCGACGGTATATGTCTATATTTTGAGATTTATTGCAAGAGCGACAAATTGTTTGAAAATGTTGGTGCCCAAACAACTATTCTACTTGGAAGAAGTCCTTAGTACACCACAAAAGATTAAGTATCGCCTGTAGTTAGGATACGAAGACTGGAGGGTTTGAAACGTGAAATCTATTAGTAAAACTATTTTCAATTAATTTTAACTAAAAGCGTGGTAATGGGGAAAGTGTTCGAAACGACGGGGAGTAGTTAAATAAATTCAATAAAAAAATAAATTTAACTAGTGTATTTCACGTTTTAAACGGTTAAAATTGTAAATACTGTCTGTAGTCGCGAGTAGTACACATTGAAATAAAACACTAACGGTTTAATACGAAATTTATTTTAGTTAAACTCATTTGAAAATTATTTTTAACTTCGGTCCGACGTTTCGGATGCTTTGGAGCAGCCGTGGTCACGGGGAGTCAGTCAGGTGTTTTATTTACATATAAATAATCTAGATAGATAGATCTACTCTAAAAATAACATTTGATTAAGCCTTTAATTTCAAGCCTCAACCTATTTCTGGCCTAACAATAAAACCTCAATATAAACACAAATGATGTTCAAACCGTTCAAAGTAACAAGAAACAAGAGAGGCTTGAGAACAAAGCCGTTAGGGCTAGCGCGCACTGGTGACTTTTATCACGGTGACTTTAAAGTTTTTGTCATTGTCACGTCACGTTTCCAAAGTGGATTGTGACAGTGACAAAACATTTTCGAAATCGGAAGTGTCATTTGCCACTATGGATTTCGAAGAGACGGTCGTTCTCTGTGAAGTCTTGAGACTCAGGAGAAAAAGAAAACAAAGAGAATACTCGGTACACCCCCTTTGGACTGACAGTTTTCTACGTGTCACTCCAAAAGTTCTACGCTATGTATTATAAACTTCGATAACATCCTAAGAATTTTTTTGATATTTCCGGATGAGTGCTTTGATGAATTATTACGCACTTTAGGATCTGAATATATGAAAATACGAACTTACAAATAAATACTTCTTATTTATAATAATATTTAAACTATTCTTTCATTATAAATAATAACAATTTTCAATCATTATTATCAATAATAATTAAATAAAAATGCTATAGATTACAGTGTCTCAAGTTAAAAACGGTTTTCGTAGAGCGACAAGTTACCCGAAGCATTGGAAAATAATGTTCTACTAATTTCTTCCCATGCTTTAATTTTCACGTGATTATCTGAAACTCTTTCATTTTTTATCATAAGGAGCTGGTCTCTTTTCCACTTCTTCTAGACCATCTTTATCAACATCGTCTTCACGAATGTTTATTACGTATCGACCGACGACGAGAGTGACAAATTTGTCGCCAGTGCGCGCATTAACAGTAAACCCGTAGCGGCACTGACAGTTTCGTCACGGGCTTGTTCGCCGGTTGGCGTACACAATTGTCACCCAATTGTCACGTCGTAACATGCGCGCACCTTCATACATATTCATGGACTTGACCAGAGTTACGAAACAGTCACCGTGACAAAAGTCACCAGTGCGCGCTAGGTCTTACTAATCAAAGGTGTCATCCTATGTCATCAAAGACAAAAGGTGTCATTCATCTTTGATGGTATAAGGTATGATGCCGAAGAATTTTATTACAATAATATATATGGTATAAAGCGCAAAATATATTAGTTAAACTCCTTGTACATATATTCCTATACAAGGTAAAAGAAATCAATAATAATTAAACCTGATATATTGCAATTACAAACTCGAAACGATTTTTCTTTTAAACAATTTTGTTTCCTTTTTTAATTCCAATAGATATTGTAGTTATAACAATTGTATTACCATAAACTATGTACCTAATTTCTATTATAACCTTATCTATAAAAATCTAAAGTAATGCATTTGCAATGTGCTTCCATTTGTTGTTATGTCTTACAATTAGGTAAAGAAATAAATCTTTACTATATTTGTATTAAATTGAAAACTTGTCACAAACACAATATCTGTTAGAATTGAAAATTACTAACGATATAGCAAAATTCACGCGAGAATTCACAACTTAATATCGTTAAATAAGTTTGCGACGCGAAGTTTCATATTTATCTCCAATCTAGTCTCCGTTCTGCCAAGTCAAACGCGATGACGTCACAGCTTTATAGCGTTGGTCTCGTAAACACATTAATTTCACACACAGGTATGTCACATGAAACCTTCTTTGACGACATACAAAAGAATACAACGCGCGGAATGTGCATTGCATTCTTTATTTAATTAAATTTCAAAAAGTACTCGTTGTACGTTACTCTGTGTACGCTGCAAGGCCTTTTTTAGGGAGATAAAACGACAACCCATCCTAGTTTATTCTTTAAGACGAAACAACTGTAGGATATTTACAAGTATCACTATTTAGCGGTTTAAACATAAAGCTACGATGCTTTTGATTGAATATAAAGCTTTTACTTAATAGAAATAAGAAAGAAAGAATGTTAAGCAACTTTTAAATAAAACACGTTAATAGTTTGAAACGCGATATATTAGTTAGTTTAAACCGGTAAAGTGTTTTATTTAAATGTGTACTACTCGTATAAACTATGGACAGTATGTTAAGCAACTGTCAAAAGACATGACAACTGTGGAAAGAATTGTAAAAAACTGTCAATAGACATTTTTATTTAAATTTGGACAAAATTCTAAGCAACTGTCGAAAGAAATATGGTTATATTAATTTCGAAAAATTCTAAGCATCTGTCAAAAGGCATACTTTTATTTAAATTTGGAATGAAATCTAAGCAACTGTGATAAGACTCATTTTCATTTAAATTTGGAAAGAATTCTACGCAACCGTCAACAGAACTACATTTATTTAAATTTTGAAAGAATTCTTGGCGACTGACGAAAAATATTTTTTATCATTGCCTAGTTTTTCAAACCAATTGTGGACTTTAAATAATGTCGCGGTCTAATTTAAAATATAACAACGCCAGCATCCCGTGAGCATCATTGTCATTGCTTTTAACAATCTCTTAGAAAAATAACGAGGCTATTTTTATGAAGGTCTGCGCTAGAACGAGGCTGTATAAAGGCTCTAGTTCATTCCTAATGCGGTGATATAAGCAAAAAAAATCTCAATATATATATATATATTGTAATAACTTAACAGATATTTTTTTTGTAAAATTTTCGTTAAAGACAAACTTGAGACCAAATTATTAGGAATTTTAGATCTCTTAAATAAGTTAGCGCTGCATTGACCAATTGATGTAATTTTATTTACAGCTTACACAATATATATGAATTAAAGTACATCTAATATATACATTTAGTTTGTCACAATGTTTGTATGTAAACTGCTCTCAAGCGGCTAAACCGATTTTAACGCACATTTCTGCATCCGTTTCGCTGATTGGTTTTTATTTACAGGCAAGTACTTGATTAGACTTCTGTGCCCTGCTCGACCGCAACAATCTAATTTTTTCCCAGGATTCGAATCCAGGGCCCCCTCGCGCTAAGCGCAATGCTAGGCGGCACGTTTGACCATTCTGCTTTTTTTAAAGTTTTATATTTATTCGCAAACCATTCTTAACAATGTACATAATATGTCTGCAGTTCAAAGCATTAAGTTTACAAGGAACTCCATTCCCTCGGGATTTCACAAAGCTGTCATATTACTTGAACACAGCAGACAGCTGACTTGTTATGCGGAGGATCAAGTTAATCTAAATGCAAAATGCATCTTATACTTCTTGGTATGTTTTGAGTCGAATACGTGCATAGTTCTAGTCAGACATATTGGACAACAACAGGCCGAGCGCGAGAGGTCTTGGAGCCGAATCCAGGCGAAACAATTGATTGTTTAGAAGATATATAGATATATACTGTCACGGACAAGAATGTTTAAACAAACTACATTTAGTATCTTCAACCGTTTTCACAGCACGCGCAAGAGAAACTACAGCTTTCCCGCTTTTCCACATTTCCCCCTATTTCTTTCTCCTATTGGTCACAGCGTTATGTTACATAGCTTTCATCGAAGTATGGTCTACCGAATATAATCTTTTTTAATTGCCTTAATTCAAACGTGTTGATCGTTGTCCTAAATAAAAGTTTTTAGTTATACGGTTTTATTTTTTATGCACTGAAAACAGCAAAAAAAATTTTTTTTGACACAATCATTATGTTTTACTGTAAGGAGAAATATGTCATCCGCCATTAAATATCGGCGGCCATCTTAGATTAATAATGTTATTGATTTTATTATATCGTATAGTCATTTTAATTAAATGTGTGTACCAAATTTCAGATCAATCTGACAACGCGAAGTTGCTCAACTTCTAATTTCTTTAAACTTAACTTTTAATTTTGACCCAAATAAATAAATTCCGCACGGGTCGAGGTAAATAAAACGGTTTAAAAACGAAGTCTGTTACCGTAAAAGTGTCTAACATTTTGTTATTGTTGCATGCCTGTATACAATCGTACTTAAAGACGGTGAGTTTTGAGCAGTGATGAAAATGTTTTCAAATGTTTTGCTTGTTGTTTACTTGTTATCACAACGGTGTCATCAGAAGTTATGTAAGTATTGTTTATTGCATGACTGATATGAAAGGATATAAAAGTTTTTGGATGTCTTTCAACAAAGGTTGGAAAGACCTGGTTCTTGCACCTGTGGACTCTCCCAGGTTAGGTACTTAAATAAACACTTTTACCGGTTCAAAACGTGAAATATGTCAGATACTTTTAACTTCCAGTCGTGATTTCAGATGTTTTACAGTAGCGAGTTTATTGCCAGTTCTTCTCGTTCGTTCTACGCCCTTGATTTGAGAACTGGTAGTATATGTAAAGTTGGATTCTTTAATTTTGTGACGTTTATAAGTATACGTACATGAATAAATGATGTTTAACTTTTGAATTTTGAGCTTTGGTCACGTGGTAACTGAAACGTGTTCTTAAAGCGTTAAATTTGTTTACTTTTTACGTTTCAAATTTCACAAGATTTCACTTTATTTAACTTTCACTTGCGTACACATACATTACACAGGTCTGGCTAATAAATATTTTGCATAATGTGAAGTAGATAACTCCAAAAGAAGGACCAACAAACGCTGTGGTTGTGAGTTCAAGAAGGGCTTTGAAACTTTTGCCGATAAAATGGTCCCAGTTGATAAGGTGTCATTCAAATATAAATCTTATTCTTGTGGAATAAAGGTGCTATTGACTCACCTCCAGAGGTTCGAAGAAGTAGTCTTGACGCCCCTCATTATGTACAAGAGGAGAACTGAGTTGATTTGATCGTAGATTGAGGCTCTGCTCAAACCGTCTGTACGTTTTGAATTCCTAGAAATCATATTTATAAAATCATACTATATAATTGTTATACCATGTTCTGTAGTCCAGAATAATCAATACGATAGAATGTACTTCAAATTATTTGACAGTACATTGTAATTTAACGAACTAATTAACTGCAATTTTTGTTTAAAATTGATACTGTTTAATTGTACATAAATTGTTTTAAAGGTTTATTTTAAAATGCATTTATTTTAATCAAAATAATTGTTTTATAACTCACACAACATCCATTATATCTTCTCGGAAGTTACTGCATGTAATGTACAATGAATTATAAAAATAAATAACATAAGTTAGGAAACAAGAAAAATAAATTGTTAGTTGTTTTTTGTCACTATTTCGGTAAGGCAAATAAGCAACAGATCATACATTCGGTTTCCACTAGGTTCTTCGTATTTCCATGTAATATTTAGCCTTAAGTAAAACACTTTCAACGGTTTAATTGATTTTGTTTTGACTAATATGTTCCGCGTTTTAAACCGTTAAAGGTGTTTCATTAAAATGTGCTCTTTGAAATCTACAAATTTGGTAATATGCTGAAATACCTGATTCACATAACATCTAAACAAGAACCGCTGTCAGCCAATTTTGGCTTTCGATATTCGGAAACGTTGATGGACTCGGTGGAATTATAGAAATGTATGGCTAATAATCAACGGGTCATGGGTACGATTCCGGGCCCAATACATTTCTAACCGATTTATTGTAGAGTGTAGTCTAGATTTCGATTTGAGTCTATTAATGTCCAAACACAAATACACACATCAGCTTTGAATATTACAGGTCTTAGGTTCTTCCCCTTTTATCAAGGGGGCCCTAGTTGTTAGCTCCTTTATCGTAAAAATATTGAACATACATTTTAATAATATAAGGCATTAATTACATAAAAGGAAAATAGAGTATAGAGGAGTATCCTTATCTTTAATTTAAAAGAGCTTTAATCTTTATTTTTCCTTTTATGAGTGAAAAATAACTCTACCAATAAAACTAAAATTATTTTATTACGACGACCAGGTATTACAATACCAATGGTTAGCAATGTGTAGGATAGAATGGAAACAGTAGGACAAATACATTTTTGAATCCAATTTACAGATTTTTGACGGGTTTATTGGTCAAATAGTAGCGACGTGCGCTTCAACTGGTTGTGGCTTCGATTCCCACCAGGCCATACATGTTTATTATCTATTAAATAAAATATACATTATTCTGTTTAAATTTTTAAAAATTATTTATATTCGTCAGATTTTTTTTGTTTGTCTGTCTGTCTGTTTGTCGCGATTCTACAGAGTGTTCAAAAGAGAAACATAACTGAGAAGAACACCCAAGAAACTCAGTCCGTTTTTTTTAACATCTCTTATAAACTAATACATTGTGAATTTATCAACCTAAGGAGCAATTCATATTACTGCCAGGCGGTCTTGACATTAAAGAAATCGTTCAGACAATAATACGCCTTTTGAGACAATCTTAATTTTATAACTTTTTAAAATGTATTTAGAAGTAAGCTTAGATCTCTGACTGGAGCTTTGAAAGGCATAGTTCGCTGTTTACCAATCCAAGTGCGATATCTTATCTATAATTCACTAATAAGACCTCATATTGATTATCTAATTGAGGTCTGGGGCACGGCTGCGAAAACAAATCTTAAATCATTACAAATTTCTCAAAATAAACTGATAAAAAGACTATTCCATTACGATTATTTAACTTCTACTGATACGATTTATAATGAGACTCGACTTATGACTATCAATCAGACCTATATTTATACTACTTCTATACTTGTACGCAAAATTCTAAATGGAGCCATCTCAACACAAATAAAATTTCATAAAAATCAACAAATTCAAAAAATTCAACTAAGAAACGCTAATGACTTAAATCTATACAAGCCACGCACTAACTATGGTAAAAATAACATTCTGTATGATGGCGCTAAAATCTATAATCACTTACCCAAAACTATTAAAGAAATTAAATCATACAAACTATTTAAAACTAATTTAAAACATTATATTGTTAACAACATAAAAAAGATTAAATAAAGAAAAAAAAATACAATATGCCACAAGGTTGCACCATCTTATAATCCAGTATCTATTATTTATTTATTAACGTATTAAAAAGCAGATTTACAGCTAACAGAGAACCATTTCAAACCAAACTATATTTGTAAATTCGTACCTACTCGCATATAATATTATGTAACGTATAATATTGTGTTTACGCTTAAGTGAAAATGTATTTCTTGCGTAAATAAATGTCTTAAACCATTATTTATCGATAAATTATTTTTCTTAGACATGTTAAACTTTGTTTAGAAATTTGGATGAAATGGTTGGTATTAATATTGATTTTCCCTACGGGTCACGAAGCGCGGTCCACAGATGAAAGAGCCGTCATATTAAATCACTATGTTTTATGGCTGCAGTATATAATTTCCCATAGACCGATCAGCTCTCCCTACATACATTACCCTAGAAACGAGGTCAAATAAGTCTCCTTATAGAGGGAACAAATTCTTGTTGCGGGCTTTTGGTCAAACTAATAAGTGATATTATGTTATATTATTATTAACGACACAAACATGTTTGCATTATTTACTCATTATCCTGTAAACCTATGAAATAGCTTCATAAAATATTAAATTAAATAAAACACATTAACGGTTTAAAACGCGATATATATGAATCAAACTTATTTGAAAATTATTTTAACTATGGCCCGACCGCGACGACCGTCTCCCCGTAACTGCTGCAAAGCAGCAGAAGCTTCGGGTCGTAGTAAAAATAATTTTCAAATAAGTTTAACTCATATATGTATATATCGTCTTTTAAACCGTCAGTGTTTTATTTAAATGTGTACTTCTCGCGTAAACTACAGACAGCATTTAAAAAATACTCTTTTAATAATCATTCTGATATTATCTCTAGATAATTTGGTGCTTTTTACTTATAAGAAGCGTCTTGTGTCTATGATATCCTTAGAGATTACCGTTTATTGAAAAGCTTTTTATTGTAGCGAGGAATCGTTAAAATATATGTACATAATATTGTGTTCCCAAGTGGAAGTCAAATGTATCCATTAAGACAATATATAATAATTAACATAAGTCTTATTCACAATCTAATTTATAAAATTCTCGTGTCACAGTTTTTGTTGCCATACTCCTCCGAAACGGCTTGACCGATTTTGATGAAATTTCCGCGAGTCTAGGGCTTTATTAGGAGTACATACTATGTGGTGACATAAGGGTTTACCGCACCCGAGCGAAGTCGGGGCGGGTCGCTAGTTATAAGCTAAAATTTTATCATTCGTGAAAACACGGATAACGAAGATAATACAGCGTTGATGTTTAGTTCATTAAATACTTACTATAATAGAGATTTAAGTCTCGTCGGCACGGAATCTTGTGTTTGTAACAATTTGTCGTCCGTTATTGCGAAGACTTGCTCGAAATTAATACTGTAATAAAGACAGAATTAATAACGTCATCTGACAAGGCAAATACAAATTATGATTAAATATTAAAACGCAAAGGCTAGAACAAATGGTCTTTATTAATATTAATTTATTCGAGAACAGACATTTTAAGAGCTTTTATTAAAAAGATAACCTTTTCTGAAGTTTATTTTAACTGAATTTGAATTTCTTAAAATGTTTGTTAGTCGTCGGTTAAACGGTAGCATTAGGGATGATAATCAAAAGATCATAGGTTCGAAACCCAGATCCAACACATTTCTTAAATCAATATATAATACTTTTGTGGTTATTCGACTACTTCTAGAAATAGAAAATAAGTAATTACATATTTCATAATATACAGTGTATTAGATATATAATTTCCGATAACTGTCGCACGTTACAGAACGTTGTATATATTATAGCCTAATAGAAAGGGGCGTATACCGTATACCCCGTCAATCATTTTAAAATTTACCATCTCGTAATTTAGGGGTTCACTGAAACTCTACTTTCCTTGTTTTCTTATTGCTCCCATACACTTAGTTTTCTTATTTACAAGTTTTTGATATTAATGATTATTAGTAATTATTAATTTAATAATTCTTAGATTTAGACGAAGACGTTTACAGTAAATATAAGGGACTGGTCCTACATATTTAAAAATTTAATTTGATTTTTATGTGTACTACTCGCGTAAACTACAGAAAGTAACGATTTTTTCGCTAAAATCATTTATGCATATATAAATATATATATATAAATATATCAACATAACTTTAACGTGGCGATTTAATTAATTTTATTCGGAGTCGACACTTTTCATTCTTTACAAAAGTTCGTTGAAATTACGAAAACATTACGTTGAAAAGAAACTGATTTTTCATTCTATTGGGACTGGAAAGAGATTTTCCTGTTTGCGCGAAAAATCCGATTTCATTCGCTTAGAACTGAAAATGATCTGAAATTCCCTTTGATTTTTCGATGTCAAATGTGGGGTAGAAAAATGGACTTCATTTTCAATTCTGTGCATATCCGTCCGGTTCAGATGGACCGATAATTTGCGCAAGCTGTTGCATATTTGATTTCCGTTCAAAAAGTGTAGCTCAAATTTCATGCTTTCGCCAACATTTTTCAATTGAAAAACTGAGTTCCTATTTCAACAAATATCGTTTTAAGACTACACAATTTTTATTTAAAACCTTCGCAACAGTTTCTTTGTAATTTGTGTAAGGCTTCGGTCGTGCAGCCCGAAAAAAACAATGATATTAGTTTTATAACTTGTAGTGCCGAATTATTTTAACTTTTGAATTTACAAAAAAATATCAATACACCTATCTAATAATTGATTTATAATACCTAAATCTACCTGCTTTATAAAATACCTAAACAGTTTTAAATAAAACATTTTAACGGTTTAAAACGCGATATGTATTAGGTTAAGTTAAAAATAATTTTAACTACGGCCCGACGCTCGAATGCTTTGCAGCAACCGTGGTCACGGGAGACGGTTAAAATGTTTTTTTTAAATGTGTATTCTACTTTTTTTAAGTCGGCTATAATAGTTAAATTTTCAGCACTTGTGTAAAGTATTAAAGTTTATTCTAAAAATGTTCATTCTTGCGCAACTCTAGACTGTCTCGTACGGCCATTAATATAAATTGTGTGACTAGATTTACTTACTGCTTTGACCTCTGCACATTTGTACCCTGTACCAAGTACTGTGTGACCGCGACGCGTTCGTCTTGTATCGCCAGAACTGCTTCACAATGCGACATTATCGCTGCTACCTAGAGAAAAAATACTATTATTCTTTACATGTTATTTCATATGATGGCAGTATATAAATTAAAAATTGAAAATTTACGACACGGGCATGACATGAGCCGGTATCCACAACAGTTAGATTTTGAAAAGTTAGATTAGAGCAACGTGGAACGCCGTGGATGCCATTTCAAGTCCCGTGATTTAATTCAATCAATAACCGTTTTTTTTTTTATTTATTTACCTACTATTACTATCTTCAAAGGTACTTAAATACTGTCTATAGTTTACGCGAGTAGTACACATTTAAATAAAACACTTTAACGGTTTAAAACGCGATATATTAGTTAAACTTATTTGAAAATGATTTTTAACTTCGGCCCGACGTTTCGGATGCTTTGCAGCAGCCTTGGTCACTGGGAGACACGACGTCGGGTTTAACTAATATATCGCGTTTTAAACCGTTAAAGTGTTTTATTTAAATGTGTACTACTCGCGTAAACTATAGACAGTATTTAAAATAAAACATGTTTGTGCAAAGGCGGCCTTATCGCCTATGGCGGTTTCGGATCTTACGTGTTTAGAAAAATTTTAGTTCATCGAAGTTTATCGTTTAAGAAATATACTTTGCATTCGAACGCATTCGAACCCATGACCCGTTATTTTACTGGCCATATATGAAATACTGTCTATAGTTTACAGCAGCAGCCGTGGTCACGGGGAGTCGCTCCGTGACCACGGCTGTCCCATTGTCAAATAAATTTAACTAATATATGGCGTTTTAAACCGTTAAAGTGTTTTATTTTTATGTATTTTTATAAAAGCTTAGAACCTTTAAGAAGGTATCGCAAGAAACCCATCACTACTGTTTATGTAGCCAAATTATATTTAACTCTCATATAAAGGACATTTTTAACGGACAGTTTATATATTCTTGTTTTAGGTTTAGGGGGGAGGGAAATGGGCTATTTGGCTATTTTATATTTTTGATGGAGTGCATAAAAGGCTGATCCTGGTAATAGAAGAGTTTATCTTCTGTCCTATTTGGAGCTTTTGTTGTATAATTTGTTGTTATAGGAGGTTACCTTACGATCTAAAAAGAGCGATGCGTCCATTGTATGCGATAGTTGCGCCATAACAGTACAGTTTTGGAAGACGAGGGCAGCATGTGGAACGAAGCACAGTACGAGCATTTGGAGAAGGAAGATCTTGCGACCTCGCCTAGAAAACGAAGAAAGAAAATTATTCTTGTGTGTTGTGTCACCCTTAGACTACACTATAATATACTCTATTCAAACATAAAAATGATCTGCTAATTGGTTTAGACAGACGCGTTAGTCCACTTATATAGCAACATATGGCCATTTGAATAAAACACTTTAACTGTTTAAAACGCGATATATTAGTTAAACTTATTTGAACAAGATCTTTAACTTCGGCACGACGTTCGGAAGCTTTGCAGCAGTCTCCCCGTGACCACGGCTGCTGCTGTAAACTATAGACAGTATTTCATATATGGCCAGTAAAATAACGGGTCATGGGTTCGAATGCGTTCGAATGCAAAGTATATTTCTTAAACGATAAACTTCGATGAACTAAAATTTTTCTAAGCACGTAAGATCAATTTCCCAAATAATTTGTCCGACAAACGCGTTGCGGAAGTACCGAAATTCCGTTTTAGTCACGAACCATTGTTAAGAAATGGAGAGCCGTTTTTGGAATACGATATTAGCTGCCTACATGAATTTTCAGATGGTATATAAGGCTCGGCAACGCATCCTAGTTTATGGCATATTAATGCATTCTAGACAACAATTATATTAACTAAAATGCCGGATAAAATAGTAAATAATCTTTTATTCTACTTAAACCCAATCATACACACTTAGCCCAATTTTAGACTTTAGACTAGTTTCTCCAAATACCAAGTAGGAGGAAACAACTACTAAGTTAGCTAATACACTTCGCGCTTTAAACCGTTAAAGTGGTTTATTAAAATTTCTACTCTCGTAAACTATAAACGTAAACATAGTAAATATTTTTTTAACTTTATTTCTAATAATATAAATTGGTATATGTTGGTTGGATCACGTGGGAATATAACTTACGACCCTATAACGACGTTATACATCCCTAATACTCCACCATCGAGCCCATGAACGTCAATGTTTTTATCATAAAGACTTTTTTGGCACACCAATGGAAGGCCGGGTGATCAGTCTACATTATCTGCTAAGCATTAAATCCCATTCCCCCATTTTCTATAGAGTTATACTCACCACTCACAAACCTTCGAGTTTCTATGCAGAATCTTAATATTTGTTGCGTCGTTAATTCTTAAATATAATTACATCTTCATATATGATGCCGCTAGAGTTAGAGTAGCCTAACTGCAATTTTATGACTTGAGTTATTTATATTTTCATAGTCTTACGATGTTAATTAATTAAAGAAAATTGTTAACATAATTCTTACACAATAGTATAAATTATTTTTCGTCTAAGTGCCGCGTTATTTTTCATCCTTATTGAAAATCATGATTTTTGTTATTAGGCCACTCTGGCTTTAGCAGACTCATACCTTCATATACTTCTATCCTTAATTCTCAAATATCATTATATGTTATCATAAAGACTTACTCTGTCGCCAGATTTATGTGAAGACACCCAACTTTTACTGGCACCAGTTGTGGTCCATTTCTGTCTGACGGCGTGGTACAGTGGGAGGAGTTGTCGATTCTCAGCGTATTTGATATCATTATTCTGGGGACAAAGTGACACTTTGTAAACAACTAAAGTTTAATATTTTTCACATGTTGGCATTATATAAATTAAAATCGATTTTAGATTGAAAAAAATTTACGACACGGACAGGACTTGAACCGGTTACCGCAGCGTTCCATGTTGTTGCTCTAACCAATTGAGCTACCATGTCCTACACCTCATCGTCGAATGTTGCAACTTATTAATATACGCACCTTCTTTCTCATTCTCTCTCTTCTACCAGATATTCTGGCAAGCATTCTAAACGCAAGTAAAATCACGTGACTCATATGATTACATAAAACCACACACGAGTTTTAGACCGGTAACCTTTAGTGATTTAAATTAATATGTGTCTGTTTTTATTTTAACCAACTACCAAACATACATACAAGTTACATACATAATATATATGACTTGTATGTTTATTTAAAGCAAAAATACATCAACAATGCTTGTTTGTTTTCCTCTATGATAAAAAAAATAATCTTAATAGTTTACGTTTTCTCTGAAGTCAAACTCAATATTTGTCCAGCTTCTTACCGTTCACATTTAAGCCTACTCACTTGTTTGTAATAATCAATCAATAAATAAATACTTTAAGACGACGATCCAATGTATGGCTTATAACTGGCGGTTAACTTTACAAGTCACTAGTTTTATGCTAACTAACAAGTTCTTTATTCTGGAAATTTCTGATATAGAAATATTGCAATTCCGTCCGGGTCACAGTCAACAGATGAGAAAGTCGTAGATTGACATTTTTGGATTCGGTCTGTGAATTTCCAATGATAATATACGTATAATACATTTTATTAAAACTCCTGATTATGAGTCGTCAGCGCAAATAAAAAAGCACTTCAAAGTTGTTTAATTTAATTAGTAGAAACGGTACTAAAAATGTACAGTATTTTCAGCGCGTGTAACATTCTTCCTAAAATATTAACATGGCTTTGTACTATCGCTAGGACACAGCGCTCGTTAAATTTAACTATGTATATTCACAATGAGAATTGGTTAACTTTAATCGGATAAACTGAGCCAACTCTATTATGCTGGATTTTTTTATCAAACACAAATCAAAGAGGTAAATGCAAACTGAACCAAACTCATAGGTTTACCATCACTATGCCTAAGTGGTAGATAACTTGAATAGAACAATTTTAACGGTTTAAAACTAGGTATATGTTAGTTAGCTTCTTATTAACTAGCTGTGTCGACGTCCGCGTAAATTAGTTATTCTAGGCATCCCAATTTGATCCATGACATCGTTCGTCCCGTCTTCTTCCCGTTCTTGCACATCTTAAAAGATAGACATATAGTGTCGCAGACTTTTTTTTATATCATATACAGAGAAATCATTCTTTCCTACATATTTCGTTATATCTTGAACTGTTTTCTTAGTTCTCGCATCGGAAACCCACTTTGAATTAATTTCCCCGTTTTTTACACATTTCCCGCTATTTTTCCATCTATTAGTCACAACGCGATATTTTAAAGCAAATGTATGTTTTTAATTTGAACCAGTAGTCCCTGAGATAAGCGCGTTCAAACAAACAAATTCTTCAGTTTTATATATTAGTATTGATTTATTTTAACTCTGGCCTGACTCTCTGGTCATGGCGGAACGAACGACGACCGAACACTCCAATTCAAAGTTCGTACAACTTTGCAAAGTAAAATATGTTACCTTGAGGTATCTCGTTAAGCAGATCTAATTAAAACGAAACACCTAAGTCGTTTACGTAATTAGAGAATGTTAATTAATTTGTCGTGGCTTGGGTTTACCAGACGAGGAGCAAGGAGATGTAGGAAAGGGAAGTGGTTACGTAAATAAAAAAATTGGATTTAGTAGTGTATATGTTTTTTGTCCATTTTCGTCCCTAGTGGTTGACAAGGACGTCATTATTTCCCTTTGCTAAGTTAAAAGGAACTTTGCTTTGTGTTTATAATCCTATGATACTTATGAATTTTTAATATTTTGTCTAATAAAGAATATTTTTATCAGACCATCAATCCATTCTTAAATCTAATGATAAATTTATTTATAAATTTTTTAATGTTTGTTTAGTTGTGTAAAGGTGCGGAATACATTATTTGAATTTGGATGTCTGAACGTCTAAAGCTCAAAGCTCGACAGAGCATTTTGCTTAAATGTCTTCCACGCTCCATTTTATCGTTCTCTGTCATAAAAGAAAACTATGTGAGAATTTAGTTCGAGCAAATTAAAACTAAGAACAATTTTTCATTTCCTACGCGTTAAAGGAAAAGTTATAAACGTTTCCTTCGAAGTTTCTTTGTCATTCGCGGAAAACTGACGTTAATGACGGCTATAACAAGTTTTCACTTTTATTTGAAGTTTTATTTCTGTAATATAATTTGTAACGGAGCTGTAGAATTTTAATGAAGATATCTTTTACTTCTTTTGGTCTTTTACTACTTTTGGTCCATAATACAATGGTTATAATAGCAGAGTTTGTCACAGATAAATTTAAATCATTGAATCTTCTTACGTTAGGACTTTGATATATATTTATGAAAATGTTTTGTTTGCCCAGAAAAATGTACAGAATTTTAAAACAAATGGCAGTTTTCATCAATGTAATACACTCTCCATCTCCAAGATCCATAAAACAATTAATTATTTTCAAGATAATTCGGTATTTTAATAATATTTCTAGTGACTTACAATCACTGTTCATAAATAATTTCAAATCACATGTTAAAAAAAATGTTTGGAAAGGGTTATATTGCAAATCAATATTTAAACGATACAAAGAAGATGTACACATTAGGTGCATAAAGATTGGGGTTGGCGGCGAGTTTTATGCCAGTTCTTCTTGGATGTTCTTGTTCTTGTGACGTTCATAAGTGTACATAGTTTAATTACCCTTATCTAACCCAGAATTACTACCTTAAATAATAAACAAATAATAATAATAAATCATTAAAGTGGTGTTAAAGTGGGGTAAAACGATACTAAAACACAATGTCTATAGTTTACGCGAGTAGTACACATTTAAATAAAACACTATAACGGTTTAAAACGCGATCTATTAGTTAAACTTAACTTACTAATAAGTTTAATTAATATATCGCGTTTTAAACCGTTATAGTGTTTTATTGAGATATTAAAACATTATCAAAATCTAAGATTTATTCATTTCTTTATTTTTTTAGCTTATTAGAAATCATACAAAGATACATTAAGATAACAAATAATGTAGGTCACATTTCAACAAGCTAAAGTACACAGCTGTAGAACGGGACGATTTTAATTGAAAATTCTTGGCGAGTGCCCTTTCGATGTTGACTTTGCGTCCGATACTAATCGTCAGATTATTGACAGGGGTACGATGGTACTGAAAATGTTTTTCTTAAACAATATAATTGTAACGCTGTACCTGACAGCGGAAATATACAAAATGTTTTTTAGACTAATTTTACCTGTCAATGTCGTTTTTGGCTCCAAGAGACAATTTTATACCAAACTATAATAACAATAGAAAATACACACATCAAAGAAACTTTTTTTTTTATATATAAGATGCGCTGTCAACCCTTTTCGGCTTTTATATTCAAAAATCGATATTTTCAGACCAAGACGCACTTCACAGTTTTTCTGTTTTCAGTGGTCCATGATGTCGATATTCCTACCACTATTTCCAAAACTCCAACAGATAAAGAAAGATTTCTAAATAAAAAAGTTTAACGGTTTAAAACGCGATATATTAGTTAAACTGATTTGAAGCAGCCGTGATATATTACTTAGTGGTCACGGCTGCTGCAAAGCATCCGAAACGTCGGGCCGAAGTTAAAATCATTTTCAAATTAGTTTAACTAAAATATTGCGTTTTAAACCGTTAAAGTGTTTTATTTAAATGTGTACTACTCGCGTAGACTATAGACAGTATTTAAAAAAATATTATAAGCGTAAAATTGTATAATTGGACTCGATGGAAATCGAACCCACGTCGATTTGCAATGGCTTATTAGCCATACATTAAATTAAAATTAATAATAAATTTAAAAAAAACTAACGTCCCGGGCAGGACTTGGACTGGCGTCCTCAGCGTTCCATGCAGTTGCTCTAACGAATTGAGGTACCGAGTCCTACACGTCATCGTCGAAGTTTTCAACCTTGATGGATATTTGCTGTTAAACGTGTTTTATTTGAACATTAGATGTGAGCAACAACGAAACGAATCCATCCTCTATAATATTTCTCCTGAAATGGTAAAAGATTAAGTATATTCTTAAGACAGCGTACAGGATTGAAAAGTATTTAATATAATTCTAGAAACAAATGATATAACGTATACCGTACTTGCTTAGTCAAGATGGCTCGCTATAAATTTTGTTTTTAAAACACGAGCCAGTATCAAATATTCATAAATAACGTTTCGCCTTGGGAAAGGTTAAGAGTGGTTTTATTTAAAACAGAGGAGATATTTTGGGATTATGCGCGTACAGTGTTGTCGTATAGTGTATGTGTGTTTGTATGTGTGAGTAACCAATATAAGTTATAAATGATGCCTTCACAATACTTTTTTATTTTTTTTTTATTTTAGTGCTTTCTTACACAAGATAGCATTTGGTTAGTTTCTTTTAGAAGGACGATAGACAAGCACAGGGTTAACTTGATAAAAAGTGAAAAAATAACATCTCGAGAATATGTGTTGTTGACCTATTTTGTCTTCTGACATACAGTGCTCAACAGACCGAAACCGAAAAGCGAATACACTTCAAGTAGTATTTAAAATAACATTTTCCATTGTTTAAAATTATATATAGCTCTTAAGTCATTAACTACTACTTATAATAATAAATTCCATCTATTTAATTTAAGGTTAACTTTAGTAGTGAATGTATAAGCACTCATCACACGTAATATTCTTACTAAGTAGCAATGGAATCTTCTCTGTGACTATAGTATATAAGTATATTGTCTGTGATATAAAAATTATAATAATTTTCGTATAATTTCCACGTATTA